GGGAGAGCGGGACGAGACACGATGGGCTCGCGCGCGCGCGCGCGGCGATCGCGTTCTTGAGGTAACGGTGTTTCGCGTCCGTCGCTTCGCGAGTTCGACGACGCCGCGAGTCGCGCGAGGAGGCAACGAACCGACGATGACTTCTTCTTCTTCTTCTTCGCGCAGAAATAAAGGTTAGCTTACCGGCGACTTCGGCGAGACCATGCGCGCACGCACGCGGTCGCTACGGGCGTACGTTGACGTCATGTGGAGTGCAATGCACCCTCAACTCTACTCAAAGTTACAAAAGTATTTTGATGGAATTTTCTCGATAATAATTACTTAAGTCATATTGACCAAAATATCTTAACTCTTAAGGCACTTGTGTAAATGCACCACTTGTGAATTCAATTATGTTTTATTGTCTTTGCTGATTGTTCGGTAAAAGTTTTGGGCGCATCGCCAGCGCCATCGAACGAAAACGAATTTCGAGCGAAAGTTGGCCCGGCCCCGAAATTTCGGCTACACAACACGCTCGCGCGCGCGCTCATTGGCTTCGATTTCATTAAATCGCCTCAATCGATTCGAAAGAAAATCGAATTCAACAAATTCCGATAAAAATGTAAACGTTTTCGCTGAATTTTATGGAATTATTATGACTTAACACATAATACTTAAGTAATTACCAATGACAGCTGTCAAGCAGTACCCATCATTGGTTATGTCTCTATTGTTGGTGTTATTGGTAAATATTGGTAATTTTGTATGTGCCTTCGAAGAATTTCCAAATTGACTTAAGTTAAGTCAAGTTACAATTTTCAGAACTGTAATTTTTTCCCCTAAATTGCGATTTCATACTTTGGAGATCTTATGGTTTTATTATGGTCAATATGGTGGGCCAGTTTTGTCTCGCTCCAACCCCAACTAAAATTTTGGGCATCTAAAAGCGATCAGTTCCTGTTGTAAAACGATTATTCCGACATGGCCTCAAAATTATCACAAACCTTTAAAGAGCACAAAAAAATAATCCAAAATGGCCCAAATGTCCTTGTCCTTGAGCACGCCCGCCCATGACTTAAGTCACATTTTCGGCCATTAAGGCAAACAAATAATTTCCTGGTCAAATATTTGCGTGTAGTGTTGTGTGCAACGGTCGTAAATCACACCCAAACGTTTAACCTCGCAAAAGTCAAGTCTGGCATGTGTGCGTTTGCTGGGAAGACGTGACTTAAGCATTACAGTACTTACTTCACTTGTTACTCGGGTACAACGCCCGCAATTTTCAAATGCATTTTGCGCACACATGTACGCACACATTCTTCATGTGTGCGGTTGTGTGTGAGTGTTGGGTTAACTTGGGCTCAGGGTGCGCTGACTTCGTCATAATGGCTTAAGTCGCATCGCTAGACTAGCTCGCTCTAGTGCGATGCACTTTGCGTCGTGCATTGCGCAGATACCGTTCGTTTTTGGTTCCGAGACGGCGGCGGCGACGCCATTCCTAGAATCTAAACCTAAATGGACTTGACTTAAGTCATTCACAAAAAAGCATCTTCCCATCTACGAATGACATGATTTTTACAATTCCGCAGAAAAAAATTGTCACGTCTGTTGTAGGTAAATACCCGAGTGACTTAAGTGACTTAAGTGACTTAAGTCAAGATTAACAGTTATTCGCGAACCTCATCGCCGATATTATTCATAAGGCGCTTCGGCCGGTGACTTATCGCGAATTTTAATGCGCGTCGTGTTAGAATCAGTACACACCTGCAGTCCAGTCGGCCGCGACTTAAGTCAAGTTGTTCGCATGCTGCGCACGAAAGAGCGAGACGGAAGCGACGCACACCGAAACGTGCGCTGTAGCAAAATAGCGTCAATAACCTTTACAATAAAAAAACACACAAAGTTTTTGTGAGGGTTGCACATACATTGAGGGTTAAGTTTAACATTAGGAACATCTGCCCGCATATTATGATTATAATTCACTTCCTCGTCTTGTCGAAGATGTCGAGGCTTGAGGTTTGGAAGAATTCGATCCACGCCTCAATTTTTGATCGAGGGTTCCTTTTTTTTCTCGAGGGGCTTGAAGTCGCGTGTGCGTTGCATATGAATTCCGGGAAGCGGCACGTGTGCGCCACGCTTGCAAGATGCACACGCAGGTAGTACCCGGAAACTGCGATTCTTTTTGGCCCATGCGATCGGATTACGATTATTACGCCGCAATTAAATGTTTAGGGCTGTTTGCCATCTTGCGCTGCGGCGAACAATGCCATGGCGCGCGCTCGCAGATATTTACGACATAACGACATTTTGACTTAAGTTAAGGCATGGAATGTGGGATTGCAATAAAAATCGATTTTATTGCGATTTATTGACTTTTGCCGTTACAACGCACTAAAATCTGATAATATTTTAATATCTGAGCTAAAAATTACGCTTGGGATAATTATGTGTATCAACAATATATTTTATTACGTGTTGTTCCGGTTTTATAAACAATTCCAAGGTGTGCGCTCGTTTTTTGATGGGTTCTGTTTGCTCTCAGAGGTGACTAACACTTTCATGGCCCCCGAAAAACCGTGACGATATATTTTTGGCATAATTCGGACTTGACTCAACTTAAGCCAGATCTTGCGTCGAAATCTAGAGTTCAATGTCGTACGCTGACGTGTTGGGAATGTGAGGTTTCCTCCTAACGTGTGTGCGACGCTCTTTTGTTCCGCGAGGTTCCTGGGTCACCGACTGACCATGGCCGAATGCTTGTACTCTACGCTAACCTCAACAAACACCTCTAAAAACCGCCCATACTCAGCCTTCGAGCGTTCCAAAACTAATAATAATTAAACTCTAGATTTATTTATGTTTTTGCAAGGTCCTATCATGCGATCTCTGGTGGGATATGATCTGATTTTTTCTCGCACGCGCGCTGATTTCGTGATTTGGTGTATTCAGTGCGTTTGTCTCACTTTTCGCGCGCGTTTTGTGTACCACTGGGGTAAGTGACTCGGCGTGACCTCAAGCGCGTTCGCGATCGGCGAGTCGCGCGCGCGCGCTCGTACACCTAGGTCACTGGCCCGAAGAAACCTCTCCTCAGGAGGAGGAGGACGCTTCGCTTCGCGATGAAAAACGAAAAAATTCACTCATACACACGCACACTCTGCGCCGCAGAATGCGAGCGAACGAAGAACAAGAGCGATGAACGCTCGCCAGGAGGACAATGAACGCACCACACTAGAAAAGTTTACTTGACTTAAGTCTATTTCGAAAAAATTTACTATTGCCCAAATATTTGCTTTAAATTTATGTAAAGTGTAAGATTTTTTGGTGCCTTCGGGATTTTACGATTTGTTTTTATACATATTTATAGTTTTATTGCCAAAAATCAGTTCATAAGCTCCGAAAAGTCCGAAAAGTCAGTAATTCTCAGAACAAATTATTGCTCCTAATAACTAACAACCAATAAACTCATAAACCACCATGAGAAGACGAAAGAAAGGCCAACGATGCTCCGAAAAGAACGGAAAGTAAAATTTGTTTACCGCCTTGGGAGTGACTTGACTTAACTTAAGTCGAGTACCTCTACTACGCGAGAGCGAGAGAGTTGGAGACGACGATGCCGAAAGTCGAGGCCCGAAAAAATTTCGGGCCGCACCGTGGTTTTACGACTAGTGAAAGTTGGACTTTTTGTTTCACGGTTTCTCAACACATGACTTAACTTTACACACACGCTGCGTATGATGCCGAAAAAATTTAAGTCATGTTACGAAAGTTACGACATTTTTCATCTCGGAAGGTTACTATACATTCTCGGATGGTACCAGTTTTCCTATTGAGAAATCATTATTATCGGGTCGTAAACCCTTGTGACTTAAGTCACATATTTAAGTTGTAAAGTATCTTTAACATCATAATCGTAAAATCTTCTCAACACATTTTCCTATTTTCAGAATACATGTTTACTAAAATGTTTACTATGCTTTGAACTAGAATGTGACTTAAGTCAATTCTCATTCAAAAGGGTTGACTCGACACTAAGTTAAATATTTACATATCAATGTGATCTAAATATGACGCTGATGACTTAAATTGCAGTGTTGCAGAAATGACTTAAGTCATATAATCGTTTCTGCTGTATATAAAAATTTCGATTTCGACGCGGAAAAGGAAATCGTTTAGCACTCAGCTCGTCGTCGCCTGAAGCCCACAACGTAATTTTTGCTAGGTCGTCGGATAAATTTAGCAACGACGTGGTGCGCGAGGACGAGGTGGCCGCGTGCTCGCGACCTTGATTCGATAATTTTTTGATGACCAAGCGCGCGCACGCTTGCGAACTCGACGCGAGCCTTCAAGGCTTCTGTCGTTAACCTTTCGGGTCGGAAAAAAGCATCGCACATACTTAACGCGAATTTTAATTCAAATGACTTAAATATCAGCCTTTAAAGAATGCAAAATTTCTAATAAATGAATCGAGTAAATGGAGGTTGCGAAGAGTTGTAGAAGAATGATCGGATAGTGAAAGGATGAATTATCTCGTTTTCGATGGAACGCTCGCGAGAGAGCGCGCGCGTTTGCGCACGCGAGTCTCAGCACACACCGAAGTCGTCCTTGGCCGCAGTTGTTGCACGCCTGTCTGGGTAATTCAGTCAAGGTTCGCGTTCAACGAACTCGATTCCGCTGGTGGGGCGCGCGCGCGCGGGCGCTGGTTTCGCACGAAGAGTCGCGAGCGCGGCGCGCAACTCTGACTTAAGTCAGAGCACGGCGGCGTGCGTGGTGGTGGTGGAATTGTCAGTGACCTCCAACTTGAGCGTTGTGCGCGGCACGGGCGCGATGAACCCGCGCATCCCCACCAACCCATCGGGCGCTCGCCGCGCGATACCACTTGTTGGCGCTCGGTGCGATGGTGGTGCCCTTCAGGTAGCTGAGGCGCTGCTCCGCTGCCGTTTTAATATATACGAGCCGGCGAGTCTTCGGCGCGCCAGTCGGCATCGGGACTTTCACTCTCTGCCAAGCAGCGAGCTCTCTCGCCCCGCATGTGTGTGTGTTTGTGTTCCCGGAGCCACAAATACGAGTGCTTTACTTATTCGCGCCTCAATCGCCATCGGGTGCGCCCATCGTGCGGACCTAATCGAAATCGAAAACCCGTGCGGCAGTGATGAGCCATTCGAAAAGTGAATTTTGTTTAATAACAAACAACAATCAAATGATCAACTAAAATCTCACTTGATTTTAATTCATTTGGGAATTCAGTGATTTTATTCGTAGTGAAAACAGTGTTTAAGGATTCCAATCACTCATTCGAGGATTAGTGTGATTGCGAATCGGTCCTTGAGATGATTCTTTCGCCGGACAGCACAGTGCATCCACAGTCACATCCAAGAGCGATGGCGTTATCAGAGAATCACTATAGTGATATCACGTCGTCGACGCAAATCCGCGAACCTACTCTTAATTTAGGTATTTGCCGAAAACGTTTCTCTCTATTCGAAACCAATTTGATAAAGGTCATTGATACGAAGATTGCTTGCCGCAGAGGTTACTTTCACCGGTATTAAGTAATCTTCTTTCTTCGCCTGAGCGCCGCGCAGTTGACTTAAGTCGCATGCTGCATGACCGCGAGAGTTCTCGCTCCGGCGAAGGAGAAAGTATCACGCAACGCAGTCACTTTCTTTTACTCACACATATCTAACTATATTTATACATTTTTTATTTACATTCACAACGAAATTTACAAAAATTTCTAATTCTAAACTGACTTGACTTAAGTATTATCTTAAGTCATGTTACTTAACACGTGTCACTTAAGTCACATATGTAATGTATAAAAAATTCAATCATCAAATATTAATTTCCCTGTTGTTTTTATTACAGAATTTGATGGTACCACAGTCCTTTGTCGCGTGTGCGGTGACAAAGCATCCGGTTTCCATTATGGCGTGCATTCCTGCGAGGGCTGCAAAGTGAGTAATTCAAAAATAAACCTCGTCAAGTACAGCAAGCGATATGTTTACGATAAAATATTTATGTGTGTCATTGAGATGTGTAAATAGCGCGTCAAAGGTTGCGCGGAGTTGAACGCACGCGCATTGCCAAAAATTTTGCGAGGTCAAACGAACGCGGAAAAACCTTCAAATTTGCTCAGTATGCTCGCAACAATTTCGAGCAAGATTCGAGGTCGCGCAATACGAATATGTCAGTGAGTGTGTGGTCGCACTGATGACCACAAAAACACCCAGAATTAAACTATATCCGAAACCGGAAGTCGGAACAGAATAGCATTAGGAACACAATTTTTTAGGTCGTAATTTGATATTTTCAAAGTTTTTGAGTGTTGCTCGTGAAAAAAAAATAAGGTTGAAGGTCGGTTAAAGATGTCAACGTCCGAGGTGATGTCCATGGCGTCCATGGTTAACATCAGCGCCATCTACCTTGACACCTGCCAACTAAAAACAAGTTTAAATAACTTGTGTCCTAAATTAGCATGTTTACTATGCGCAATAATTATTATCACAAACCTTACATGATAACGTAAGCGTAATGTTTGCTCTATATTTCGAAAACTAATTATACAATGTGTTAAAAATGCCATTTGGAAAATTATCAACTGCGCAATATGCGGTTTTGTTTTTGTACCTCACGGTGGATGTTCTATGTTCGAGGTTGACTACTCGCGAGGTCTATGAACCCTTTATTCTAAATAATATAATAATTATTCCGACAAGGACTTTGGCAAAATTATTTATATATTTTTGGAGCGTCGAATAAAACATGTTTGATATTACATATTCAATAATTTATTATTACGATGGCGATTAACCTTGACTTTAAGGTTTAAGCCAAGTCCAGGAAGTGAAGTTATAAATTGGTTTATAATTATATTTCAAGTAAAAGTTTAATTATTGCAGTTCGAATTTGCTCCCAAGCCTTGTTCAAGTTGACTTCCGGCCGGATATGTGTGCATTGTATGACGTTGTGTACGAATGACCCAATGTAAAAGTCGCACGGTCACCAACCACCATGAAACCCTACCTTGAAATGTGTTTCGACCAAGAAAAATCTCCGCGCAGATTGTATTTACCTGAATTTAAAGTTTTTTTTCTTCTGCTTTGAGGGCGAAAGATGCAACAGATTGCAGAAAAACACCCCCAAGCTTTATGGTCGCGGGTTGGGTTGTTTCGCACCTTTCACACACCTGCCCAGCTTTTACTTTTCGTGTAGTTTTCGATAAAGGGTAGTTTTAAAATTCGACCCCATTTCACATAACAATCTGCCGAGGAATGCGATTTCTTTGTTTGGCGTGGGTTTTTGCACTCGAAAGGGATGCGGTGTACAATTAAAAAGGGTTCCATCAACAATAGATGGTCTCCGATTGCGATCTTTGATCTAGGTATCTAGTATATCTTGGTTTAATGGGTTATTCTATATTTTTTTGTTGCAAAATTTCAAAAATTTCGATTTTAAACGCACATAATACCCAGCAGGTAGACGAAATGTTTGTGCAACCCCTTGACAAAGGTTTAAGTGAAACCCTTTTATGATTGAATAAAGTGAAATTGCAAAAATAAAAGTTTTCAGCAAAAAAATATCGAAATATCACATTTCACACACAAGGGTTGATTTTTTGCTTAAATATTACTTTTATTAGAGCGGATGTGAGTTACACTTTTTTTCCACGCAGTATCCCCAAGACTAGGTTATTGCGCATTAAAAATTTCGCGCTTATTTGTTTTAATAACCCACTCTGGTAAAAAAAAAGGTAACGAACAACCAAAACAATTATATGCTAATCGGCACGTTTCGGTTTGCAAACGACGTAACGTCGTAACCCCGCCAGCGGTAACACGCACGCGAGCACACCACACCAGCAGGTTCAGTGTACTCGCGCGTCGTGTTTGCGCCATTCGCTTCGCTTCACGCGTGCCCCAACGTTACTATTTTACTATTTTATTCTTCGCGCGGCGTGCGGCGCGCGTAAAAGGTGTGCGCGATACACGCAGAGTCATCGGTTTCTCCTCGTCCTCGTCCGTCCGCGCGCTCACGCGGTGAACGACCCGCGAAGAAGTTAAGTTCACTTGACACGCGGTGCTCAGTACGAAACGAAGTCGTACGAACGCGCGCATGCCGCCAGCTTCGTGCGTGTTCGTTGGCTAGGCGGGGCGCGTGTTCAGATACTTAATGTAGACAACACGCGAATCTCATCAGTCGCGCGCACAACGCGCAGTTGTGCAGACTTTTCTATTTATAAGCGCAACTCTTTTGATGTGAATTGCTTCTATTCTATCTATGATATTTTTATGAAATTTTCAGAGTATTATTATTTAATTCTTTAGATTTTGTTTTGTTTATTGTTTTGATCATTAGCGCTTTCTTGTGGCAATTGTTACAATTACATTTGAGTCATTTGAGTAAAAGTTAAATAATTAATCGAAACGCGCCTCCCGTAAACGAATAAATAACCGATCGGAAAGAAAGTGAGCGGCGCGCACACGCGCGGTGAGAGCGCGTTAATTATGACTTCATCGCTTCGTTCATAAATAAACACAGAAATAAATAAATAACAAATGAGATGTATATGTTTACAATTTATAAATGACCATGCCAAGATCTTAGATCCTAGATTAAATCTCTGAAAGAGAAATTATTACAAGATTATCACATATCAAACAAGAAAAGAAAAATTTAAATTTAAAATTACTATTGATCAAAATTTTTGGCTAGAGTTTTGAGTTCTTTGACTTGTGTACATTTTTCTCTTCATTTTTGAACATTTCGTTGTTTGTTGCGTGAATCGAGAAACGTGGTGAAGAACGGGCGATGAACTCGAGCGCACGAGCGCGCTCACAAACGTTCGCGAATGTTCTCGGCGGCGTGCATAGCGTTAGAAATACGAGGGGTGGGGAGCGGCGGCGAGGGAGCGAACTTAGATCGCGAGTACGTCAACCTAGTTGCGAGCCGCGGCGGGCCAACAACCTCGAGTCAACTTCGAAATTTCATCAACAGAAACGAAACTAAACAAATAAAAATCACACCCAAAACCGAATCACAAATAAATTGCATTCAATTTTTCTTTCTAAACTTTCCATAGGAATATATTATTTTGATTGAGTTATTCAATACTATTAAGGGTTATATTTATATTTGTTTAATGTTGATAGTTAAACTGTTTAGTATTGCGCTTTGATTACATTTTTTAAAGATTAAAATTGTTTGTAACCTAATTTCTTCGTTAGTTGGAGTACGCAAAGTTCGATGCACTTTCCTGACCTTAGAAAATGTGGGTGCACACTATGCGGTTGTGCATGCAATGCACCGGCCCAAGTAGATAGACGTTTTGTATATGAGTGTGTGTGTGTGTGTTGGCCAAGTGCAGTTTTCGTTTTGCCCCGTTTTGCATCGCATCGCAACGCGCGCGCACTGGCACAAAAGCGAACGTTGACGTCGACCCGACCGACCAACCGACCGACCGGGTTCGTTCACTCCTGCTGCTGCTGGGCTGCCTTCTCTGCTGCAACCAGCCAGCCAGCCGACGCCGTGCCAGCCAGGCCGATGACTCGCCGGTGTAACTGACCCGCCGCAACCGCAGCCAGAATGCATCTGGCCGAGTGCACCGTTTGTCGGCGGCGTCGCGCCCGCGTGTGTGTCAATTACCTCTCGGCCGAAGAGCGTTCGTTCAACTGCACAAAGAAACTATTTTAAATATTTTACTATTAAGGGCTGGACAACTTCAACGCGCAACATTCCCAACTGGACCTGAACTTATTAAACTTATTTACTTGCTTTTATTATTTTTGATTAATTATTACGCCACACAACAACAAAAACAATGCGTGGAGCCAACTCTCTTTCGTTGGACGGTTGTGTTGGAGAGTACGTAACGAATTTTTGGGTTTAACAAACGCGTTGACCGTAAAAAACAAAAAACACTGCTCGCGCAATTAGAACGCTTACGAAATCCTAATACTAAGTAAATCTATGACGTTTACTTTGCTTCGGCGTATTGTTATTGTTGCTTTTGATGATTCAGTTTCGGGTTTAGCCGAATTGTAGTAGATAGATGTGCCTAGCGTTTGCGTGTATTGGTTGGCCAGAGTTCTTTGACTCCGCGCGCGTTGAGGTAGTTCACACTGGCGGCGGGCGAGGACCAGAACCAGAACCAGGTCGACGCGCCGCCGGGTGACGTAACGTTCCACTGTGACGTCACATACAACTACATACAAACGAACAACAATCATTTCAGCAGTGCTCGAATATTGAACAGATTAAGGGAGTCATTTGGGGTAAATTTGATTAATTTAATCTCGAGTACCTCGCCGTAGATTTGGTAGATAGGTGGTTTTTTGTGTGTAATTTTGTTATACAAACTCTCACTTTCACGTCGTGAACTGACGGCCTCGACGGGTGTGTGTAGCGTAGAGTCTATCCTCCTCTCTGTCTCTCTCACGAGTTGTTGGTTTGGTGTGTGTGTTGGTGTACGAGCGCCGGGCTCAGGCCGCGTTCAACGAACGGGTTGAACAACCCAGAAGTGGGTCACGCCGCGAACTGAACTCTCGCGCGCGGCGCTCACACCAACACACGCACACAATCGCAACAAACGCGAGCGCCCGGTGGTGGCCACCTCGTCCGCGGGTTCAGTACACTCTTGGAGTGCGTCGCGAGCGGACCACAATTCACGCCAAATCCTCCCTTTCGTGGTGTGTTGTGCCCTGCTGCGCTCTGGTACTATACAACAATGACAAACAAAGCGACCAGTTAGTGCGAAAAGTTTGGTTTTAAATTCTAAACGCAAATTGTGAAGGTGTTCCCCTGTTGTTGGATGTGTGATCCTTCTGAGTGTGTTCAAAATGATGGCAGTGCTTACCTGCAACGCGCCCGAAGTTTTATCTAACAATGCAACTCCATTAGAGGGTTGCGCCAATACTGACAATGATTGTAAACCGAAACATATCGCTTGCTGTGATAATGAACACGAGAATAATAGCAGTAGTAGCGGGTGTGAGAGTGCCGATGAGTGTCAACAACCAGAGTGTCCTTCTCGTTCGCAGGGCTTCTTTCGACGCAGCATCCAGCAGAAGATACAATATCGTCCCTGCACCAAGAATCAGCAGTGCGCCATCCTGCGCATCAATCGCAACCGGTGTCAGTACTGCAGGCTCAAGAAGTGCATCGCTGTGGGGATGTCCCGAGACGGTAAGGATTTTTTGAATGACCATTTTTTGGGTAGTCTTTGTCCCATTTTTGGGGCTCGGTGTTAGTAGTAGTTGTTTGCAAATATATGGGTCGCAGGGTTGAACGACCCGTGGAGCGCGCGCGAAACGTAACGGCACGTTCGCCGCCGCGCGCATAGAAAGTTCACCTGGAGTTCAACGAACCCGCAGGCCCCCGTCCGGGCTGCGCACATTACTGGGTCAAATCCGAGCTCGCGAGGAGTCGTCGACCCGCGCCGCGGCCGCGGACACATTCGAAAGTTGTTTCGACTCCCTCCCCACCCACCATTACAATATCGCAATTGACGCTTGCATAATGTGGATAATCATAATTCTGCATTTAAGGAGAGCGAATCGTGTTGAGGTCAACCGCTCGCGCATGTGTCACAATTTAATTATTTAATCAACAAATTCATTTCATTTAAATTATTATAAATTTTTCTATGCTTTGCATTGTATGCTAAGTGTCAAAGACCAACAATGGCCAGTGCCCTAAACGCTAAATTTTAGTTTTTGGTTCATTGACTTGTTTGAAAGTCGTGCGAAAAATTAAATTTCACTTTTACTTTTACTTGTATCTCTCCCCGCTCCGCGCAGCGAAAAGAAAGTTTCTAATTATGCGGTGATGCTCGATGCTCTCACGACGCGGCGGCATCGAAAGAAAGTTTTCTCTCCGCGCGCGAGCATCGGCAATATTTCCTGGCGAAAGTTGGTTTCGTAATATGACATTTTTTGCGCGTAACTTTCGAAGCGCGCTTGCTTCTAACTTGGATATCGTCACGTGGCGCCATCCTGCGACTATGCTCCGTATTAGTAGGGCGCATGCCTGATGAACCCGCGATCGATGTTTGCGTCGGCGGCGAGAGGACCTTGACAAGCGCCGCTGGGCGGAGTCACCGACCTTCGCCAACAAAACCCTTCGCTGAGCGCTCCATCTCTGTCGACGCGATGTGCGGTATGTGAATCGCAGCGAACGACCGTTCAAGTTCAAGGTGGCGTGGCGCGGCGCGGTGGGAGGTCACGCGCCGCCTCGAGTGGGGGGCGCTAGGTGGGGGGGCGGGCTTTCGCGCCGCGCGCGGTTCTCTCAATTCGCGCCACAACCGCGTCAACCGCGTACCTGTAATGTTAGGACGCGCGCTCCGCAGTCCGACATCGACGACGTCGTCGCTGCTCGTCACCGCCACCGCTACTACAACCGCCGCCCGGCGCGCACATGACGCCGCCGTCAAACGCAAGAAACGGGTGGTTGGCGAAATGGGCGAGGAGTTGCCCATCCTCAAGGGGATACTCAACGGTGTCGTGAATTATCATAACGCACGTAGGTGTCACTAGAAAAAAATTACCGGAATATTTATATATTGTTTAAAAGTGAAAATTATGGACAAAGTGAAGTGTGACGACCAATTGGATTATTTTTGTTTTGTGTTTGTTTGAGCTTTGTGCGCGGATGATAAAAATCTTTTTGGCGCACTTTCTACTTGACCTACAACACTGACGTGAAAGCGCCGCACGCTTCGTGTTCGCCCACAATATCATGATCATCATCACGAAGCGATTTTGTTTTCGATTCCACTTTCTCCACTCTCTAACAAACACAAAAAAAAATTCACTTATTTATTTTACAATGTAAAACATCCAATATGGCGTCCAATGTTAACTTTATTTAAGGCAGATGTTGAGGCAGGTGGTCATGAGACACGCGCCATGCACCTGGCTTCGGTTTTAATTTTACCCTTAAGGGTTAATACGGATACTCAGACACTCTCTCTTATAAATTACTTGAAATTCGGTTTTTCATTTATTTTTCATTTTGTTTGTTACAGCGGTGAGATTTGGCCGTGTACCAAAAAGAGAAAAGGCCCGAATTCTGGCCGCCATGCAGCAAAGCTCTAACTCTCGATCTCTGGAGAAGGCAATCGCCGCCGAATTGGAGGATGACCAACGTTTGCTCTCCACCGTCATCAGGGCGCACATTGACACGTGCGACTTTACGCGCGACAAAGTGGAACCCATGCAGGCTCGCGCCCGTGAACAACCCTCCTATACAGCGTGCCCGCCAACTTTGGTGAGTATTGATATCTTAATTAACGGACAATCAAATTTGATTATTGTTGGTCCGGTTTGACCTTGCGTTGTGGTCGAAGCAGGAAACACTCAAGGTTTGCCTGACCGTTTGTTTGTTTGTCTCGTTGCCTCAAGGTTTTAGTTATTGTCTCATTCGGTTGTTTTGTGTTTCGGTTACAGGCGTGTCCGCTAAACCCTAACCCGCAACCACTCACCGGGCAGCAAGAACTCCTCCAGGACTTCTCCAAGCGCTTCTCGCCCGCTATCCGCGGCGTCGTTGAATTCGCGAAGCGTATCCCTGGATTCTCTCTTCTCGCCCAGGACGACCAAGTAACCCTCCTGAAAGCTGGTGTCTTCGAGGTATTACTAGTGCGCTTGGCTTGCATGTTTGACGCGCAGACAGCATCGATGATCTGCCTCAATGGTCAAGTTTTGAAACGCGACGCCATCCACAACAGCTCAAACGCAAGGTTCCTGATGGATTCAATGTTTGATTTCGCCGAGCGCATGAATGCGCTGCGTTTGTCCGACGCGGAGATTGGTTTGTTTTGTTCGGTTGTTGTGATCGCGGCGGACAGACCCGGACTACGCAACACTGAAATGATTGAGAAGATGCAGAACAAGCTCAAGCACGCGCTGCAGACGGTCATCTGCCAGAACCATCCGGGCCAGGCTGATATTTTGCATGAGTTGATGAAGAAGGTTCCTGATTTAAGGACGTTGAACACTTTGCATTCTGAGAAACTGTTGGCGTTCAAGATGACTGAACAACAACAGATCATGCAGCAACAGCAGAATGCTTGGAGCCTACCTAAGGAGGAAGAGGATAGCAAAAGTCCTGCTGCGTCTTCGTGGTCTTCATCGTCTGATGTTACCATGGATGAGGCTAAGAGCCCCCTGGGGTCTGTTTCGAGTACGGAATCGATGTGTTCCGGGGAAATGAACACGATGGATTATCACCACCAGGGTCTGCACAACGTGAGTCCCAATGTAAGCAGTGCCCCATTACTGGCGGCGACACTGCAGGGTGGTATCTGTCCGCATAGGCATCGCGCTAATTCCGGATCTACATCTTCGGGTGATGATGAACTGGCGGCGACGTCTCATTTGATTCACAACGGTCTCACTATCACACCAGTCTCAAGACCGCCCAACTCGCACCCGCGGTTCAGGAAACTCGACTCGCCTAGTGATTCCGGTATTGAATCTGGTACCGAGAAGATTGATAAGCCGTCGGCGCCAACGTCGCTGTGCTCATCGCCGAGGTCCTCTGTTGAAGACCAGCATATCGTGGAAGACATGCCTGTTCTTAAGCGCGTGCTCCAAGCCCCTCCTCTTTATGATACCAACAGTTTAATGGACGAGGCGTACAAACCGCACAAGAAGTTCCGCGCCCTGAGGAATAAGGATTCGGCCGAAGCAGAACCCATGGTCGTATTGTCTCCGCAGCCGCAGGTGGTTGTTGTGCAACCACCACAGCCGCAACGTGAGCACGTGCAGTCACAATTGCACATGCAGCTTACCGCGCCGCCGCAGTCGTCGCTCTCCAGCACGCACTCAACCCTCGCCAAGTCCCTCATGGAGGGTCCACGCATGACCGCCGAGCAGATGAAGCGCACCGATATTATTCACAATTACATCATGCGCGGTGGTGAAGCATCGCCGCATCATTCGGCCGCTCCTACCGCTTCTACCTGCCCGTATCGCGCGTCAGGCAGTCTGCTGCAACCGGCGTGGGCGACCAGCGTCATTACGACCACGTCGCGCCAACAGCAGCATCACCACAACCACCCTATGCACCATTCCACCGCCACGCCGCCTCCAGCGACGGCGGCAGCGGACTTCTCGCGGATATACTTGCAATCCCCGCATTCAACATCGCCGGCGCGTTCGCCAGCCACCTCACCAATGGTGACCAGCCCCGCACCCAAACTGATGGAGTTGCAGGTGGATATTGCCGACTCGCAGCAGCCGCTCAACCTGTCGAAGAAATCACCGTCCCCGTCACCGCGTCCTCTGAAAGTGGTCACGCTAGAAGTGTAAACAAGAAACTAAGAGACATTTTATTACGTGGGGCGAAGTATGAGAGTACAAAATTTTGGGACACGGACATTAATGCCACGTGTGCTGTGTGTGTGTATAAAGTGTGCGGACAACTAAATTTGATGAAATCGTATTACAAACCAAATAATTTATTACTTGTATATTACCTTGCTATACTACTACTGTATATGTCATGTGAAAAACAGCGTGCGGATGCGGACGGACGTGTGATGACAGCCCCGGAACCCTCTCAATGGAGGCTGGAGGGCGATAGTGCGTGAATGTGCAAAGAATATTATTGTTAGGATGTAGTTTGGCTGTTTTTTTTTTCTCTCGTGCATATTACACATAAAAAATCAAGATAAACAGATTGTAAAGTTACTTCCGCCATTACCACGAACGCAGCGACGTCGACAAGGGCGTGGCTTGATGTGAAAGGGCTGGCACAAGACGTGCGCGTGTGCAGATACATGTACATAGCGGACCAACCCCAGCTGCGCACGCGCGCGTTACTTTGCCACGTTTCTTAAGCTACGCCCTGTCAACGCCCGCCAAGAATCCTAACCTATTATCGTAGCTGTATAAGTTCTACATAAATATGATATGAAACAAAATGAACAATCACTAATTTAACGAGTGGCTATTTCCTTAAAACAAAAAGTTAATGTCATTATCAGTCGAGATGAGAATCAGCACCAATCCTATACATATATAACCTGGCAAAATTTAAGAGTAATTACTATTCTAATGATAAAATTAATTGATGATGATGGGAGTTTAAGCAAAAAAACTATGCATAATTATATGTGATAAAAGATTTCGTTCGTTTCTTAGGAGACAATTTTTCTCTCGTTAATTTTTTTGTTTTGTGTTAATATATTATTATATTATCAACGTCGTATCTCAGTTTGTATAAAGAAAGAAACAGAGGAGAATCATTCATTAAAGTAATTCATTAATCATGTGCATCACCTCATCATCGAACACACTGTATGTGCGCGGGGGGCGGGCGCAGCGAGCATTGTACATACTAGAGAAGGCTCGCCGCCATCTTGAGATTTTATGTAACTGACTTGTAAATGATGTCAATGTCCATTTTCTGATCTAAACAAACACAAAGAACACAAAGTTAAAACAGACAAACCGGCCTGAGGTCTTCTGAAAAAACAATAAATTGCAAATTGAAACCTAAATGAATATGTAACAAAAGCCGTCTTCAAAACGAAACATATTGTATATTGTACTTACATGTTTGTTTGTGTAATATACGTCGTAGGCTCCGCCCATCCGTGGCGTCAGCTGCGGGGCGGAGCAGAGAAATCATATTTAGTGACAATTATGACGAGATGGTGATTGTTGAGACGTCGCCACTCATATGTGGTGCACGTACGAAGGCCTTGACGAAACACTAGATCGATTTTTCGAACGTGAACATGTGTAATTAAAAAAAAATTGAAATCTATAAGAAAAGTGCATAATATAAACGATATCTAAATATTTAAATAATTTAAAACAAAGACAAAGACAGCGAGATGTGGTTGTATTGATGAGGGAGGAAGAGAGAGATTATTTTAGCAAATTGAGAGCTCCGCCCCCCAATTGGGCGGGGCTTTGTATGAGAGATTTAGAAAAAACCGAAAGATGGAGCATACACACACCTGTCTCTTGTGCATATTGTTGTGTATACACTGTGTAATAATCATGTAATTTTATAATGTTGGACATTGTTCAGGTCTGTCACAATAAACCTGTCTGGTGATATAAATATTGATTTTTCTTTCTGAAATCCCATTTTCTTTTCAGGATGAATTTTTCATATTGTGATTAAAAGAACTTAAAAATAAAATAAGTTTCTTTCGAAATGCAGAGCCGAACTTTTTTGTTCAAAATATTTTGGGTCGAAAGACAGGGTCGAACTTTTTTGTTAAAATTATTTTCAGTCGAAACACAGGGACGCACTTTTTATTAAAATTATTTTCGGTCGAAAGACAGGGTCGAACTTTTTTGTTAAAATTATTTTTGGTCGAAACACAGGGACAAACTTTTTTTATAAAATTATTTTTGGTCGAAAGACAGGGTCGAACTTTTTTGGTAAAATTATTTTCAGTTGAAACACAGGGACGAACTTTTTTATTAAAATTATTTTTGATCGAATAACAGGACCCACAATATACATATTTTAAGTGTTTTGCAATGTGCTCAATCGTGTTCTATTGTGCCCTACTAATCAAATACGTTAGAATTTAAAATTGTGATTTCTGCCTAAACCTTTACTCTGATTACAAAATGGTACTAAGATAAATTAATCAGGATCACGTTTTCTCTAATTTTCTGAAATAAAACGTGCAAATTTGTAACTTTTATTTTTTGCTTAAGAAATGATGGAAAAACTGAAGAAAAATGGTTTTCTGATTCGTATTTAGAGTGGAATTCTACCTTATGTAACACTTTAAAATTTTCAATTTACTGCACTTACGTAATTATTGAAAATGGCTAATAACTTGAAAACTAATTAAGATATTGGAATAAAACTTGAAAAAATGATTCCTGGCATCGTTCAGCACCCGACTGGAAAGTTTCGAGAAAATCCGAGGGGTGGTTCAATTTGGCATGTACCGATTTTCACCCGACTTTTCCGAAATATTGATGTAATCGGAAAACTGACTAGATATCTTTTATCGCATTGTAATTCTCTATCCAATGGCGTTTTCCATTTTCTTGTAGCTTACAATTTAATTTTTAGGCCAAAAAATCATCAAGTGTAACCTCTTGACTATTTTCAGTGGTTTTTTGTCAACTTCTCAAAATCGAAAAACTAAATCTACCATTTTTGAGCTTGTCATTAGTGCATGGAGAAAGTGTAAAAAGTTTCTTTGTAACTTTTATAGTTTTCGAGAAAATTGCATCGGAAAACCAATTTTCATTTTTTGAAAAGTACAAATTTTAAAGTTTTATCTTCTGTAGAATTGTTTGCTGAATGCAACGTCGTTTTCCGTTTTTGTTTATCTCGATTAGTTTCAGAGATAATCGGCATTTAAATGTTGCTGAAAGGGCACTTAAAAGCGTCCACAGGATATACCGTAAGTACTAATGAATGAAAAGTTAAATTATATGTTAATTAAGAACCTCTCTATGGTTTAATTAGATTTTAAAAATAAATTGAATCACTTGATAAAATGCCAGGCGCCTCCGCCATAATTTTGTTCATTATTTGCTTTTTTTGATAAATTAATAAAATTAATTTTTTAATTGCAAATTGTGAAAGAGATCAATTATATTGAATTTTATTGAACATTATTTTAATTGGTCGTTTAGTTAACTCAAAATTCAATATTTTTATGACTACTACTACTACTACCTACTTTTTATGACATAGGTACCTACCTGCTTTAGAAAATGTTGGGTCCTCTTATTCAGCTGAAAATAAATTTAACGAAAAAGTTCGGTCCTGTCTTTCAACACAAAATATTTTATACAAATAAAGTTCGACCCTGCCTTTCGACCGAAAATAATTTATCCAGAAAGTTCGGCCCTGTCCTTCGACCAAAAATAATTTTAATAAAAAAATTTTACTCTGTCTTTCGACAGAAAATAATTCAATGAAAGAAGTTCATTTCTGACTTTCGAGCCAAATGAATTTTAAAATATTAATTTTTGCCATTGTTTTCAACTGTGGGATCGGTGAGTGTGGGTTATAATTGATGCAAAGACACTTGGTTTGAATATCACGATGTAAGTTTATTAAGAAGTTGTGGTAATGCGTTTATTAATAAGTACTAGCTTCTGCATCAAATGAACTCGAAGAACTGACTGACTGACGAACACCTCTCGAGGTGCCCCTTTTATATCGGAAATTTTCACCATCTGGTCTTTGTGTTTATACGTTAGCTATTGTGAATAGGGCGAGACGTCGTCCAGACGGTCCCGGCAATTATTACCACTGAATAGGTATACCAATAAATATGTCAAAAAGAGCCTTGAGTTGAGCAATTCGTACCCAGACTACAAGGGGTTACTCTGTTTCGTTCAGACTAAATAAATGTAGACTAAACATCCTTGCCGGACCGAGCGTACCAACACAAAGCCCAGATGATGAAATGTACCCCACACAACCATAATTAATTATTTGAAAGTTCGGTTTTGCTTTTAACCAAAACTTATGTTTGAAACACATATGCGACCCTGATTCTCGACAAATAAATGAAGAAAAATGAGGAAAACATTTTTGATGGGTGAAAATTATATTTTAAGGAGGATCTTTGTACCAATTAGACGACATATAGAAACCCTAAATTACCCTATAGTGGCTGGTGATACGGGGTGTTCCCCCATAGCAAGTTTTTAAAATTTTAGCGTTTTAAAGTACTTTCTAGAGGTTTTAGGGGTGAAAATTATGCACATATAGTAAAGGGTTCTTAATTCTATATACCGACGTTTAGAAACATAAAATTGCCTTACTCTGATTGAAGATAGAGGACGTTTTCTGCATCTACAAATTTGGGAAAAATAGCTCTATTTATGTGGCATTTTAGGGCACTTTTAATGGGTTTTGACTTTGAAAATAATACACATAATGTACAAAAGTTCTCTGACTAGTTTATAACAACTAAAAAACGCAAATTGCTTTATTAGGATATTATCTATAACAGGAGTGTTTTCTATGTCAACTTCAATTTTTTTTAGAAAAACAACTATTTTAACTGGCATTTAAGCGTAGTCCATCAATTTGGGGGTGGGGGGAAAAATTGGAGGGCGCCTGATTCAGAGAGGCTCTTTATTTGGTATACCACGAGATGTAACAACAAATTTAATAACCTCCTAGAATATATAGGGTGTTTTTGAAGCTAACCTGCAAATATCACACAAAAACACAAACTTTGCAAGGAATTTTAGGGTACTTCCTCAATATTTTGAAAGTGAAAAGGGTGCATTGTTGTAGAAGGACTTTTCAACTACTAATAGCGAAAAGATATCCGTTTCCTCATTAGTTCCAACTGTTCCAACAGACGGTTGTACGCTGACATGCACACGCTCAACTGCAATTTTGATCATAACTACTTTTCAGTGCAACTACAGCTTTAATTTAACGTGCAAAAGAGTGAAGTGAAGAAGAGGCAGGTGTTTTGTCAGCCAGTGACCTAAATTCCCTTGCAATTGCAGTTTTATGCGTGTGGACGCGTGCGCGAATGCACGAAATTCAATTACGATTGCAAGGTGCAGGTATTCAACGCGTAAAATCATCAGCTCAAGTGAAAATAACAAATAACACTTAAAGCAATAATACTGTGCTTCATACGAGTGAAACTCACACATGTACTTGAATACAGAGTATAATTTTGATTATTGCTTCATTAAACTTGATTAAACATAAAAATAATTACGTAAAACGTGAAACAGCTGCATGATATCTGATTAAAAATGATTTAAGGGTTTAAAAGAACAGTGATAATCATTTTTAGACACTGGACAATAAAATGACGAAATCTGGCCATAATAATGATCATATTGTGGAAGATACAGGGCGATGTTGCAAACACGATACCTATGTGTAATTTCAAGTGTTTGTCTAGAAAATACTCAAACATTGTAAAAATAGATTATTTTTCAAATTGTAAAGTATTTTTTCGAGATTCCTTGGCGCAACGTACTCTCAACGAGTTGAACGACCTGAAAATACGCGTGAATTGCGTATCAAGGCTGCTGAAATTTTTTATGCGCTAGCGGGTCCTATTTTTACATTCGTAAATTTAATACGCGCTCAACGAAAATATTTTTTCGCACATATTACTTCTGAACACACAGCAAAAAGAAAAGAAAAGAAAAAACATAAATGTCTGTTAACAGACAATATACATGGCGTCGTATTTGCACCCATAAACAAGTTTTGTTTTCAGTTTCAGCCATCATGTTTTGTACTTTTTGGGGTTTACAGGCAGAGCCAAACAATTTGCATGAATTATTTCAGTGATGGAAAAACAGATTTTCGTGACGCGTACAAAAACGACGTGCAAATCGACTTGTCTTGTTTTTTATCAGTCTAGACACCAATTTTTTATGCAATCATCCACATAAAACATAAAAAAAAATTGTTATACAGTAACACAATACGCGCAAGGATGAAATAAAGATCTCCGAAGAACAAAAAACAATCAACGAAAGGGTTTCTGCTTTATTTGTCATTTATATATGTGTAGTGTGTGTGTGACCTTGTTTTAGGTTATGTCTGAGGTGACCTCCACAGTGCGAGGGTTGGTCGGGTTGAACGAACACTGAAAAAATACGAACAACGCGCAAATAACGTCGCCGAGGTCGCGACGTGCGACGCGCAATAATAAAGAATGAAGAGCACACACACGCACAAACAAATCAAACAACAAGAACAAGATCAAGAAGGAGCAGCAGAAGAAGAAGAAGAAGACTTTGAAGTTCTCCATTTGTCTGAAGCAGAAAACAGTCGCGCCCTATGACACCCGCATTAACCTTCAATTCTTCTTTTACTGTCTACATAACCTCAATACTCAAGTACTAATGCAAACTTAATCGGGAAGTACACAAGTTATTTGCACATTGATAACCTATTTTATTTTATACTTTCCTATATTTCGGTTATATTACCTACACCGGCGCGGAAAGAATTTAGTGCGCCTGAACGAATTCGGTTGGGTCGGCGCGTCGCCCTTGAAGGTTTCGCCCGTTTACGCCCGACGTCCGCAAGGCCACGGGCCAACGAACGCTCAACGCGCCACGCATCGACCGATCTAACTCATCCACATTCAACCTTCATCGTTAATTTTGTCATTTTTGAGCTTCGAGCTTAACAAAAGCACTTTCAGAAGGTCCCAACATGTTAATACCATACACGACCATAAAATAAAAATCATATAACCCATAACTATCAAATAACACAATGGAAAACAACCCTTAAACTGAATTGTAATGATTTTATTATAATATGATGATGATGGTGATGTAACAATTCGAAATTATGTGCTCGAATGTTAAGTACGTATGCGGACGATGGAAGTGATTAACAAATTGATTGCCAATGTCAATATGATTATCGCGACCCGTGGCAAGGTCGCGCACACTCATGAACACGCGCACGTCAACGACGCGCTCGCCCGCAGGTTGGGCGCGCAGAGTGAAACCTGTGTAAACTTGTAAAAGCGTTGCAGGGATGCGGAGCGACCGGAAAAGTCCCACGCAGCGCTCGCACGTTTGCAGCGCGTTGGCATGGCGACCCGGCGTGACGTCGAAGTCTCAGCCGCCTCCAACCCTCACGACGACCTAGAACTCTCGTCGGCGGCGGTGGCGGCGGCCTAGAACTCGAGTAAACTTGAACTTCCCAACCGACGCCCGACGCCAATGAACGCACGGCGTATTTACGTCATGAGCAAATATATACAAGCGAAATTATACTAATTGAATGAATAACAAATTTAACGATGGAGTATTACATTTTTTTCTATGTTTAGACGATAAAATACGGTGTGTATAATTTTCACTGACAAATGATTTGAATTGTTTTGTCTTTCGAGTGCGGATTTTTCGTGTGAGTCATTGCACTTTTCGACCTTGGCCAACCTCGCGCATCCTCTCATGACGTGTGCGGTGTGTGTCGCTGCTCTTGACTCCGTCGGTCGGTCGTTAATTAAGCGACACAAAACGGAACAAAACGCAATGACTCCCGATCAAGTTCATCCGCGCACAATCGTTCAATTGCCTACATGGAAATTCACCGCACTCACTTAACCACTTGAATATAAACAGAATATTTGTCTAGTTTTTAAACAAATGAGAAATAATGAGAGAAAATATCGTAAATCGTAACACAGCTATGGAATGAAATAAAACATTATCAATAATTGTGCTCGCCAGTGTTCGGTGTTCGGTGTGAGACGATAAGAAAAGGTGACATTGCCGTGTGGCCTTCGGCAGCGCGACGGCGGCGGCATGGACGGTGCGGTGCGATTACGCAAAACGCGCGCGAATATCGCGAATATTGCGGCACACATACACACATTTCAATGCCATCGGATCACGTTCTGATTAAACTCAACCGGAGGAAAAAACTAAGCCCCGGGGCTTATTTCCCGGGATTTCCTATATTACAAAAACTAAACCGCAACTGATAACTGATATCAACGCAGTCCAATCATCAAAATTGTCGCAATGTATGACAAAAATAGATTTTGACTTAGGTTATGTTCGTATATAATGTATGCAACCATAAATGATGATTTTTTCATAAAATTGGTATGTTATTTTGTTTTTCATGATGTTTTGTACGTTTTTTGAGTAATGAAGACGTGCGATAAGAAAATAGCGCATTGTTTGCGCGTGCATGAAAATCAAGGTCGGGTTTGTTAACAATAACAAGCGAATAAACGAACCGCGCGTTGCTATCGTAGCCGGTGCAGACGCGTCGAGTTAATAACGTATACAAAAACAATCGGTTTATATTATTACGATGAGCGGTAATTAAACGCCGAACGGCGCACAAATAAAGTCAAAAAGGTTAGCCGGCTCGCCTAACTCACAAACATTTTTGAATCACTCAATTACTATTCAAATACATAATAAAATCCACATTTAAATTCAATGTCAAATATCTACACATCTATACGGACACATTTTGACATTTGACAGTGTCGGGCGTCTCGAAGAATCTAATTTGATTTTTTTCCGGTTTGCTGTAGTTTGGCGCGAAGTTTCGCGGATTTAATTAAGATGACATTGTTTGAAAGTCAAAAGTGAATTGAATATCGTGAATAAGCATTGTGTTTGAGCCAACAAGGACGATATCTCATTATTGACTCGCATATACTCGACGGTCGCCTGTTCGAGCTGATAAGGAGTCAAGGTCACGCCGCACAACAGGGAAACTCGTTGTTTGTTTTGTTCGACTCTCTGTACAAACCGATAATCGGATTAATCACAATAATCACATCGGCCAATAAAGTTGTAATTAATTTCGCAGGCGAGACGCGTTTATTTTAACGCCATCTGAATTTTTTTAATAAAAAATGTTTTTTTTTTTCTATGCGGATAATATATTTTAGAAACTTCCGGTTTCAGTGTCGATTTTCTGAAGAATGAGGTTATGAGAAGCATGGGGAGCATTCAAAATTGCTTTTCGTTCACTTTTCCACTCCGCATTCCAATTTCGGGGCGTTAAAAGCTAAAACGAGGTTGCAAGGACACTCAAAGGATGCGTTCGAAAGCGATAAAAGACCAGCGAAGGAAAGAATGAGGAATATGGACAAGGACGAAGCGTTTTCCGCAGTTTTGATTTTTCCAGTCTTTACATTTTCACGACTCTACCTTGACTCCCGGTGGTCGTGGAGGAGCCTAAAGCTCAAGGATTTACAAGTTCAACATACAGTATGTTAAACAAAATCTTAAAATTAATATTAAAATAATTTTAATAAAAATTATGACAAATTCATAATTAAACACCCTGTATATAACAAAAGCACTCATAGAATTATACTTTATTAATTGTTTTAAGCTTTGAACTGAATGTATACAATCATGGTATGAAGGTGAGGGTGGAGTACGAGGCCTCGTCCTTACCCCTGAAACCTTGACCTGCTCCAGACGCGGCTCTGCGCCGCCAACGCTTTCAACCCCCGCTCTCCTGACTACTCATCCCTCCGTCAGCCTGCTGTATCTGCCGTGGCACCCGTTCGCGTCGCGCCGTCGCATCGCGTTTTCACAATGAACCCCGGGCGTTCAAGGTCGGACGTGAATGGGCGGCAATACACACACGCACGATTGCAAACAAACTACACACGTACAATCACGTAGGCAACCAAATGGACATCCAAACCAAAATAACCACAATTCTTTGCATGTCTACGTCAAGCAAAACTAACTGCTTTTGTGTGGCGGGTTGCAAACGACTGAATTTATGAATTCCAGTCAAGTTCCGCAAGTTGATAAGCTCCGAACGTGCCGGGGTGGATTTAACTGCCAATGGATTACGAATTTTGAACGGAAACAACGGATTTAACGGATTTATATTTAAATTATTTTATAAATATTTCACGGCAAAACCAATCGGACATTTTGCATATACAAAATAAATCAAATGCAATGGTTTTAATCTGATCACAAGATGGCAACAACAGAAAGAAATATACGGTGTGTTTGAAATTTGAAAAAAATCTAGAAATTTTCTATTTTCATTCAATCTACGTCACGAAATCGTTTGCTATGTGTAAGTGTGACCTTGAAAATATCTAATAACGAATTGCCATCGTCCCAACGTGTTTGCACGTGTGGGTTTGTGTGTGTATGTATATCGCGCCAGTACGTAAACACGTTCAAGGTCAATTCATCACATTACGATTCGCACATTCGCGTACATTCGCTCACACACACACACATATGTATAACTTATAGGAATATGTACTGTGAAGCACAGTAAAGTACGAATTTCCTATTTGTATCGAGACAAGAAAAACAAACGAGCCGCATTATGTGTGTAAACGAATGGTGTGCGTAAGAGCAGAGAGCATAACAACGCGTACAACATACGCCTATTGTTTATCACGCTGTCATGGCCGGCAAATATGGCCGACAGGTTTCTCTCCGGATAAAATTACGAATAACTTTTGAATTTCTGAATGGATAGTTATGATTTTTGATAGCCATATAGGTGACGGTGATGAGTAGTGTTTTGTAAAATTTCATTCATATTGGTTGAAAATCTTAAGAGATATTGACGAAAATGTAAACTTTTTGTTTTCCTTAAAAAGTAAAAGTAATAATCCATCAAAATCATAAGCGTGGGTGATATTTTCGCTCAGAAAGCTGCGTTTCATGTATTACCGTATTTCATTCCACCCACTCACTTATCTTCCCTGCACCCTTTTGCCCCTGAGTGCAGGTTTGCCACTTTCCCGCCAAATTCAGCGCCGCGGTTTTTCGCCGTTTCACGACTCTCACGGGTTTCATCCCACCATTCATCCGACCTTGACCGCCGTGTGCCATCTACCCACACCCGGAATAGTACAGAGTGTTCAATAAATTCACCTAATAATAAATTCAAAAACCTTTCAACCAACGGTTGATACTGTTGTGTGAGCACATTCAGTGAATGAAGATACGAAGCCTGCGAAAATTTAATGCGGAGTGAACGAACGGAGCCCGCCCGCAGAAGAACGTCCAGGGTTGTGTCCTTGAACGCGGCCACCCCCGGGAACACGGGGCCCACGCGATTTCCAGGGGCAACGCGCTCGATCGTTCGCGTTCAAGTTCAACACCATGCGCGTGCAATTGGTGCGTTGTGCGTTGCGTCGGCCCACGCGCTATCCGAGGATTATCAAGATGGCGGGCGCATGCTGGGCCGGAAGTGGGTAGTGTACTGACGCAATGCTGGATAATATTACGCAGTTTCATATTGCCATTACATACACACACACACATGTTCAAAATATTTTATATCGGTTTTCAATTTAGTACCAACCTAGATTATAAAAGGAAGTACAAACAAATTTTCTGTCAAAGTTATCGTCGTGTTTGATCGTTGACAAACCGTAGATAAAGATTGTAAATTTGTAATGAATGACGCAGTTTGCTCTTGTTTACGGTTAAAAATTCCTTGAAAGTGTTGCAAAATTGAAATTCCTTCAAACGACCTTCAATTTTGTTCTGCAATTAACTGGATTTTAAATAATCACATAAAACATTTCAGATGATGATAATTATTACATTTTTTTAGAATATTAGAGTTATGATTTTCATTTATTGATAAACCCGTTGGAATTTATTGACACACGTTACGAAACCAAGGAAATCTCGGAAAACCTTGGGAAACCTTTAACGTGCGTTTGCCTCGTGCGTTTATATAATGCACACTTTTTGCATGACACGTAAAATTTACGAAATCAACAAAAACAACAATAAATTTTATTTTAGTTGTAATATTGGTTAATTAAAATCATAAATTGTGCGCGAATGATTTGAGTACATTTTTGTGACATTTACGATCGTTATTACCAACAAAATTAGATTAGAATGTCACATTTATCACGCATGTAATATTCAAAACGATGTTTGTTAGTTCGTTAGTGTTTATGTCTGTTTGCATTCGATATCGCTCGCCGATCGCCGGTAATGCGATGCAATGTGTTAATAAAAAAACAATTAGCGCACGCGACCTTGAACGTCGACGCGCGGCTTGTGTTGCACTTGAACCTTGAAATCGTGTTATCTGCTCGTATTTTCGTCGACGAAAAATACGACGGAAAACTATTACATTACCCATGAAAAACACCAAAAACACGCGAACCGGCGGCCATATTGATTTTTACCACTATGCAACAAGTCAACAAGTTATGATTTAATTTTGGTTTCTGTTTGAAAAAGTAATTTAACGAATTTATTGGCCAGAAAAACGCGCGAGCGCAAAATAAACATTTAAAAGGTTAATGTTAATGTGAAGGTTGTGCATTTTATGCTATGCGGGGATTTCATAACCACGCAAAAGCACGTTATTTGTGAAAACAATTTGTTTGCTTTCTCGTTGTATTTGTTCCGGCCTGTTGAAATAAAAATAATTAAACAAATTGAAGATACGACGCCGTAAGATTTTGACGAAAAAATTGCGCAATAAAATCCGCTCCTGTTGTGATAATAATTTTCAAGGGCACCGAACGTATTTTGTTCGGCGGGAAGATACTGCGCGCAAATAAAACACAATTCTGCGAACGCAAAACATTGCACTTATTTCGTAAGCCTGTTGCGCTATTGCATCCTGTGAGTTGTGAATTTGGCAATGATTGCACAAGCAACGATTGGGAAATGCCCAGATATGGCGCGATTACTAATCGTGAATGCAAAATATCTTTGGGTAAATACAAACATTTCTATCGTTTAACCACATCCACATGTTGGACAATAAAAATGTTTATATTGATTTAATTTACTACGCTGTCAATTGTCAAATGTAATTCTAACCTAAAAGTTTGTATGGTTTAATAGGTAATACAGTGGAATTTGGATAATTTGAGGTAGAAATCGGTGAAAACAAGTGAAATTTGATACTAGGCACGAGTTTGCCAAGTCGTTGGCGTTTACCGCCATGTGTTGAATAAATAAACGCGAGCACACCAACAAGTCATACACTAGCGCGACGCGCGCGACCGCCGAAGCTCATTGCCAAGGACGCTTCGATTTATTTTCGGGCACCGACTACGTACCTACGTATGATTACGAGTGCCAGCGCGTGCTATCTGCTATCGGTTGTTATCTGTAATTTACATTACATACAATGTGTTCATTTGAAAATCCCCATCAAAATAAATGCCTATATTGGAGATGCGGTATAAGTACCGAACATCAAGCAATAATTTATATTAATATTTAAATTTTAAATAAAATTAAGTTTTTAATGGGGTCAAATATTGTTTTCTACAAGAGAGAAAAAAAAAAACAATTTAAGCTGATGATGTAAAATTCGATCTGGTTAGCATCTTCATTCTCGTTTCAAATCTCAACATGCTAATAAATACTACCAGGAAGTAGTAATGTGATACGATAATGCGAGAATTGGATATTACGTATTCGCAATTTGCGAAGCACAATGTGCGGGCAATAAGTACGAACGTGACAAGATCGCCTCCTCTCGGCGTAGGTAATTACTGTATCATCATTCGTCATCGACTGAAATAAATTACAACACAATAAAATATTCAAAGTTTCATTGATAGTAAAACACAATTTAAATCTATTTTAATTTTTTCTGTTTGTTGCTCAAAATAAACTTTACATCACTAAAAGTATTCTAATTCAATTTTAATTTTAGCTTTAACTTTATACTTGTCACTAAAATTCAAGGAAATTGACTGGACGCTTAATTAAAACTGGAATTTTAGTTTTTTATAACTAAGTGTTGAGTCGCCCGCGGTTTCCCGACCTATTTTCGTCCCCACGTGTTCACCATGCTCATATTTCACTAGTTGTTACTCATACAATGCGTATATGGTTACAAGTTTATTTATTTCGAGGAATTTGACGCATCACAACCGCGAAAATGTCTAAAAATAACTCGAATTGCATTCAAACCGGAAGAAGATGGCGCATAATGTCCAAATGCTATTTTAAGTTATACTGCCATATGATGATAATTTATTGATAATAACTTTATTATTATTAATACAAACGCAGTATGCAATTACCAATTAGCATGATGTGACATTTAATGACGACTCTCGATGACTTTTGAAAACATTTCTGTTCCTTGAACATTCTAATTTTAATTCTATAAGGAATTAACTAACTAAATTAACAATAATATGAGGTACAGGTAGTGATTGCACTTGGTCTTGGACGTGGTCTTGGTCTTGAACCATGAAATCAACTTTTCACTTCGATTACAACGACTGCATTTGCTTGAATTTATTGCAATTTTATGCAAACGCGTTGGAATGATGTAAGCGGTAGGCAAATGTCAACTTATCCAAACATAACCTTAACACATGTATTATTTAACAACCTAAACTAAAAATAATACAATTTATGAGTAACATCTAATAAACGTAAATTATTATTATATATTTATATAACCTAACCTATTTTTAGTACTTTTTCAATCGAATAATTACTGTTTTAATAGTTTGTGATTGTTTTAAGGTTAGTTTTGGTTAATTTGGATGTTTGATGACGTGCAGTGGAACGGTTTTACTCCGCTTGGGCAAGGTCAAGACGTTCACGTCGACGGCGATTATAACGGAACTCAAACGGAGCTTGAACGCGGACGAGACGCGCTACCGTGCTAATCGATCCTCAAGGTCGACCACCATCGATGGACAATGATAAAATGACAATTAAATTAATTAAAAACCAAAAAAATATCAAATGCACTATTAAAATGCTTTAAGACGCCATGTTTTAATAGTCAAATCCGCCATTATGCTATGAAAGTAGTAAACTTATTCCGAAATTGTTTCGGTAAGTTTTTTTCGTTTGTTTTCATGATTGTAAAACGTAAAAGCCGTAAATACTATTTCGGGCACTTGGTCACCACTCGGACAGCTCGTACGACGTCCTTGAGACAAACGGCGAGTGGCAAAAAGTAATGCGATGCAGGAAGTGCAAAAACGTAATATGTACTCGCTGGCGCATAATACATTTCATGGTAATTTTTATGTTTTACATGTTTTAAACGTCGCTGTTTGTGTTTTGCAATATACATAACAAAACTATTACTCGCGGGGCATAAAGATAAAATTAAACAAGTTCACATTTATTAGATACTTAATGTCTTCATCTTGAAATATTATTTTGAACATTTCAATTACATTTAATATATTACACTTGAATTTAATAGATACAACTTCTAATTTTACTTGAAATGTAAAAAAATGTTTATGAAAACAATGAAAACGAACGGTATCGGTGCAATAACCTCAATTTTAATCTTGCAAATGCAAAAACAAAATCTCGCACAAAAATCAAACAATGACAGCTCAAAAACTGCATTTGCATGCATATCTAATGAAAATCTAACCTAAAAACTTTGAATTCCAACAAAATAACCGTACAATTCAATTATAAACAAATATTTGCATAAAATTAGGCAAGTTTTGAATTAAAGATATCTGAAAATCTAAAGAATTTAAATTTTTGGTGCTGTGTATTACATTATTGTCATTAATATGCATCGGTGTCAATCGCAAACATTAAACAATGCTAAAATGTGTAATGAAATGTTTGCGAATAGCTCTTGTGTTAGGTTAAGTTGGTTGTTTTGGAATTGAGAGATTAATGTGACTCATTGCAGTAAAGGTTGTAAACAAGTAGCGTGAAAACAATTAAAAGGGCTTAAAACCACGGACGCGTGAACCGTGTGATATCGTGTGAAACTGTATGAAAACTGATGAAAACGTGCACTGGAAGTGGGTCAGGAGCACGACGATATGGGCCAAGGGGAGACGTCAACTGCTCAACGGTCTCACAGTCTCGCACGGCTGCACTCATTCTAGTCATAATTATAAACGAAACAAGGACCAAGGGCATCCAAGTACCTATTCACCCACAATCGTAAAATTTAAATGAATTATTTAGTATTGCGCAATTAAGCAATAGGTTTGATATAGGCAACCCAAAAAACACATTTTCATTCATTGAAATAAAATAAAACTCAAAATTTTAAGATAAATTTCTTTATTTTAAGAGAATTTATATTTAAAATGATTTAAAATACTCGTGCGTGTGTTCTTTTTGTGTTTCTTTTCTTTTTCGAGTCGTTTTGAGGGTACTACTGTGTAATTAAGTAATAGGTTTGATATAGGCAACCAACAAAACACAATTTTACACATTTTTTGCGTTAAAATTCAAAATTTTTAGATAAATTTTTTAATTTCAAGAGAATTTTGATTTAAAATCATTTAAAATAATCGTGAGTGTGTTCTTTTTGTGTTTCTTTTTTTTTCAAGTCCGTTTTGAGAGCAAAAGAAAGTGAAACACCGCGCAGACATCAGACGAGACTTTGCGGACCTAATAAAACATAAAAAGCATACCAACCTACGAAAACTCCGGTTCAGTTTTGTGTGGTTGAGACTGGAGAGTTTTAAAAGTTGGAAATGATCGAAGAAAGTAAGGCACACAACGCACACGCACTCCGCTTAAACTCTCAGACGTTCAAGTTCACATTTTAATATTTTAACGTTTTATTGCTTGCAAAGAGAATAAGTTCTCTCCGTGCCGTCGAAAGAAAAATTAGAAAATATAAATACAAAGACACAAAGAGAATCGACTTTAATATTTAACGTTTAGAAATTGAGATCTTCATCTCAACAAATGTAAAATGTGAAATGTTTCACGTTGACCTTGACTCAAATTTGACATTTAAATATTTGCCCACTCATTTATTTGATGGTCACAATTCTTTTCCGCGTCCACGATGCGAAAGTTCATTTAATTGTAGTTAAACAATCATCAATTTACGTTAAAAATTAAGAAACACATTAAAAAAATTACTTTTGTAAAGTTGATCTTTACATACAACACGTAAACCAAATTAAATAATCAAATCGTTATATTTAAACAATAAATTTCACCTATCCGCCTACGTTTATTGCGCTTTGCGCTCAATTTATAACTTACAATCGCATTTAATCATTTCAATAGTGTTTCCAGCATGTAAACGTTTTCAAGGTCAACGAAACAATGACTAATTTAAACTTTCAATGTACAGTTAAAATCTACAGCCCACCATCTTTAATTTTTGTGTGTTTATGTATTTTTTATGATTATGCTTTCACTTTTCACTCGCCCAAACTCTCCAACTTCAACTCTCACTTCTTGTGTTTTTTGTTGTTGTGGTATAAACGTTTTCGGCACTCCAGTATTGAGATATGAGAATATCTTAAACCAGAACGCGACCACAACTGTTTGGAAATTCATGCATGTGGTTCACCGCTGAAGATGTCGAAGGAACTGTGTCAATGGGTTACTTTCTCTTTCAGTGTCTGAAAACCGCACATGAGACAACAAAGGAATAAATTCAAACAACCAGATCATACATTTATAGGTTATGATGTGTTGATATATATTTTTGACATCTAACCTAACATTTGCACTACGGAATTGAAGCAAAGCGGATGAACATGCGCTGTGAATGAAATGACCTTAGTGTGTTATTCTTTCCGATTGCAATGTCAAACGCAGACAGGTTTGCAGCAGCAGGTTCAGTTCACTTCCTCGTCGATAATCGCGTTGCACTCTCGTCCTTCGCCATCGCCGACGCCGTCGTCGATAAATCAATTTCTTTCGTTTCCAGCTATTTCAATGTCATTCGCGTATTTATTCAAATCCTATAATTTAACAGATAAATGAATACAAAGACGAACAAAGGAAAAAAAATTCAAAGTTTAGAGAAAATAAAACAGATTTATTTCTGCAGCACATTCTTGGTGCCTGCCATTCCATTCCACTAACCCAGTTTCGTTAATCACGACTCGCGTCAGCCGCGTCTCAACTTTTGCTTTCTACATTCGACACCAAAACCGGCCGACAGCTGAAGACGAAATAAAAGTGAAGAAAGTAAAACGATGAAAGTTACACACACGCAAAAAAAAAATCTTACAAAAATCGCACGCAGAACTAAAAACAAAATGGCGTTGGTTGTCACACGACGCCATCTTGAATTACAAATAATATCAGATTACAACTGAGCGCGCTAAAATTAAAAATAGTGCAACTTGTGAGTGGTGACCTTGTTGCGCTGTAGGTAGTATTTTTAAAACGAAAACATTTTATAGTTTTGTTTGTGCGAAAATAACGCGCACCGCACGTAGGTTATAGATATTGAAATGAGAAATGCATTCGTTAATTTTTATATTTAGCGTATTGTGCGTTGTCTTCCGGATTCGAATTAGATGTGAAATTTATGTACATAACCTTGAACGTTGAAAATGGCAAGATCGCCTTCGCCGCCATTAATCGATCTCGAGCGCTGGATAATAGAATAACACACAATAAAATTCAGAAAAAAAAGTGTTTAATCGCATTGGCAATGAGACAATGAGAGTGCATGCGTGTGGAAAATGTTTTAATATTACGTTTGCTTGCATAATGACATTCGTACTTATAAGCCGGTGTTATTGGTAATAAAGTTGAATTTTATAGACATCTAGATGTTTATATGTTAATGGCACGACATGGAGACATATCCGCATTGTTCATTATCTTAATTCGTGATGTATCAAGGCATATCTAACATTTCACGTGTTTTACATTTAAAATAATTAAAACAATCAATTTTTGTGGTTATCTGACGTCATACTTGATTTACCATCAGCCCGGGTAGCTCAGTCGGTAGAGCATTGGACTTTTAATCCAAGGGTCCAGGGTTCAAGTCCCTGCTCGGGCGGTGTTTTTATATTTTTAATTTTTTAAATTTTTATTTTTGACATTTAACCTGGTGAATGTCAGGTGTGTGATGTTCAAGGTCACAACGTGGTCACACCACCTCCGCAAAACTCTACACTACTTGTTTTTTTTTTCATTCTCTAAAATTCGATAAGTTTTGAGTTCGTAAGAAATAATTCGGAGATAAGCGCCGTGTGTAACCGGGAAGCGAGTCGCGAATCACAAACGGAAAACTGCGCAGTACGTTTAGAGCGAGAACGTCGAAACGCCTTGAACTTTTGTTGTGCGTTTATTTTCAATCTCAGCGCGGTGCGCGATCCGGAGAAGTCAGGAGTCGACGTAACTTTTGCATTGCTTGCATTACGTCGCATCGTTATCGCGTTTATTTTCGCCATTGACAGATTTTTACATTTTGACAGTACATAGATGTGTAACGCCTTTTTGTTCAGGTAGATGGCAGGAGTGTAGTAGTGGCACAAAGGGTCCAGGGTGAGACTATTTATAAACGTTTAGTTAAATTTTTAATAATCAGCGTGTGACCTGATTATGCGCGTTTGTTTTATGCAGCATTCTCCAGTGGCGATGCCTTCCATGCTTCCATTCTGTGGAAAACCGTCCTTGCTCCACTTCACAGTCGACGCACTTAACGTTCATGAACTAATTCGCATTATAAGCAGACGTTCCCGTCCAACGATTGACATGGAGACCAGGGGAAAGCCTAAATATGAAGAGACAAAGGCGGAAATGGGAACAAAATGACATTCAGCGGGAGACATTGAAAGTTGCCTATATTAACACACAAGTTGACATAAGTTTCGTGTTTCGTGTTAGTTTAAAGTTTAAAATGAAAACAAATCTTGCAATATATTAGATTATTTCTAATCAACAGCGTGATTATATCATGAATTAAAAGTTATCACAGCCCGGGTAGCTCAGTCGGTAGAGCATTGGACTTTTAATCCAAGGGTCCAGGGTTCAAGTCCCTGCTCGGGCGATTCCTTTTCTTTTCTTCATTTGTTTACTGAAAAATATTAAAATCGTATTGTAGTTTATAATAAACTAGCTTTTGCCCGCGAGTTCGCCCCGTAGTCCAGTCATTTGGTAGTTTTGCCTAGAAAAGAACCAAGATAGCAATGAAATCTATAATCCCATCGCGGATAGTATGGCAGAAAATTTTACCTGTGATATTTCGATCGGTCCTGAAAACAATTAACGCACAACACCTGGTCCATCACGAAGAGCGAATCGGAAGATAATCTATTAAATTTTGGAATAGTGCGTGTGGATTAGGCCTACGGGGGGATATCACGATAAAAAAACGCGCCACGTACTCTACCTCATGGTGGTGTGGAAATGAGTTTTTGACAAAAACGAATGTTGAAGTAGACTTTGCGGCGCCCGTACGCCAAAACTACTAATTTTACAAGAAAAAGGTACTTACATAAATTATAGGAAATTTTCTTTAGATTAATTTATTATATAGATATGTTTATTGTAAAATGAGTCGGAAAGGAGATATGGTCAAAAAACTGTTCTTAGGCACCATTTTTCCAAGATGGTGGCGCGAGCGCACAAGATACGAGGTGGCAAAGTTTAAATTCGTAAAAAGCACATCGAAATCTATATGAATACCAATTTTCAACAATCCAACACTATTTTCCAAGCAACCACGTTTTTTTAACACCAAATGACTGTACTACCGGTAGTGTTTAATAAAAATGTAATTCGTTTGAACTCTCTTGTTCAAGACATAGTATGTGTCAATTCTATCAATAAGATTCGCAATTTTATTTTAAAGAAATTAATTATATAAACAATTGCTAATGCACTTCAGCACGCCATCGCGGATTCAACTATTTAACTATAACTATGATTGAATCTCAATGCCTACTTTTATCCTAGAGAAAAGGGCTGTCTTTAGAGTTTCTCCGGAAATTATTCGAATTTTTCTCGCCGTAAAAACCATCCTTGAACTTTAACGAAGATTTAAAAGAAGGCATGTAATTAAACGAACTTTATTTTTTCGATTTTTAACTTGTCAATTCATTAAATGCCCTTATAATTAATGTTTGCACTTAAAAATACAGAACTGAACTTAAAAATAAATATTTGCACTTTGAAAAATGAATTCCACTTGAATAAAATGCTTTCCACTATGAAATTAATACTTTGCACTTATAAAACTTGCAGTATTAAGTACGTGCCGTACTCTTAGCCGGCCCCTTCTATCACCCCCACCGCCCCTCAAATAATACCAAACAAGGTAGCCTACCTAACCACCACCCCCAACCCCCCGACCGCCTCACAAATAATACCAAACAAGGTAGCTTACCTTACCACCACCCCCCAACTCCCCGACCACCCCCTCACCACTACCCCCGACCGCCCCACAAATAATACCAAACAAGGTAGCCTACCTAACCACCACCCCCAACCCCCCGACCGCCCCACAAATAATAACCCTACCTAACCACCACAAATTATAAAGTTTCAATTTAAAAAGTTGATTCAAAGCAAATTTAAGCTTAAACCTGAATATATAAGTGCATTGTATTAAAATATAAGTTATACAATCTATAGTGCATAATATGCATTTCTTAGTGCAAAGTATGAAAACTTAAGTGCGGCTGTTCAATTGGATTGTATTTTAACTAAAGTGCATTTAATATATCCCCTTAAAAGAATAGTCTATAATGGTCCAGGCGTTGTTCAGTTATGCGCTTACCAACAGATTTAGCGATTCATTTTTATATTATAGATTATTGTTTTCCTATAATAATCAATTTAAAACACGATGACAAACGAAAGTTTTTGACAGTTTCACCTACTTTGTGTGAGTAAAAGCACCATACTCACTTTTACTCTCGATGCGCGCATCGCGTGAAAGTTCCGCGTGTCAGAATTTCACCTACAAGAAAAAGATTAATACACTTTCAATAAGCTACAAGAAAATGTTTTTATGACCTTGATTGTGATGAATGTTTGAGGTTTTATTTCAACTGTCGGGAGCTTTTAAGTAGAAAATAAGCGCATGTAAAGTGTTTTAAGTAGGTTTAAGCTTTTGCACGCTTTAATGTAAACACAATTTTGGCAAATGCGCAACGTGGCGCATCCAGAAAGACGCATGCATAGCACATTGAACAAATAGTAGATGATAGTATCGATAAGCTCTGCAAACTCGCGCCCCTGCCGGCTAGTTGTGCGGATATATTTAGAATGCGGCAACGCGTTGTGCAACAGTCCGACCTTGACCTTGACCGTGAGTAACGAGCTTTTCTAGGTGAATTTCGGGAATAAAACTAAAAAAGAAGACTTTGCACTTTTTTCTTAAATAAATACAAGTTTTTTGTTTTTAAAATCAAATATTTCTGGTAATTAAATGTAATTAATAGATTTTTGTTGTTTTATTGTAAAGTTTTCTTACAAAAAAATGTCAAAAAATACGTTTGACATGTTAAGAAATCGCAGCATATTCTTAAACCTGTAAAAAGAAACGAGATACATCGAGCCCGGGTAGCTCAGTCGGTAGAGCATTGGACTTTTAATCCAAGGGTCCAGGGTTCAAGTCCCTGCTCGGGCGATCCTTTTTCGTTTCTATTATTTCAGTAAATACCAAAGAATAGCACGGAGAAATTTATTTTACAATTTAAAACTTGTTTTTGTTAAAAATTAATTAACATTTTGTTTATTTCGCAAATATTTTTTCACCGCGCTCGTTCATAACGCCCGCCGGAGTTTTATGAACGAATCGAAGTTCGTTTTCGCTCACTCTCTGCTCGTCTCTATCACACGATTAGAAATGCGCGTCGAGTCGCGCAAAGGTCAAGGCCACCCGCGCGCCCGTTCGATATCGAGCGGCGCGCACTCACACACGCACACAGCACCTACGCACACACGGTGAAATTGTGTTTGGCTGGCTGCCTAACGATGAACGGGCGCGCGGCCGCCGCCTCAATGCCAAGGCCGCTCTCGGTCACGGGTAAGGTCACCTCCGGCGCGAGCGCCGCCGCCGCCACCACTGCTCCCACCCTACCACGCCTCCGCCGCCTCCATCGTCAGGTGACGTGCATCACGTACTCCACGTAGCACCAACCTGCCTGTCGAAGTAAGACTTTATTTATTTCGCATTTTCGACACTTTTAAACATTTGTTGTTAATATTTCGGCAATATACTCACCGACGAGATAAAGATAAACAAATAGTTAAATTACTGTGTGTCTATCTTGTCTATTTGATATTTATGAGACGTCTAGACTCGTCGACAACAATTACATTAGCGTCCAATAGGTTTCAAACTCTCTGATAGTCTCGAATAAATTCAGTGTGCAAACAAAATTACTCGTAAATAATTAAATTTGCGCGGTTTTTATGCGCCTCGCATGTAATAAACATCTATTATGACCATGTTACGATGGTCATTAATCATTAAATTTATTTTTTGAGTAGGAAGTTTTTTAGGTGCGGTTTTTGCTGAGGGTTGGAGTGTTATGCACTCTGATCTTTAACAATATGATGTATTATGTAATATATAACACTAGGAAACCTTTGTCAAGTACCAGGAATCAGGGCGAATCTGTGTGCTTAGCTCTTACCTCTAAGTGAAACAGGTGGGTTTACCCCCCACCACTTATTGCGGGTTGCTTTAGTCGTCAGCTTCTCTATTGGTTTTGAGATCAAATCACACAGAGTTAAATGATGTTGATATTCTACCTTTACTTGTCATTGTGTTCTATAGTATAATAAATCAGTCATAAATCAGAAGTGACGTATTCACGCCCGTGACAATCCATGTCCACCATTTTATGCTGTCAAATTGTTGACATCGCAGCCCGGGTAGCTCAGTCGGTAGAGCATTGGACTTTTAATCCAAGGGTCCAGGGTTCAAGTCCCTGCTCGGGCGATTCTTTTAAAAATTCTTTTCTTTTTTCTTTTATCTTCTTAAATTCTGTACAAAGTTCTAACGTTTCTTCTGTCCCTGAAGGTTTTTATTGAATGTTTGTTTTACTCTCGTTTTACAAAGTGTTACATGCGGTGTTCGTGCAATCCAGTCATTTCCGGCGTCACGTCACGCCTTTTTGTGACTATTTTGGTTCGCGTGCACGATTTGCTCTTTTCCTGGTAGTTCCAACTCCATGCGCGCGATTGCTTTCTATTCTTGTCGTGGAGGCGCCGGGCAAAACCAAAAATAACCTCAATTTAAAAACATACAGAGTGTTTTTCTGATTGAAAATTTATTCATTTTATTCTAACATTATATTTTTAACAAAAGTTCAAGGTTCCAGATAGGTATAAATAACAGTTTTAATTTTTCAATTTACGACCCTGCGACCCTGCGTTTAAGTGTTCAAGGTCAAGTTTACATAAGCGCCGTGTTTTTCTTTTCAATCTTGCGTAATGAGTTTTAGTTTTATGAGTTATTACGTCGTAAAAATGATATTACTTTTTTGTTTATTGCGTTATAATGGCAAAGAAAGTATTTTTATGAAATTATATCGTTCCATCACAGATTTGATAAAGATATCAAACAATAATAACACTTTTATTAAATACTAGCTTTTGCCCGCGATTTCGTCCCGGTAGTGTTTAATAAAAATGTAATTCGTTTTTACTCACTTGTTCTTGACATACTATGTGTCAATTCTATCAATATAATACGCAATTTTAATTTAAAGAAATTAATTATAATAAAAATTGCCACTAATGCACTTCAGCGCGCCATCTCGGATTCAGCTATGATTGAATCTCAATGCCTACTTTTATCATATAGGAAAGGGCTGTCTTTATGGTTTTCCCGGCAATTATTCGAATTTTTCTCACCGTAAAAACCATCCTTGGACTTTAACGAACATTTAAATAAAGAATTGGCCAGATTGGTCAAGGCGTTGTGGAGTTATACGCTTACCAACAGATTTTGCGATTTATTTTTATATTATAGATAATTTACAAACACTTTGTATATATGTTTCAGTTGGGATATATATTCCCCCACCACCCCACATCTAAATCTACATATAAATGCTTCTGGTATTGTTAGCTCATCTGGTGAAGAGAAAATCGATAAAACTGCAAGTTGCGAATGCAGTTCACAACTGTATGCAACGTGGGACAGTCGGTGGGCAAGGTCAGGGTCAAAACAGACTCGTACGCTGCTGACGTCGCGCGTAGCAACCATCCCCGCCTAGGGCAGAACAGGGCGGTGATGAGAGAGGATTGATTGGTCGAAGGAAGTCATTCATGGTCACGGCCATGGTCATTGTCACCTGGTAACAGCCCGGATGCTGTTACTGCTTCCCGGGGACAGTTACCAATGGTAACTAGGCAATTCCAGGTAAACACAGAAATAATATTTGGGGAAATGCATACAGCATTCTATTTTAAGGCCAGCTAAATAGATTACAATGTGAAACGCAATTCGTAAATCATTTATTAGTGGAAACAAAACACACAATATTGTTCGACGGCCATTTTGTTCTTTGTTGTAACTACTATCAGCCCGGGTAGCTCAGTCGGTAGAGCATTGGACTTTTAATCCAAGGGTCCAGGGTTCAAGTCCCTGCTCGGGCGATGCTTTGATTTTTATTTATAGGAAAGGTGCAATGTTTTAAGAAGCGAAAAAAGAAGAAAATACTAGTATATTAAGTATTATGTGTGCTAAACGGAACTTTAGTCACAAGTTGCTTTATTTTAATGGTCAAATGGTCAAAAGTTGAAGATAATGTATTTTTGTACACAAAGCAATCTGCATGAGGGGGTTTGACTGTATTTTTTTATAAAGTACAAAGATTAAACCTAAAAACTTAAGTAATGGTGAAGAAAAGTTAAACAAAGGTTAAATGATAACGTCAATAAGTCATAAGTCAAAAATCAAATGTCAAAAAGCGGACCGGAGCGGAGCGCAGCAACACCCTTTAATAATTTTGACCCGGCAGCAACCTACAAGGAGAGGGTAGGACATGAACCTACAATTGCAAGATGTTGCTCAATTTCGGCCATGGTACGGTTGTTGCCTAAAGGAATTCTATTAAAAAATATATACCAGGGTATATCAAGTCCACTCGTATAAAATTGCAATCTCTCATCCAAAACCAATAAAAAGATTTTAATTTTTAAAGAAGCAAAAAACAAGTAGCCGTGAGACACAAGTGGCAAACGGGAATTTATCGTGTCACAATCGAGCTTCTCGGAAATCCATGTTTATAACACGCCAGCGCGCCCCACAATAATACATAATTAATGCGGCGAAGCCATAACACACCATCACATTCAACTCCTCGGATGACTAATTTTCGCAAAGTCAATAGGTTTAATTCTGAGTCATAAAATTCAAGTGCCAGTAGCTAATGTTAATTTATTCTTATTACAAGATTTAAAACAAAATACAAAATGTCTTCTTTTTGCGTCCCCCACCGCCCGGGTAGCTCAGTCGGTAGAGCATTGGACTTTTAATCCAAGGGTCCAGGGTTCAAGTCCCTGCTCGGGCGATACTTTTATATTTCACTGTAAATATATTGTTTTGTGACATTTAGAATAGTAAATGTAAATTTAGATAATGTAGGCAACCAACTCTTCATTTTTTAGATCTTCTATAAGCAAGATACATTTCATCATCGCGTCGCGTCTGATTATCATATTATCACTTCCGCATTTGTAGATACGTACGATTCGGACTAATTCGTTTGACATTCCCACTTCGGACGACGTGTATTAATAAATTACTCGTTAGTCGTGTGTAATAGCGCAACATGAGCCTCTCAATGACGTTTTCATCAGGCGCACGAACAAAAAAAAAACATACGGAACAAACAATCGAAACCAAATTTGTTTGATCTTGAACTGTTAACACATTCACACATCATTACATCCGTTATTAAGCATTATACTGTATTTTTCCCAATAAAAAAAATATAAAAGCATCGCCCGAGCAGGGACTTGAACCCTGGACCCTTGGATTAAAAGTCCAATGCTCTACCGACTGAGCTACCCGGGCTGTGACAACAAGACGAAAAAAAAATGGCGTCACACAATTTTGCTTGTTATGTCTTTAAGCACCAAAAAAGATTTGCAAACAATGAGAAAATAATCAAAGCTCAACGCGACGTGACAATCATTTGCATTTAGATCGTTTTGTGTCAACACGATGATAAAAATGCAACTTGCAAATCATTTATCTCTCATAAACACAAAAAACAAACAAAAGAAACACAAGAAAAACACAAAAACCCAAAAATAAAAAATAAAATACATAGAATTACATGTTTCTGTCAACTGTCAACTGTCAATAGCCCTCCATTGTCTATTTGTACTTCTATTTGTTTGTTGGTTTAGTTTCGCTTGTTTTAGTTGTTTTACTTGTTCGTAGGTATTTGTTTGGTATGTTTCGTTATTAATTCCGTGAACCGTCGGTGGTGGCCGCGACGCGCCGCGTCCGTAAATAAAACAAGGTCAAGTTTAACAAGGTCGGTCGTTGGGAACGCGACGCTCGCCCTCCGCACCCGGCGTCGAGGTCATGATTAAAACCCTCCTACAACGCGACCCACAAGCGCATATTACATGACGCGTGCGTATTCAATAAAATAATTAAATTTTCATATTATTTAAAAGAATCGCCCGAGCAGGGACTTGAACCCTGGACCCTTGGATTAAAAGTCCAATGCTCTACCGACTGAGCTACCCGGGCTCATGGTATATTAGCAACTAATTAACTATAAGTTTTTAATTATTATTTATTATTATTAGAGTCCGACCGAAACTGGATTTTAGCCGAAACCGAAACCGAAATTTCGGCCCTGCAATCAGTTTCGGCCGAAACCGAAACCGAAACTAATTTACATAAACATATTTTTCTACTTTTACCTATACATCGCCAGTTTTTCCACATTTTTTAGACACAAAATCCATTTTGGGAGTAAAGTCCCCGTTTAGTCACTTGATACTTAATGTAATATTAATTTAAGTTTTTATGAGCGAATTGAGATGGCAAGTAACGACCGCCATTAGCCGCGAAGTTAGCCGAGCGACGCACGACAATTCACGAAAAGTGAGTTTCGGTACGGCCGAAACTTTCGGCCATTTTTGGCCGAAACCAAAAATGAGGCCGAAACTCGAATTCTTGGCCGAAACTGGCCTAAACCGAAACCGAAACCGAAATTTCGGTCGGTCTCTAATTATTATGTGAAAATTTGTTTAACATAAACTAACAGTATCTTAAAAAACATGTATTGTCCATAAATCACGTCCAAACGACATGAAACGTGCGAAAATGAAGTAATGCGAATAGAATCACGTAACATATGACGTGAAACGTAATTCGTTTATTTATTGCTTGTTTTTCGCGATAACTTTTTTTTTGAACTCACATTGCAAATGATGAAGGTTGAAGGTAATTTCAATATACCACCTTCAAGGTAATTTTTTTTGGCAATGATATTCAAATAAACGTTATATAAATGCAAACTTACACCAATGCGTAATCAAAATGGCCGCCTTGACAACGCACGCAAAGCAAGTTGTAACTTAATTTTAATATAACCAGAAGTACCGGGCGAGCATGTGAGTTAATTAGATGATAGTTGTGACCATGATTGCCGATTGTTCGTTAATCGTTTCTCGCGTCCTTGAACCTGATACCCGTCGCTGTGTCGCCTTAACGCATCGGTCACATAATACAAACGCTTTAAATAACGACAATGGCACTCGAGTATTCGAACTATTGTAACTTATAACATTGCTCAATGTCAATAGAAAAACACTACGCATGTAATCTACGTAGTTGTAAGAAGCAATCATAGCATAACACAAACCTAACCTCAAACATCTTGTTGGATTAGAGGTTATTTACGCCACCCTGTTTTTTCTCCGTAGTTATCGACTGTAGGGATGTAATTAGACACTTGTTAGACTCGTAGGTTTCATAGAAGTGGGGCTATTTATAAACTGCGTCAGTCGATACATTACGCCGCGTGTCCTTGACGCGTTTTATTTTTTGCGTCGAAAAATTTCCACACAAACATATGAAAACACCAGGTAGATAAAAAGCACCCCTTTATGTGACCATGAAGGGACGTTTATATTTTTATGCGCAATTTCCACCTGGGATGGAAAGTTCAAGGTGTTTGATGGCGTCAAACCGGGGATAAAAATAACAAACAAATGCCAAACAACAAACACTACATCGCACTAGCAGGTAAAACACAATAACAATATAAATCCAGGAAAATGTTGCATTTTTAGGAGAAGTTTATTTATAGTTTGTTTATCGGAGAATGTTAACGTTAACGCGACTTTCCTTTACCTTTTTGTTTACTACTGCCTTTTGCCTTGTTCATAGGCCTACCTTTTCCCTTTTTACCTTTGCTTTTCTTCGCGCGTTGCTTTTCATTACGCATGTCTTTCTTCAATCGAGGATCTACAACCTTGTAGTGACCTTTGAGACCAGCAGGACGCGCCATTCTCTTTGCAGCCTGGTGTTTCTTCGCTACGACGTAAGTAACTTCTTTTTTCGGCTCAGCTTTAGCTTTTTTATACAATCTAAACAAAATAATTAATTAATCATTTTAAATAGTTTTTGAAAGTTAAAAATATATAAACTTACTGTTTAATTTGTTTACTCTTCTCTCTATCGGTGACATCAACATTGTCAACAAGCGCTTCAATCTTCTTCTTTGCTTTCTGGAGTTTCTTCACCGCACGACGCTTCTTCCTCGCCTTGGCTTCGATTACTTTTTTAATTGGACGTACGTTCAACTCCTCCATACGTCTCTTATAATCGTCAACTAATTCTTTAGGTACTGGTGCTTCAACATGCATGTGTTTTTTCTCATCGTCCACGAACCAATCCGGTAGATTCGTATCATTAAACGCGTATCTATTCCAGCCAGCGTCAATTAAATCTCGTTTTGCTTTTTTGGAATTAATCATAACCGTGCCGAGTGCTAAATCTTCAACAGTCATCTTACGCTTCTTAACATCTGATTTTACCACTTCAAAACCGTCGCGTTTCATTTGTTTGCTATCTTTTGGCGGTGCTGATCGTTCAATATCGTAATCCGAGTCGGAATCAGAGTCAGAATCTGAATTCGACTCATTTTCTGAACCGTAATCGCTATCGGTTGATTCCTGTTGTGTTTTTTGTTGTTTTTTCGTTTGTTTTGCTTTTGATGTTTGTCCTTTCACATGGGAATCTTCCCCGACGACTTTCGCACCTTTCCGCTTACAATCTTCGATAATCTTATCCAAATCAGCATCTTCGTCTTTTTCATCAATCAAATTTTTGAAAATATCACGCTGGAAGAATAACTGTGCCTTTGATGCTCGTTTTTCTTCGTTTCCTCTGTAATCCAAATCGGTGATCAAAGGATGTGATGATGTCTTTGAAGCCTTTTTGGGTTTCTCCTTCAATTGCTTCCGTTTAGACACTTTATCGTCTTCTTCTTCATCATCTTCAGCATCACTGAATCCTAAACCTTCTGTGACAGCCTCTTCTTCTTCATCACTCTCCATTTCTAATTCTGAATCAGAATCTTTGTAATATAACCCGGAGGAATCAAGATGTCCTTGATCTTTTGCGTATTTTTCGAATTTTATGGCGGCTTTATCGGGTTTTTCTTCTTCGTCTGGAGCTATGTTAGGATCGGCATCGATGACTAAGTTCAAGTCGGTTTTGTCTTTGATTAGCTTCAAACTGAACATGTCTTCACCTTGAAGGGTTGGTCCTTCATCACCTTTAAGCACCATTTTTAAATTGAGACGTTCGTTTAGTTTCTTGCGTTCTTTCTGGACTTTCTTCTTTTTACGTTTTTGTTCTCGCATTTCTTCTTCCTAAATGTCAAAAATATAAATTTTAAAAGTTATTTTTCGTTTCCATTTAAATTTTAGTAATAATTACCTCAACTTCAGTAATTTTCTTGTCAATTTTCTCCTCTTCGACATCTTCTTCATCATCCTCATCCTTTTCTACCTCTTTTTCATCATCCTCTTTCACATCTTCAGCTTTTTCACCCTTTTCTTCTTTTTCCTTGACATATTCCTCATGTAAAATCTTCCACCAGTTCAATAACAATCTTAAATCTTTTCTACCAAGAACTTTTATATCTTTGCAACACTCTTTGATCTCCTCAGTCGTCTTTTCATGATTCGCAATCTTTGCATCATCAAAAACAATCTCTGAGGCGCCTTGCAGTGCCTCAATTCCAGTTTCATGCTGTACAAATACAGACACTGGCAGTTTATGATACAAAGTGTAATCATTTTCAGGATAACCTTCCGCCTGCTTCTTAACTTTCTCCGGATGGAATATATTCAATTTATTGCCAGGTTCAATCTCTAGTTCAGAGAAGACATACTTCGGATCCAAGAATTTAGAATCAATTTTCGCCGGCGCGATGTAAAACTGACAAACGACGAAGATTTCAGCGGATTCGTTACGTGAAGCTTGTGGTTTTGTAGCATGGACTTTCTTAAAGAACTGTTTGAGTACCCATATTAAAGGATGGTAATCTTTCGATCGGAAGACTTTCGTGATAAACCAACCGCCTTGACGCAGAAACTGCGTCGCAAGTCTAAGAGCGCTTAGAGTAAGGCACGCTTGTTGATAAGCGTCGTGAAGCCAGTTTTTTCCTACATTAGGTGCACCATCATTCAACACTACATCAGCTTTCCATGTTTGCAGTTCTTTTGTGAGTGCAACGCGACATTTATCAGTGGTAATATCTTCTGTTAGTGAGATGCAACCAGGTACTTGTTTGATAGGGAATAAATCAATACCTAAAAGACAATAGCTGTGTTTGTAAGTAAAAAATAATTTAAAATATAAATATAGTGACTCATACCTATAACTATGCTAGATACGGGCATATTCTGTTTAGCGACTTGCATCCATCCTCCTGGCGCAGCGCACAAATCAATGCAAACCCTGGATTTTTGAAGAAACTCAAACTTCCTATTGAGTTGAATTAACTTGAAGGCAGCACGAGAACGAAACCCGGACTCTTTGGCAAGTTGGTAGTACTTATCCTTACGCTGTTTTCCAATTTTCGTCTTTTTACCCATCTTGATGAGTTATTTATGCTCACAAAGGGTAAAAATTATTAATATTTTGAAAACCAGCGTGCGCAGACGGCACGTGGAAACAAGTGGAAACAAGCGTTCAAAAACTTAGGTTAAATGTAAGAGTACAGATATAAAGCATGCTTTTAAGGTTGTACTGTTAGTGCAAGAAATTTAAAAAATTTACAGATGAACAATATAAATGTTTAATGGTATAGATATTATTAGGAAAATACATTTTCTTTTGTTAATAATTTTAATTTAATATAAGCAAAACTAGTAAATAACTCAAACAGTAATTTAAATGTGTGTGGTATTAGCTTTTGAATTCTGCAACGCAAGTGTTTTAGTCATCTAGCGGTGGATTATTGTACTTGCAAAATCTTTAAAGACTTTGACCCAAGTATACACATCATATAATACATTATTCTAGATTCATTTGGTATATTGTAGTTAAAACAATAATTTTAAATTATAAACCTGAAGAATATTTAAAAATTATCAGTTGCTTAGCAATAACTTGTGTCACCATCTAGCAAGCAAACTCAAACTCTCACGTTGTGTGCGTACGTGACGTTCGTTTTACGTAGCGCTTTTCCTGCGAGCAACTAGCTTCTAGAATAAACTCACACCTCGCGATATTCGTGCGCGAATGAGAACGCTATACGTGTGTCATCTGGATTGCTGTTCACGACTGGAAGCAAGTGTGCGACGCATTTAGTCGACCCAGCTTGTGCATAATTACAAACAATACGAGAAATATATAGCAAGGTACACGTCGCCCTATCAATAATTAATCATCCATCAATAATTACGTCCACACTTCACATCCGACATTCTCTGTGTTTGTATAGCTTTGTTACGGGCGGAGTTATCTAGTCGCCTGCTGTTCGTTTGGCACTTTGTCGCAACGCATCACATCGCACCGACAGCAACGAGGTTTTCCTGCGATCGTCTTATCTCTGGACTAGAAGCAAAATCGAGCTAAATTATGGCTGCGTCTCTGAATTCGTTCATACGAACGTTCAACAATAAATTGTAAGTATGCCCAACACATTTTTTATGGATTGTAAACCTATAAATATCATTGTGCATGAAATTGTGTCCGACATTATTCGTGTTAATTTATTCGCGTTTATGCGATGTCACTGCGACATTGATAAAATTACCGTGTCATTTTGCCTTGATAATTTAATTATCAATTATTTAATCAATAAATAAGAAAAATATAATAAAACATTTCATCAAAATTTTCGAAAATTCTGATTAAAAATGACGTCATTTCCCATAATGCATACGAATTTATAAACAAGTTTTGTTTTCGCATAGCTTGATTTGTCATTATGAAATATCTTATCATTGTTTACGCATTAAACACCGTATTATTATTGTTATGAATGGTTTTATCTTTCAATTCCAGGGAAGAGCCAGTAAGGCAGCACCTTACCAATGTCTACGCTTGTCTTGCGGCATCTACGATTGCCGCATCGGTTGGTGCCAGCCTGCACATCTACACAGAGGTGTTCCGCGCTGGTCTGCTATCGACAATCGGAGCTCTCGCATGTTTCGTGATGCTCGTGGCAACCGCCGACGGTGATGGCAAGCGAGTGCAACAACGCCTTGGCTATTTGCTCGGTTTCAGCTTGCTGAGCGGTATGGGTATGGGCCCGCTGCTTGAATATGCAGCTTCCGTCAACCCGACCATCATTGTCACCGCGCTTGTCGGGACCTCGATCATCTTTGCGTCGTTTTCTCTATGCTCGATCTTTTCCGAGGAGGGCCGCTGGATTTACATGGGCGGCGCACTGATGACTCTTTTGAATACGCTTGTGTTGCTCACGTTGGCTAACCTCTTCTTTGGCTCTCAACTTATCTATAAGATGCATCTCTACGTCGGCCTCGCGCTCATGTGCGGTTTTGTCCTGTATGACACCCAACTGATTATTGAGAAGCGTCGCATGGGCAACAAGGACTTTGTCACGCACTCGTTGGACCTCTTCATTGACCTCATCGGCATCTTCAGACGATTGGTTATTTTGCTCACGCAGAAGGTAAATAATAGGTAACCTAATTATCCTGCATCCAATTACATTCATTCCGATTTTTAATTTTTATTATTTAGAAAACACTCATCATGTTAATAATGTTTTTATTTGGATGTTTTGCAGGAGGAGGACAACAGAAAGCGACGAAACTAATTAACTACTACAACTCAACATATACCTGTTTCTTATTTTCGTTTTCATCGATTGGACTGCACTCATCACAACAACACAAGTGTCAACAACCGCAAATTGTACTCTACCGATACCAGAATGAATCGACTTATTTCGCTCAAAATTTGTCATTGCTGATGGGTTAAAAATCGTTTTTGTAACCAAAAATTATTCATACATTGTTTTCATTTCTACTGATGGTGTTATATTATATATTGTTGGTGTGTGGCAATTGATGATGTGCTTGGAGTTCGGCGCCAGCAAATTGTTATTACTTTTTAGGGCCGTTTTATTTAAATTATTTGGAGTTAACAAAAAAAAAACATTTACAGTTAGCGATGTATGATAAAGGTATACATACATATACTGGGTATATAGAGGCATATGTATAAATTAAATATTTACGTAACTATATTCTTGGATTTCAACAAAATCAACCCTCAAATTTACTTTATAATAAAAAATTAAGTTTAGGCATGCATAACTGCAGCATTTACAGCTTACTTCATAATGTTTATTGATAGAGGAAAGTGATGAGTAACGTAATTGTTCTTCAGAATAGTTTTTTTGTTTGTACATAGTTCTGAAGATTAGATTTTTGTTAGGAAATTTGAGGTTTGGATTAAGCAAATTGTATGTAATTTTAGTTCTGACATTGAAATATAGATGGCGTGAAGTGATGGGCAAACATACGAAGAAAAACAAAAGCTTGTTTCCCTCGCGATCGCCATTTTGTATTCATTCCGCTCTCTGCTCTGAGTCAGTCAGCACGTCTCCGCACAACTGATTTCTAAATTCTGTGAATCGCGATGGCGCGTACCAAGCAAACCGCAAGAAAGTCGACGGGAGGAAAAGCGCCCCGTAAACAGCTCGCGACTAAAGCGGCGCGTAAATCAGCCCCGTCCACCGGAGGAGTGAAGAAGCCCCATCGCTACCGCCCTGGTACGGTCGCTCTGCGTGAGATCCGTCGTTACCAGAAATCCACCGAGTTGCTCATCCGCAAGCTGCCCTTCCAGCGTCTGGTGAGAGAAATCGCTCAGGACTTCAAGACCGATCTGCGTTTCCAGTCCGCTGCCATCGGCGCTCTGCAGGAGGCGAGTGAGGCTTATCTCGTTGGTCTCTTCGAGGACACTAATTTGTGCGCCATCCATGCCAAGCGCGTGACTATCATGCCGAAGGACATACAGCTGGCGCGACGCATCCGAGGAGAGCGTGCTTAAGCAGCTGTACGATTAGGATTTTAGCATTAGGACGGTTTTAATATATTGTTTCATGTGTTTAATATTTGTATGATAGAAAATAAATTCATTTGGCATAATAGACGCCATCTTGTTTTACTCTGGTCGAGTGCGTTTAGATTGTGTTTGTGCTCTTAACAAGCGATGTTTGTAGGGTTTTTAAGGTTAGAATGCACAACAGTTGGTGCTGCATTTAACCGTTGGTGATTTGAAAGTTGCCTATGGCTAGAAATAGAATGAATTTTGCAGAAAATATGATGAAATTTGATTAGAAAAACGTTAGTTACATGTCTTAATTGGCTTTAAACACTAGATATACAAGGGGTGGACGATAAGATTGTCTTAAAAACCCGATTTGCTTTTTGCATGACCACAAAATTCAATTTTCATGCAATTAATAAGAGTTGCAGTAAACGCTATTCCCTCACAAGTTATCTTTGTTAAACGATACTTTATTAAAACCATAACTGCAAATGCAGTGCAAATCACTTTTACTTTTTTTTTACTATAACTCTTACTAATATTCACCATCTCGTAAAACTATTGTTTTTCAATTTTTATGCAATTATTACAGTAATTTATGTAATGTTGTGTAACCTATTTCCAAAATGCATACGTTTGTTTCTTGTCTTGGGATTTCTTACTCACTACTTCAATAAAAAGCAATAAAACACGTAAATGTAAATAGCAAAGGTATCTTCATATTTCGTATCGCATCCACTATCGTTGGTACACTTATAAGATAGCTCTCTTAACTTAATTTAAGACTTAACAATATTAACCATTTTTGCATTATGTTTAAGATCAATTGAGTTAGAATTAGCTTTCTGTACAAATATTCATTAAAAAATCTTCATTTTTTAGAGGAACACGTGAATATTAAATGAGAAGGAATTGTCTAGGATAGGTAGGATAAAATGACTTCTTGGGATATTCGTTTGGAATTGTTAGGAGTCAGTAAAAGCGGAAGATTTCGTTCAGTTGCTGCCGTGCTGGCTGGGCGTCATACCGCCGGCGGAATGCTCAGGGCTATGCTTCTGTTTTTTGCGCTTCTTCTCTTTTTTCCGCTTTTTGCGCTCCTTATCGTCGTCGTGGCGCTTCTGCTTCTTGTGCTTCTTCTCGTGTGTATCGGGACCGGCTTCTGCCACCGGTCCAACTTCTTGACTCTGCAAACTTCCGTCTTTATGCTTGTGTTTCTTATGTTTGTTCTTGTGTTTTTTGATTGGTGCTTGATTCGCATAACGATACTGTTCCGGTAACTATAATATTATGTTGTTATTAGTTATTTTACAACCAAATAAAGTATAACTTGAACTTACAGGCCCTGGATGTAGCCGAAATCCATCTAATTGTACACTAGATAGTGGCAGAATTTCTTTTCCACATATAGGTGGTTTATCAATCACAGACCTTAGTGAACTGTTATCCTGTTGGCCTGGTGAGTCAATAACACCAGGAAGGGAAGGCAAAAATGATGACAATTGTTCCTTGAGCTTCTTACCGCTGAATTTACTGTATGAATGCTCAAGGTTGTAATGTGCCATCAAGTTTGTAGCACCTGTGAGTTCTGATTCCCTTAAAAATTAATGAAAATGCAATGAAACTTACTCTGAGATTGTTTTAAAGTATGCAAGCACTTACCTGGTGGTTCTTTCAGTAGATAGAAAGGCCCACTAGGGACGATCGAGGGATTCTTGCCGAGTAGAATGGTCGTTTTTAACGTGCCCGACGAGTCCTGACGCGAAACGACCGGGGAGCGAGCGCCCCGTGGTGAGGACTTTGGCGAGAACTGTTCCACCTTGCGAAACTGATCACCCATCATCGTTCTTCATCTTCTTCCGGGGGCGCGCACAGACGCATCAACCGCATCAACGACGGATGCTGCGGACGCTGCTTTGCCTGCTAACCTGCACTAGGTTACTTGGAGCGAAGACCTGTCGAACCGCGACGACATCTCGAGGATATGCAACCCGCCGCACAAAACTATCTTCATGTTTACCAACTTTCACTTCAATCAATATTTAACTTGATTACGTATCATTAAACATTCAAAATTCATCTATTTATAACTTAAACAAAGGAATGTGGATTCAACAAATAATAATAATTATTAAATACTGGAAATATAAAAATGCATGCAATGTATATTTCAAAGCAGCCAACCAAAAATTCACCAAGTTTGATTCATTTAAATGCTTACTCTTACTTGTAAACTAATTATTTATTTTCTTTTGACTATAAAAATAATTAATAAAAATAAATATTTGCTATCTTTAAACTACTATTAATAATTTAAATAATTTGTTATGTGCAAGATTTGCTTGACAGCGCATGACTCTGTCGTTTTGATAGCTGTCAACGGTGGCGGCCATTGCTGTCATTTACTTCGCCAAAGCTCGCTTGACCTCATTCCCATTCGCTGTTTGTCGCTTGTGCTTGGCGGTTGACTCTCCAAACGCATCAAACAACCAAGCGCGCCTTATTTACCGCACACGAAGATGGCGGATAATCGTAAGTAGTTATAAATCCTCAAATATCTTGTAACGTCTAACAAATCCATTGGTTTAACACATTGCAAACTGATATTAACATGTTTGTGCCCAAAATTAAACTTAAATGCCACCTCGTTTTGGTGAATTTTACGACCTAAAATTAAACGCATTTTTTGGCTTCTATATAACGCGCTTCTTGTTTGTTTGTATTCACAAAAATTATATTTGATATTTTGCCGTAGAATACGGAGGCTACGGCGGAAACTCCGGTGGAGGTGGCGGCGGTTATGCCGATTATTCACAGCCACCACCGAGTAACTACGGAAATTATGGAAGCAGCGGTGGTGGTGGCGGCGGCGGTGGAGATAGCTACAGTGGCAATAGTAATTCAAGCAGCGGTGGCGGCGGTAATTGGCAAGGCAATCGAGGTGGCGGTGGTGGAGGCTACGGCGGAAATCAAGGTGAGAATAGTTTATATCCATGGCGTTATCTTAGGCAAAATGCGACATAGGCATGGCGTTAGTGACGAAAAGCAACCTAACGCCTCCTTCTATGTCGCAGATAAACTCGGGAATATGATAGTCCTTCTGTTTAGTTAATAAATGGAAGGGTAGAAATTTCCTCGTACAGTTTACTACGTTAAATTTACGACTGTTTTATCCTTCATAGGCAATATTTAAAGATTAGAGCTAAGTAAAGTTAAGTAAACACTTATGTACGTTATACCCTCATAATATCGCCGAAACGATAGAATACTAAACCATTGCAAGTCAATGCAAATATTTGTCAAGCCTGATGTGGATAGCTATTTCGACCATTAGAAGTCTCATCAGCACACCTACTTGCATTGACTTGCAATGGTTTAGTATTCTATCGTTTCGGCGATATTGTGAGGGTATAGCGTACCGTAAGTGTTTACTTAGCCCTTATACTCACCCTCTCGTACTACCATTGTATTTCAATATTTAAAGATTAATTGTTATTTTAGGTGGAGGAGGAGGAGGATATGGCAGTGGCGGCGGCGGAGGAGGAGGAGGAAATTACAACAATGGAAACTACGGCAGCAGCGGAGGTGGTGGTGGATACGGAGGCGGCGGCGGCGGTTTTGGAGGTAATTCAACTGATTCAGTAATTAATTTTATGCCCAATATAATCGCGATGCAGAGTGCAATACTCTGGGTCGTTTCGTTTGCCAACTTTTTTGGGCAGAGCAAACAAGTCTTTATTAAACACACGGGCCGACTATCAAAGGCACCAGTGTATCCTGTCTGAAGACACATAATGAATTCTACGATTTTTTAAAATTTATTTTAAATGTTTATTTGTTTAGGCCGAGACCGTGGAGGCGGCGGCGATTACAACCGCGACGATAGACGTGGTGGCGGCGGCTTTGGGTGAGTACATACTTTCAATATATTAGGCTTTAAACAACAGCGGTGGTGTCGTCTCGTCAGCGAGGTATATATTCAAATTCACTTTAAAATGCGAAGCTTATGAATCCAGAAATACGTATGCATACGGAATGCAAACAAATATGGTCGCCGATGAGTTACATGTAGGGGTATGCTATAATTAGCGGCAAAACTTAGCCACGAAAACGAACATCCATTGCAAAACGTGGATGAACTGGTACTGATATTACTGGATTTGTAAACGCTCTCGAAACTTGTATTGTTCAACTATAACTAAGTGGAACATGATTTAATCACAAACTTGGTGTTGTTAAACTTTTCAGAAAGGGTTTTTAAATTCTGTTGACGAAATGACTGGTATCAAACGAATTTAAATGTTTTAAAAAGATGTAAAAATGGGTTTTAAGCGTTTTTAATTACGTACATTGTGTAAATTTTGATTAAGATATGGTTAACATCAACAAATCAAAAAGGTTTCGACTGTAAATTGGGACTTTTTAAGGGTTTGACTATAAATTTGACTACATACGACTTGTTTTGACTGAAAATAATCAATGAATTGACTGACTTAACTTTGTGGACGAGACCGGATGACACGTTGTGAGTTCCAGATGAAGAGCAATGTGCAAGGGGTTTGCACTCTCGGTACTCATATACACACAAAATGACTAAACCTATGAGCGTAATACTTAACTCTCTCTGCCGGTTGGCGCCCCAGTTCGCTCAACGAGTGTGTTCTACAAGTACTGATCGTTTGCTTCTGTTTTAGCGGTGGCGGCAGGGGTAGTTACAAAGGTAAACGCGCCAGACCTCTCTTGTCGCGGGGGCTGGTGCTCATTTTTTGTACACATTTATTTTTTACGTAAATCTTGAGTTGAGAACAAACTAAGCATCGAGGTGAATAAATTGAGTCAGCGCATACTATGCCGTGGAAAGAGCTCCTGCATTTTAGCAAACTAGAGTGTGAATGTGATTTTTAATTATTGGTTAATGAATTGCAGTACTAACAGTAATTGCCCAAACACAATCGCGATCTTAAGCGACTGATGCTTTCGATCGTTTCGTTTGCCAACTTTTTTTGGGTAGAGCAAGCAATACGTCTTTATTAAACTCACGGGCCGTATACTTGCCAAGGCACTGGTGTATCCTGTCTGAAGACACATGATAACAATTGTTTTTTTTTTTTAAATATTAGTGCTGTTCATGAGTGTGTGAATAAAACAGGACGTTCTTTCCATTTTAACGAGGTTCAAATTTACGAAAAATCAAATTAAGGTTTAAGAAGGTTAATACGGTTGCAGGATGCAAATTGGGAAGGTTTTGAAGGTTTTAATGGTCTAAAATTTAATAAGGTTTTTGTACAAGGTTATGACATATAAATTGGTAAACTTTAGCGTTATGGTTAGGCGTTGATGAGAATATAACAGTTAGGATTTAATTTTAAGTTTTGTAATCCATTACCAACGATGCTAACATGTGTTTCTCGACTTACAGGTGGTTCCGGTGAAATGGTTGTTCAAGAAGACACTGTGTTCGTTTCTGGAATGTCTTCGGACATCAACGAGGCTGATATCGAAGAGCATTTTGGTGCTATCGGTATTATAAAGGTAATACATATTTAATATACACCTAATATTTTTAATTGCGGACAGCACTCTGTGCTTGAATCTACTTCAGTTCAAGTTCAATTTTGTAAATCCGCTAGAGGAAAGGCAGATTCTATTTCTACTTTGATTAAATTGTAATTTAAGTAGTTATTCCGTCTGGGACATTCTTAATATATGAATTTTTTTACATTGAATTTTTAAAACTTTTAGCTAATATCAAATATTTTTTATAGACTGACAAGAAAACCATGAAGAAGAAGATTTGGCTTTATAAGGATAAAGCTTCCGGTGAATCGAAAGGCGAAGCTACAGTTACTTACGATGATGCCAATGCAGCACGTTCTGCGATTTCATGGTTTGATGGCAAAGAATTCCGCGGAAATACCATTAAGGTCGTGATGGCTACAAAACGTGATAATTGGAGTGGTGGTCGTGGTGGCGGCCGAGGAGGCGGAGGTGGTCGTGGCGGCGGTGGTTTTGGTGGTGGACGTGGAGGCGGCGGAGGACACGATAGAGGTAGCCGAGGTATGATTTATTATTATCTTCAATTTAAGTCTTTTTTAATCTATGACCCATTCTGTCCTGGATGTTAAGTTTTCATAACTAGCGTCCAGTATATCTTTTAATATAGTGGGTAGATTATACGAGGTCTTTATTAAACGCATGGTGCTGTAATTACAGAAGCACGCGTGTATCCTGTCTGAAGACACATTCTTTTGAATTTCAATCGTTCTAAAGTGTGACAAGAGGTTCGAAATTACAATATTTTATTGTTTAAGGTGGTAGCAGCGGTGGAGGCGGTGGACGTGATCGAGAATCCAGGGACGGTGACTGGCGCTGCCCGAATCCAGATTGCGGTAATACCAATTTTGCCTGGCGCAACCAGTGTAACCGTTGCAATGAAGATAAACCTGAAGGCGCTGGTGGTGGCGGCGGCGGAGGTGGACGTGGTGGTGACCGTCGAGGCGGTGGAGGAGGATTCCGCGGTGGTAGTGATAGGCGCGGAGGATTTGGAGGTGGCCGAGGCGGCGGCGGTCGAGGGGGTGGTGGCTATGGAGGCGGCGGTCGTGGCGGAGGCAGAGATGGAGGCGGACGCGATGGAGGGCGCCCAAGGCCTTATTAGCCATAATATTTGTTAGGTTTAAGAATGAAAATACGAAATAATTGAGGAAAAGGTCATAGTGTATTATATTCTCTATCTTTTAATTATTTTGACTATATTAGTTGGACTATATTTATGTATATGAACTTTTTCATTGTGAGTTTTTGCGACAGGAAAGACTTATACATATTAGCATTTTGAGTGAAAATTGTGACGGTTTTGTGTTAAGGAAGTTAAGGATATCTGATCAGCAGCCGTGAAATAAATTTTTTTATATAATGCCAAAGAATAACTTTCATTTACACAGCTACTCCATTCTTTGCGACTTCTAGAAAATTCCATAATTTTCCATCATAAACGAATGACTGTCGTAAATCGTGGAAATAAATTATCAAGCACCCAGTCCCTTTGCCCATTTTTTTAGGAAGTAGCATTTTCATAAAGTATGTAAGTATGGTGTAGAAAAACAGGGTGATTTCTCCTGAACGAAATGACATTTTTAATGTTTGTCACCGCCATATTAAAGCTCGAGAGTTCCTCTACACGATCTTCTAGCCCTTTTATAAGTGCCCTAAAATGCCCTATAAAAATTTACATTTTTCAAACAAATTGAAAACATGGTGTGCAAAACACCTTGTATCTCGCGAGCTAATTAATTAAGTCACCGCTATTTTAAACTTTGAAAGTCTCCCTACACGATGCATATCATTTCGATCTTCGTGCCCTTCTGGAAGTGCCCTGAAATGCTTTTAAAAGTAAGCTAAAAGTATGCTAATGCTACTCTCTAAAAAAAAAACACTTGAGCATTTTTAGAAGTGCTAGGGGGTTGCAAATGTATGCAACGTGTAGGGGAACTCGTTAACTCTAACATGGCGGTGAGAAACTATAAAAAAGTAATATAGTTCGGGAAATCCTGGGTGTTGTTTTCCAGACCACAATAAAAACGAAACTTTCCAGTACTACAATAAATCTCTGACAAAAGCAATGTGCTGAAACCAGGGATTGAACCAGGGGCCTCTAGATCTTCAGTCTAACACCCTTCCATCTGTACTATTTCTGCTTATTGACAGAAGACTGTTGCAATTATACTACATAAATCATTGTTTTCATACCAATAAGAAATTTCAATTTCTGAAATATATTTTAAATCAAAAACACTCGAATCCTTTTGGTGTGATACAGGATGATAGAATGCTACAGCTTGTTTTTAAATTTTTGAAGTGAAATCTTCTTTACAATCGTTGTGATTTCAAAATTAATGAAACGACACTAAAAAGAGACAAACGTATTCGTTTACATGGTTAAGCCTGCGATGGAATAAGAAAACACAAATATACAGTGTTTCCTATTACATCTTCATCTCCTCTTTGTGCGATGCATCGTAGCTTGCCACAAGCCACGTGATTCTGAAAATTTTCTGAATACAGTGGAATCCCGGTAATCCGGACCCGACTTGATCAAGCATTTTTTTTTGTAAAAAATTCCGGACTATAAGGGGTCTTAGGCACTTTTCTATAATCCGGCAAATTCACTCATCCGACACTGCCCTGCAAAGTGATTGTCGGATTACCGGGATTCCACTGTATACTATCACCGATCACCGATCTTCAAGTATTTCAAAAACTAATGCCGATAAGTGTCGTGAATATCGGCAGAAATATATTAAATACATTTTACACTTGATTCCAATACTACTATCGTCTCATTCTCTTGCAGTGCAGTGTTCTGAATGTTTCACTTCTACCACGTGTGAACTGCACACATATGTTTTTTTTATTATGATAAAATAGAACATTATAAATAATATATTTAATTAATATAATTAGTAAACTTTTGATCTAGAAACATTTCAGGTTCTATTGATGTCGGTAATTTATACGTAATTAATTTAATGTACCATAATAATTTATTCAGATAATTATCTTCTTTCATAATCTGCAATATAAACTTGATTTTCTTTAATATATAAGAAAATTAAATAATTAACTAAACTATGGCGGAGGCGCCTGACATTTTATCTAGTGATTCTATTTATTTTTAAAATCTTATTAAACCATAGAGCGGTTTTAATTACTATATAAATAAACTTTTTTTACTCATTAGTACTTACGGTTTATCCTGTAGACATATTTAAGTGAAACGTGCCCTTTCACCAACACTTAAACGCCGATTATCTCTGAAACTAACCGAGATGAACAAAAACGGAAAACGACGTTGCATTCAGCAAACAATTCTACAGAAGATAAGACTTTAAAATTTGTACTTTTCCAAAGATAAAAATTGATTTTCCGATGCAATTTTCTCGAAAACTATAAAAGTTTCAAAAAAACTGTTTACACTTTCTCCATGCACTAATGACAAGCTCAAAAATGGCAGATTTAGTTTTTCGATTTTGAGAAGTTGACAAAAAACCACTGAAAATAGTCAAGAGGTAACACTTGATGATTTTTTGGCCTAAAAATTAAATTGTAAGCTAAAAGAAAATGGAAAATGCCATTGGATAGAGAATTACAATGCGATGAAAGATATCCAATCAGTTTTCCGATAACATCAATATTTCGAAAAAGTCGGGTGAAAATCTGTATAGGCCAAATTGATCGGATATTCTCGAAAATGTACAGTCGAATGCTAAATGATGGAGGAATCATTTTTTTAAGTTTTATTCCAATATCTTAATTAGTTTTCAAGTTATTAGCCATTTTCAATAATTACGTAAATGCAGTAAATTGAAAATTTTAAAGTAATTTAATTCTAAAGCAATAGAATTCCACTGTGAATACGAATCTGAAAACCATTTTTCTTTAACTCTATTAGTTTGCAGAAAAAGGGCGATAAACTGAATTCTTCAGTTTCTCCATCATTTCTTAGGCAAAATATAAAAGTTTAAAATTTGAACTTTTTATTTCAGAAGAGTAGAGAAAACGTGATCCTGATTCATTTCTCTTAGTACCATTTTGTATTCAGAATAAAGGTTTAGGCAGAAATCACAATTTCAAAGGTTCATGTATTTGCTCAGAAGAGTACAATAGAATACGATTGAACACAATGCAAAACACTTGAAATATGTATATTGTGGGTCCTGTTATTTGATCCAAAATAATTTTAATAAAAAAGTTTGACCCTGTCTTTCGACACAAAATAATTTAATGAAAAAAGTTTGTCTCTGTCTTGCGACACAAAATAATTTAATGAAAAAAGTTTGTTCCTGTCTTTCGACCAAAAATAATTTTAATAAAAAGGGTCGTCCCTGTCTTTCGCAAAAAAAATTAATGAAAGTCTGACCCTGCCTTTCGGCATAAAATATTTTAAATAAAAAATGTCGACCCGACCTTCCGACCACGAAAAGATTAAATGAGGACTAGTTTGATGCAGTTCCCGCGCTTTTGTAGGATAGGAAGTAAAGGTAGTAAAGAGTCATCAGAACTAGTACATGTAAATTAGAAATCTCAAATTGCTTTATTTGTACAGGGTGTTTTCTATACAAAATTTATAAAATACAGAAAACACAAACTTGAAAGGTTCGAATTACCACAAAATTCAAAAGAACATTAATTAAAATATTTATTCCGCAAATCGCAATTAAGTTTTAAGCAACAATTATTGCTCACTGCACGACGTGCTCAATGCATACACATCTCCCGTTCTATTGAAACCAAATAGAAATACCTTACTATTAAGTAATCGCGCTACTTAATTATACTCTGTATTAATCAATATAGATAAGATATAGCAACTAATACCAAGATTTACATTATTTTCCATAGTTTTTATTTAATTTTTAAGTATTTTTGTTCAACTACTCATCATTGTAGGGTTTGCATTTTAAATTCGAACGAGCAATCGAAGATTTCAATTTAAGTGATGGTGTGACACGTTATGCTGCTTAACATGTTTTGACATAATTGGCAAGATGAAAACTTCTTTTTAAACAGAATTGTAAAAATCTCAAATGTGGTAACATTACTCTTTGTGGTAAAAACTGGCTAGTATATACAATCATCAACTTCTTGGAGACGAAAACAATAAAAAACGCAAATTATTGTTAAGTTAAGTAAACAAGTTTACGCTTAAGTGAGAACAGGCACACTCATTAAAAACATCGAGTGAAGCATGTGTGTCGAATGTTCTTGTTTTGAATTTTCTCAAAATTGTAACTCCTTAAATGTTCTAAATTTAAGTAAATATCTTGGGTGATGCTAAAAATTCTTTAAAATTCTATAAGTTGCGCATGTGTTTTGATCGACTCGTGAATCTCCCTCTCACTCTCAACCTTTCAGTGTAATAATGTTTGGGCGTGTATGTAAGTAAAGGAAAATTTCCCATTTAAACACAAATGACCTGATGGCGCTTAAGTGAGCTTATGCCTAAGCGATGCGTAAGTTCGGCTTATGCCAGTCCGGCGTCCTGGCACATACCATGGAAAATAGTGCTTCGGTCGGCGAGGAGATTTGCCGGCGTGTCAAACTCGTGGATGGCACCCTTATCCAGCACAATGACTCGATCAGAGTCCATGATCGTGTTGAGTCGATGCGCAATCGTCAGCACGGTGCAGTCTTTAAACTCGGTGCGTATCGTGCGCTGGATGAGGTCATCCGTCTCCAAATCGACTGCGGCAGTCGCTTCGTCCAGGACGAGTACTTTCGTCTTGCGCAATAGCGCACGACTCAAGCAAATCAACTGACGCTGGCCGACGGATAGATTTTCACCGCCTTCGGCCACTTCGTGATGTAAACCAGCTGGTAAACCTACAAAAAACATCAATATGTAATATCATCCACAATGGATTAGCCAAAATATTTCCAAAACGGCTCACTTACCAACGACAAACTGTTTGAGATGAGCGTGTTCGAGTGCTTCCCAAACTTCGTTATCGGAATGTTTGTCGAAAGGATCCAGGTTCATACGCAGCGAGCCGGAGAACAATACTGCGTCTTGTGGGATGATGGTGAGACGAGAACGGAGATCGTGCAGGCCCATATCAGCAATATTTTGACCGTCTATAATAATTTCACCATTCGCTGCTTCAATAATTCTAAAAATAATACAGACATTCAGTTTCTGTTTGTTTACACTTCTTGTGTTTGTAGTTATATTTACCTAAATAAGGCAAGAGTTAAACTACTCTTTCCGGCACCGGTGCGTCCTACAATACCCACTTTCTCGCCGCCTTTAACTTCGAAGGACACTTTTTTTAATACAAGATCCAAACCCTCGCGGTACCTAACTGCGTAGTCTTTGAATACCACAGCGCCGCTATCTGGCCAACTGGGTGGAGGCGCTTTGTTTGCGATCGTCCACGGCGCTTCTTGTTTTGTTTCACCATACTCCTTTATTCTTTCTACTGCGACGATGTTGGTTTCCACATCCGAAGTCATTCGGACCAACCAATTCAAAGTTTGAGTAATCTTTAAACAAAAACAAAATGTCGGATGAATATCATTCATTCGCAAAATCGCAAACAATCGCACTTACCTGTAAGGCGTAACTAATCGACAAACCAACCAATCCAGGACTCTGATCCTTTTCAATAACGGCAAATAGGCCAGCAAACAAAATAATTAAATTTCCCACCATTTCCAAACGCACCGCGAGCCATCGATTCGAAATAATGCTCGGAAAGTAGCAGCTCTGATTAAAGTCCACCTTATCTTCAGATTCCTGGATAAAGCGCTTTTGTTCACCAAATGCGCGAATCGCCACCGCACCGGTGACACTTTCACCGAAATGTGAGTAAATCGGCGAACGCGACACCGACTCCAACCGTTTTAGCTGTCGTGATGTTGCCACGTAGAAACGTTGAATAAAGAAATACAAGATGGCGATCGGTATAATAACAACGATGAAGAGTGGTGTGGTAAAACTGATTACCACCAGCGTTGCGATGACCTATAAGAAATACAAGTTAGTTTAACTCCGCCATTTAGGGATGCGACGACTACGACGTCTGGGCATGAACAACACACTTGAGACGAAACACAAAACTCTAAACTACGATCAAACCAAATAAATACTTGTGTGATGATAAGGTGGTAACACTGAGAGAAGTTTAAAAAGCAGTTATATTTAAACAACTTTTGTTTTCTTTTTTGCGTCTTGTCAGATATCGTACCGCGACGAAGACGGCGTGAGCGTGACGTACGTTGCGTCATTCTTCGTCATCCGTCGTGCTTTGCAGTGCGTCGAAACGGTGCTGAATGTGTATAACGTTTTTTTTAAGTGTATGTAGGGTGCGAGTGCAAGTTGCACAGGTCATGGTCCGCCATGTTGCACACGTGGACACGTCGTTGCCTATCTGGCGGCAAACCGCACGATTTAATTCTAAAACGTTCCTAAAATGGCGGAACATTCCAGAATACCGCAGCGAGTCGGTGTGCGGTAATGCGATTGTTTAACTCAAGTTTTCAATGATGTTTAGTTGTAATATTTAGTGGTTATTATTGTTATACCTCGAAGTAACAATAGATTCCATCAGCAATAATGAACGGCAGGTGGATGTCAATGTCGTCGATGTCTTTGGAGAAACGTGCAAGGATACGGCCAGTCGGTGTAATGTCAAAGAACGCGACAGGCACCTGCATTATTCTGGTAAGCATTTTGTGATGGAGTGTCCGCGAAGCAAACCAGCAGCCGAGACGAGGTGCTAGATCGGTGAAGACCGAGGCAATGGCTGAAAAATGGTAATCAAGGTTGCTGAATTCCGCCATGGTAGTAATCATGACGATTTGGATTGGGTTAGTTTCGCCGGTAGCTTATATACAGCATTAGCGGCGCCTGGTAGCTAATCATCGCGGCAATAATTCGCGTTTCAACTAAATTGAAAGTTTGCAGAAAGAGAAAATAGCAACATGTGTAGCATAAGTTTTGCTTCATTATTTCGTTTGTTTTCGATCGATTTTTAATACCAATCACCAATATATGAACACTGCTTTATGCGTTTGTTAGATTAAGTAGTTGAGATGGGGCACATGAACTGAAACCTGTGCAACTTGCGACCTTCTCCAGTGTCCGTCGTTATTTTGTCAAGTGTAGTATAAGTTAATGCGTTTGTTATTACAAAAAAATACGAAACAAAACAGAAAAGGGCCAAAAATGATGCAAATAAAACAAAAAGAGAAGAAAAGAAAAACAAAAATATATATATCGCTTGTTGGAGTGGTGTTCCAGAACAACGTACCCGGCCGGTGCTAGGTATAATCTGTCTAAAGTTAATCGGGAGACGCTGATCGACTTGATTAAAGTCGTTCGAAAAGCGTGCCAGCAGCCGTCCGGTGGGTGTAACATAGAAAAACGACATCGGCAATCGCAGCACGTTCGCAACCAGCGTCGCGTGCAGTTTCACCGAGGCGCGTTGTGCGCCAGTGGCGTGCACCATGCTGAACGCGAGCACGGGTAGCACTAAAACAATATAATGCTACTTTCAACGTAAGGTTAACAAGTACATAACCTCAAATATGACATGACAGTATTGGAATGACAAGCAGTCAGATTTGATTTTTGGTTATGTTGTCTACTTTAATTGTAAGGGGACAAAAAAATAAAAAAAGGAATGTTTAGTTCAAATTCTAAAAAGTAGCATCAATCAAAAACACCATCAAACTACAACCAAACATAAACGTGTTTTAGTTTCGTATGGTGTTTAGTAAAGTATTAGTTTCAGCCTTCACGCTTGCTATCCTCAAAAACGCATTACACAACCACTTTTATCTTTAAATTTAAATATAACTGCTCGATGTACAACCAATTGAATAAAAACGAATGGCGATGAGAAATAATGTTAAAATAGAGTCATCATTTGGTAGCCTTACGATGCAACCGCTCTCGATCACTTCGTAACAGTTCATGTTCAGCTCTTCATCGACGACAGTCACGTCCGTCGAGAAACGCGTTATGGCGCGGCCGATGGGGACATTCGTGAAAAATTCGTAAGGCTGGCGAAGGACGTTCGCCAGCAGGTAGCGGTGCAGCTTGCCGGAGGCGTGAATGCCCGCAATTGTCAAGTTCACCTCCGACGAGCAAATCGAGATCGCTAGAAAACAATGCACACACACAAACTGCCAACAAAATGCAAGAAACTCGTAATAGGTCCTTCCTCCAATCACTCCCATCCGTAATATATGGGAGCGGCTTCAATTAAAGTTACGTAAAAGGTGTCGCTAACTAAGAAAAACTTAATTCAACAGAAAGGGGGCTCTAGAGGCGGGCATTCCAGAACAAGAAGGCAACCAATCATAATCATAACTCAAAATCAAATTTAACTGCTTTGTTTGTTTCCTCGCCAACGTAGTGTTTAAATATAACTGCTTTGCTTTCGTGTCATATGCAACACGCATTTATGGTTGAATGTCTACTACTAAAACTATGCGGTTAATCTAACGTGTAATCGTGTTAGATATGTATATGTTTTTTTTTGTTGTAAATTGTTATTGTCTGGTAGACGTCAGAATAGGTTATGTCATCCTGCCTACCCCAAATAAGCAGGCGATCCACGCGCGAATCACGAGTGGCAGCACTGTGTCAACGGTGTCAATGTCTTTCGAGAAGCGGTTTAAGATGCGCCCGATCGGTGTCACGTCATAGAAGGCGAGCGGGGTGCGCATCGCGTTCGTCAGTACGTAATCGTGCAGCTGGCGGGCGGCGCGCAGCGCGCCCACAAACAGTGTCAGCGCCGCGATGAACATCGACAGGGCTGAAATTCGTTGCGTCACAAGTTCAAATCAAGATGTTCAAATCAATTAAACAAATCATATCAAAATAAATTAATTTAGTCATTAATTATCAACCCACCAAAGTAAACAACAAGCTCAGTGTTAGTAGTAAGTGAAAAGGGTGTGAATTGTAACATATCGACAGGAAGACGCAAAATGGAAACCAAAAAACAAACGAACACCTTGTACCACAAATAAAGCCCACCAAAAAATGCCCGCAACCAATTATACGCGCGGTATAAGCGTAGCGACCATTGTTTTTTTGTAAATTGCACATTGTGCACTTCGTGCATAATCACATAGCCAATTCGTATGCCCAAACAAAGATGAAATAATAAAGCAAAACAATTCCGTGCGGCAAATTTCATACACGCGTGATGGTTTTGTTTTGTTTCATCGTTCGCCCAACGTGTGTGCGCCAATTGATTGATTTCTTTTCTTTTTTCTTTCTAATATGGCGGACGAGTAATTACCGTGCACGTCATGCGAATAAACTGCGCCAACAGCATGGGCAGAAAGATGTCCACAACGTTAATGTCCGCTGAGAACACGTTCAGGATGCGACCAATGGGCGTCGTGTCGAAATAATGCATCGGCCAACGATGGCACTTGTGTAACAATGTCTCATGGATGCGCTTCGCCGCCACGTAGCAGCCGAGAGCGTGTGTTAGTGAACAAACGAAAACAGAAATACCTGGATAGATAAATATCATGTTATTTGCAACAAATTACGCCAATCAGAGAACTAAACTAAACCCGAAAGCTCTAGTATTTCACAAGTACAATTTTTAGTTAAACTCAAAACGAAAAAAATCTCGATAGTTTTTCGCAGTTCTCCCGATATTAAAGCAAAAATAATCAAATTATAAACACACATGCAGTTTCACAAAAACTAAGAACTGGAAAATTAAGAAAATTATTCATGCCCGCAATATACATATTAAATAACGCATAGAATAAAATTATTAAAAGATAAAAAATAAAACTTGCTAAAAGATAAGCGAGAAATTAGAGGCGCGCATGCGTAAAATAAACAGTCTTACCTTGACCGATGCCGAGCGCGCCGTATACTCCAAGGTAAAGATCACGTTTCTCTGTGTTGACGGTGCCGTTTGCGTTGTTCATCTCGCTATCAGTGGACCACTCACTTAACCAAACATTAGAACCGATACTGAAGCCTTGGAACACCACGTTGAGGATAAGCGTAACCGCTGTTAGGCCCAATCCAATTGACATCAAGTAATGCTTGTACACCTCCCACTTGACGCTGCCCACTTCAGCTTTCTCCGCCTCGATCAACTTCTCGCCAACCACGGGTTGTTTCACTGGCGTTTCCGATTTGCCTTTCACACTGTTTTCTAGATTAGAGGAGTCCGTGGAACGCTGCCGCATTAGCGAAGCGTTTGCCTTATCCGATCCTGTTTCCGAAACTGATTCGGAAACTCTTGAACGCGCACGACGAATATGTCGTGCGAATTCCTCAGGCACTTCAGCGCTACTCAATTGATTCTGTAGTTCTTCCAAATCTAAACGATAAGTTTTAGTTAAGCTTAGTTTAAATAAAATTCGGTTATGACTTACTATCTTCATCTTCATGCTCAGCCGCCTCGGTAATATGCTGCATCAAAAAGTCAGAGAACGCACCCTTGTTTTTCAGCAATTGATCATAAGTCCCTGTCTCGGAAATCTTGCCTTGCGCCAACACAACGATGTTATCAGTTTGTGGAAGATAGGTAATTCCGTGCGTAACCAGCACACGGGTTTTCTTCCGCAATAAACCATTCGGGCCGAGAACCTTATCGAAGATGTGTTTGCCTACGTGACTGTCTACAGCACTCAGTGGATCATCAAGGAAATAAATATCTGAGTCAGCGTAAACAGCACGCGCGACGCTTATTCTCTGTTTTTGTCCACCAGATAAATTAATACCCTTCTCGCCGATTTCGGTCTGATCACCGGCTGGCAACATGTCGAAGTCCGGCTTCAACGCGCATGCCTCCACAATTCTATGGTACACCTTCTCGTTCAAAGGCTTGCCGAACAGAATATTTTCCTGCAGCGTTGCGTTCTGAATCCACGCTTGTTGCGAGACGTACGCAATAGATCCGTCGGTGTTTACCCGGCCGGAGGTTTTCGCCATCTCGCCCAACATGGCCGATATTAAACTAGATTTACCCGAACCGACTTGCCCCACGACTGCGGTGAGAGACCCTCGCGCGCAGCGCATGCTGATATCTTTGAGCGTTTCACCTTCACCCCAGTTAAAGTTACCATCTTCAATAATAATCGGATCTTCAGATGGTTCATGGGTCACATTATTCGGATCCAATTCTTCGCAATTCATGAACTTGTTGATTCTGTCGACGGATACTTTGGCCTATACATAATTAAATAAGTTATAAAATATCCGATGATCATTATGGATAAATTTGATAAGCATGATGTGAATTGATTATTAAAACAGTGATTGAAATAAAATAAACTTAAAAAAATTGATCGTTGGTAGGTAGTAAAAATTAGTGTCGCTTACTTGAACCATGTTGGAGATCATCATGGGTAACATGCTCAGAGGGAAGCGCAAAATGTTGAAGAGCGACAGCGAGACGAACGCCGTCGTCGCGTCGAGCACGTTCTTTTCGTCAACGAGCACGAACGTCGCAAATGTGACTAATGATACCTGTGGTTGCATTAGGCATGAACATAAGAGAGATTAGCAAAAGTGATCAAAAAGTTTCAAGTGTGTTGAGTAATGTGTCAAATGTCAAAAAAAGAACAGAAAAACAAAACAACCACAATCAAGAACCCCGATAGTAAAGCATCGATGGTAATGCAGCTTATCGCGTACAAGAGCGAAAAGTTTTGCTCATTTCTACCTCAATGGCGTACACCACAACCATCGGCAGCAGACCCATCGGCGCGTCCATAATTTCAAAAAGACTCAATGCAACAAATGCCTTTTGTGGTGTGAGGACATTTTCATCACTGCTGAGCACGTAAACGGCAAACGTTAAACATGCCACCTATCATTTGCATATTATCAAAAAACAACAAAACAAAAATACAACTAACAAAAACGGTATTTGAAGTGTGGTGTAAGTATGATTAATTTAAATGCGGTGAAAAACTTACCAAAAATGGCGCACAAGACCAAATGAATGAACTGCCCGCATTGAGATACGCCGCCTGTTTCAACACCTTCATCTCTTTGTTTCGAATTTTCAGCACTTGCGCCTCGAAGCTAGGTTCCCACGCGTATAATTTTAATACTTTAATGCCGCTAAGAATCTCGTTCATTAGTTTAACGCGCTCATCCTTGTTCTTCATCTGCTTGATCTGCAGCAGTTTCGTGCGGTTGGCAATATATCCGTTGATGGGAATCATGATTATCATCACCGCTAAACCAGCCAACACACTAGGACCAAGTACATCCCAAAGGAAATACAACGCAAGCAAAATTTGTAATGGCGCCGACCAAATCATGCAAATATACGCCGTCAATTCAATAAACTTCTGCGCGTCCACAGACATTAAATTGACAATCTCGCCGACGGTGCTTTCCTTTCGCGCAGCGTTTGACATAATCAACGCTTTGCGGTAAATGGCCGACACCAAAGAGGTACGAATACGCATGCCAACGAGGAACATTCTGTTGAAGTACTGCGCCAAAACAATTGTTTGTATAACAGCAACTACAAAGAGTAGCACCGCGTAAAAGTAACCTTTCCAATCTTCTTCTTTGTTTTCTACGAAATCAATAAGTAATCTGTGAAGAAAACAGAATAAGTTAGGTACAGTTTTTCATAATGGTGGAGATGTAGCATACCTAAGAATTTGTGGACTGGCGAATGTCAGAATATCCTGAGTCAGCTTCAGCAGCGCTCCAAACAAAAATGTCGGCCCAAATGATTTGATTATAGCTGGCAGTACAGACGCTTGCGTTTTTTTGCTGTTAACAAAATCCATTCGTACAGAGTCGGTTTTATACGACACTCGACTGCGAGGATGCGTACTGAACAAAACAAAAACGAAACAAAACATAAACTACGCCCAAACAAAACCATATTCAAAACGAAAACAAAAATACTCAAAACCAAATAGCCAAAAAGATACAAAAGATTCAGACGCCTACCTTTCGTGTTTTCTAAGAGTTCTCTGCCAATGTTTATTAAACAAAGCGACTACCTCATGTCCACCATCCTCCGGCTTCATTTGCCATAAATCATCGTGAACCAACGGTTTTCTAAATCCTTTCCACGCCAATGGATCAAACCACGAGAAGAATAATCGCGATAAAAATCCACTAGACTGTTCCGGACATGGTCTCTAATCATATGTAAAACAAAAACATTTAATAAACAATAAAAATAAAAATTTTAAGGATAACAAACCTCTGATTTAGGATATTTGCTATGGGTTGGTTCGCCATCCGCGAAACAATTCAGTAACAACATGATGACGACCAACGGATAGTAGATGAGATAACTAATGTAAAAGTAGTAGATCTCCGGTTCGTGATCCATCGCTCCGCGGATTTCCGTGCGCAGCTGAGGAATACCACAGAGTACACACAGGAAATAGAAGAGGAAAAGCACCCCCGAAGAACGGATGCCATGCTTCTTGTTGTAGTATACAAATCTACCAGCCAACTCCTAATAACAGCAAAAATATCAACACAAGTTAAATAAAAGTAAACTAATTTTATGTGTTTACTTACAAATGAAATAATTTTAATGAGGGGCATATAAATATCCACGCTCTGAATGATGTACGTCCCAGCGACCGACCAATGAATGGCGAGGATCATGTCGACGAGACTCAATATCAGCAGCGCTGTATTGAAGCACAGCTTGGCGATGTTGAGAAAGTTCCATCGTATATTGCCGTACTTGCTGCTTTGCAGGTAAAAATACTCGAGGCTGGAGAAGCCCCACAGGAACACACAGGGGATGAAGATGAGAATGGTCTTCTCAAAACACAGCGTTAAGTCGGGATCGTCTGTATCCCATGATAATGTTCTATTCTATAAGTTGCAACAAAGAAAAACACATTAAATACGAGTATAATTCATTGAACTCCATTTTTGTTTCATTTTTCATGAGGTTAAGTACATTTTTAACCTAACACGACAAAAAAAGTGTACGATGATTCAGCGATTGTGAACCAACCGTTTCGAATTGATTATTTTCCCATTTCCCACAACCACACACCGAAAACCTTCAGCACAAGGAAATTATTTATAAACGTACGCGTGCAATCGATATTATTTTAGTTAGAAATTAATTTTCTGTCGAATACTTTTATATACATCGTAATGTGTAATGTTTCAGTGAGGAGTATTAAATGGCCGCTGAAACCAACACCGAGTCGAGTAAATTGAAACGTGATCAACGCCGGCCGATTCACTTGATCATTTGTTTGATTAAGGTTTAATTTATGCGGGCAACAAGATACGCGATGCCCGTCACGTCGGTGTTGTTTCAATTGATTGTTTGAACACAATTTAACAGCAAAGAATGCGTTTAATGAATTTAAAGAAGTAAGAGAACATGATTCATTAAATAGAGTGATACAATTTGAGTAATTGAATTTAGTGTCGGTGAAATCAATATAAACAAATTTGATTATTAATTTTAATGTGAAAAAAAGCGTAATTTAATTACATGCCGTGACACATCATTCCAGTGATTCACAACCCCTCCACGTATAGGGGACATTGGTTAAGTGATATTTCAGCCTATCGCGTATCACTTTTCCATAATTCATTCGCAAATTGGTTCAAAATTAAGTTTAACAATCGCGACTAGAAAAGGAAACATACTACATGCCCACCGCAATACTAAAAACGTGTAAAAAGTGTCATTTTACGCACGATAGTATAAAATATTATTCGTAAAAAAATCAGCGTGAAAAATAAACTTTTATCCGGTCTGTGTACTTAAAATTTCTACTTTATATCATTTATTACGAGTTAATTAATAAAATTAAATTTTAATCTAAGAAAAAATATAGCGAAAAATACTTATTTACAAGCCATAAAATAAATTTTAATGTATCAAGTAGTTATTTATAATATTTTAGCAATAATCGCAACTCGTAAAATTGAATTTTATTGCACTTAAAACTATTAACTAACTTGAGCTGGTACGCTCAAACACATTTATTTGTGATTTCACGGCCGATGACCACTAACCCAAATTCTCTGCCGCACAAAACACGTCGCGAACGCATCCTTGACTAGAACGCGAGATGCGATCCGCGCTCATCACGCACGCACTTTAATTGTTTCATTTTACATTATCTAATTGTTTATTCTCATCACTCGGCAAGTGCGCTTAAATGATATGTGAAATAGCCGAATATTTTTCAGCGTTTAATAAAATAAGTGCTGAAAAACACGACAGACATTATGCGGCGACATAAAACCGTGATTTTCATTGTTTGGTGCGCGTAGATTTGAGTTCGAAGTGAAAAATGTTAGATTTTCTTACCCAAAAAGCGGAACCGCAGAATCTATCCAATGTAGAGTTCGCCATGTTTTAGGCGCTCGTCAGTCGTCGGCGCAAATCGCCCGAGTACGAGCGTTTCCTATCTGTTGTCGCTGACGATGATGCTGTCGATGTCTAGGAAGCGGCTATACCTGCGAACAACACATCACCTCACATTCAGTAACCGCACGAACCGCTCGCTGGCACACGCGACGCACGACTGGCCTCGAAATGTCATCTCGACACATATCAAGCGTATCAGCTGTGCATTTTAATTCGTGAAACTACTACTGAGGGCGCTCATATCAGTCAATACAATATTGTGCAATGTTGTCACATCCAGTCTCATTATATTTTGTACGAATAAATCAACAAAAACACCAATTATCGCATAGAAAACGTTAATTATATAAAATATATAAGTTCTACAAACATAATCTACAGAATATAAAAGCAAAACATGTCAAAAATAGATTACAAACCTATAGTGTTGAAAATGTTATCGAACATCCTGTAGGCTATTTTGTAAACAACCTTGAAACTTGAAACTGCCAAAACATGGAACTGTCAAAGCATGCGCTTGTTTATTCGAAAGTATTCGAGAAACATTCAATTTGTTAGCACTGCCATTATTTCACTGAGTTTCAGAAAGAAGTTTGAGTAGTTCTTTTGTAATTAGGTACAATGTCTAAGAAATCAGTCTTTCTGGAGGTGGACACTTCAATTCGCGACAAAAATCTACTCATTGCGGTAAGTCGACTAAAAATAGGTTATAATTTTAAACATACCAGGTGTTTATTGCATGTTTATATGTATAAAAAATAAATTTAAAGATAATTTGACAGCTAACAGCCTTGTTGTTTTCTCAAACATAATTCATTATTACTCATTTATCACTTAAACAACACTTAAACACTGTTGTTTGAGAATTAACCGAATTGTTGGGAAATTGCAATACTTTTTCAAACTCATAAGCGAAAATTTGATAAAAACAGGAAATCCCGAAATGCGATACTGATAAGAACATTTTCCATAGGTATTTTTGAGAAAAAATCGTAATATTGTGTAATATTGCGTGTATGTAGATATGGAAAAGTATTGATTAAACAGCTAAACATATATTTTCGATATTGAGATCAAAATGGCGGAAAAATTATAAATAAATATATTCATCTAATGATGATATTCCCCGACTAATATTTGTTTCTTCAGCGTGCATTAAACAATGTAAGTTCAAGGTAACAAATATTGATCAACATCACAATGAATCACAGTTTAAATATGAAGTCGCGGTTCTTGCGCTTGTATTGTTAATTTTAGCTGTGAGTATATTTTATTAGGTGCTATGTACTAAATATGTGTGCATTGTTATGCCGTGTTTACTCCTCGTCTATTGCACTTTTTATTTGCTCGTTACATACATTTATGCACTAAGTATGCAGCAATTCTTTTTTGGTATTTACTTCAGCTAAACATTTTCATTTTCCTGTTTGTTAAACCTTGAGCACTGTTGAGCAGTCATTTTAAATAGCGAATTCAATGAATCTCATGGATGTTAGAATAATCACATTCAAATATTTACGTTGTTGAATTTTCAAGTTATTTTTTTGTAGTTATCTTGGCATTTTGGAAACTCCACTTGAACATTTTGTTATTATGTAATAAATGTTAAGTTGACATATTGTCTTATAGTCAAGTGTCAATAACATTTTTACGTGTGATTTTTATAGTAAAACTAGCATTTGCCTGCAACTTCCTCCCGGTAGTGTTTAATAAAAATGTAATTCGGATTTACTCTCTTGTTGTAGACATAGTATGTGACAATTCTATCAATAAGATTCGCAATTTTATTTAAAAAAATTTAATTATATAAAGAATTGCTAATAATGCACTTCAGCGCGCCATCTCGGATTCAACTATTTAACTATAACTATGACTGAATCTCAATCTCAACTTTTATTCTATAGAAAAAGACTGTGTTTAGAGTTTTCTTGGCAATTATTCGTATTTTTCTCGCCGTAAAAACCATCCTTGGACTTTAACGAACATTTTAAGAAAAAAATTGGCCAAATTGGTTTAGGCGTTGTTGAGTTATGCGCTTACCAACAGATTTTGCGATTCATTTTTATATTATAAATTGAAATGAAAAGGAATAAATAAATAACAAAAGGTTAAGAATTAAATTGATCAAAAAATAATGAAAAACATTCGGAAACTCTTCATGAACTATTTTTTAAGTGTTTTATATTTTTTACAGAAAAATACAGAGGAAGAAGAAGAATTTAACAAATTTCTCAACTCAACTGGCATAGGACAACTTCCATCAATTACAGTAAAACCAACTCCAGGTGAGTTAATTTCACAATTTCGCTACAAAAACAATCAATTACGTGAGAAGCAAATTAACAGTATAATTAGTTTTTAATGAATTACTCGAGAAATATTACAACTAAACTAACAATTATTTCATAAATATAATCAAATCAGACTCTGTCAAGTTTATGTTGATTTTATTTTCACAAATCAACTTTATGCAAATTAATTTATAATGTATCCATCAATCAATCTCTACAAAACTATTTTCGGAATGTTTTTTTAGTTGCTTTTATCTAAACTTCAATTGTATTTATTTACATTATTTATTGTTTAAAAGTTTATATAATACTTGTGTCCTGTTCTATGTTCTACCACGCGGTGTGTACGAGTGTGTGTTGGTGTAATTGCCGCTTAATGAGCATTCGAGGGCCACTTTTAACCATCATGTAATTCGCGGTGCTGACGATGACATCACGTTGCGTAACCGTTAATCATTAGTTTTGAGTGTTTTTTCTCTTCTCTTCGTGTGTTTTTTTTTTAATTTGACTCAAAACAACTAAACAGCAACAACAATCTTCAAGTATTTTAAAGACTCTAACCGCAGACATTGTTGTGTTAATGTGAGTTAGCGTAGCTTCTGACAACTGTTTATAAATCTGTGTGTGAGTACAATCGTGATTTTATGACCAGGCGTAATTATGAACGCGAGTACAGTTTCGCATTGGTTTCGCTGGTTTAAAATAGAAATACGAGTTATGCGATAGTGGATGGGATCCGGTTTTCCATATCGCACTTGTGCAATAATCGGTGAATAGACGATAGATGATTAACGCGGAATGTCAAGGTCTTTATTTTATGAGTATTTATGTCTGTATGCAAATTGAAAAGAGGCGCTTCTTCATTCTCGCCAATAAATATCATGTTTCTGCATTTTAAATATATTGCATGTAATTATTCTTGTATTGTTTAATTATTTAGTGATCGGAAGTTATAAATTATAGATTATATCGCCTTCTTTTTGATTGGCGGTTAATGACTAAATCAATACATACATACCTACTCAAGTGGCCACGTATTTGTGAATGAAATGTACGCGATAATAAAATCCCAGCATGAAATTGTAAAAATTGTAGAATCATACTCGTGTTATGGCGTGTTATCAGTCATACAGTATTATTTCACGTGCTAGTAAGCTGGCATTGATAATCATACAGGGAGAAAACCAAATTTAAACATATTGAAATATAATTTAAAATCATGAACGTTTTTACTTTATTAATATCAAGCTTTTGCCCGCGACTTCGTCACGGTAATCTGGTGTGTGCTAATATCTTGTTCGCTAGTAATCGAGTTGTTAGTTTCAGGGTGGTGTTTAGCAGAGCTATTCCTCGATAGTTGGATGGTTCTTGCTTATCTCCTTTCTTAAACATCATTATTAGTGTGCTCAATTTCCATTCAGTTGGTACTCTCTGATGCTTCAGGATGATGTTGATAAGTTTCGTAATTTCGGCCGCGAGCACTTCTTCGCCGTATTTCAGGAGGTCATTGGGTATTCCGTCCGGGCCACTGGCTTTTCTGTTTCTGAGTTTAGCGAGTTCTGTTTCCACCTCAGATATGCTTACTATGGTTGGTTCATCAGGTTGTATGTTGACTGAGATATTAGGTTTCTCCTGGTTTGTGTCCCGGTATAGATGTTTGATGTAGTTTATCCAGGTCTCTTTGTCTATTCCCTTTGCTTGTACCAGTTCTGTGAGCTCTTTTCTCTGGTTTCTTATGGTCTTCCATACTGTCTTTTGGGTTCCATAGAAGTCATGTTCTAGTTGTTTTGAGAAGATCCTCCAGTGTTCGGATTTCGTCTTCCGTACTAACTCGTGCGTTTCTCTGCGGATTTGTTTGTAACTTTCGTATGATTCTTGCGTTCTTTGCGTGAGGTGTTGAATGTGTGCCTGCTTTTTTCCTTGCATTTCATTTTGATTTCCTCGGTGAACCATGGAGTTCTCTTAGCAAAAGGATTCGGTTTCTTGATGATCTTCCTGCCTAGCGCTTCTTCGGCAGCCTGTTGTATGTTGCTTTTCAGCCTTTCCCATGCCGTATCAACGTTATCTCCTTCTTGTATGTTGTTGTTTGTAACTTTCTCCTTCAGTCTGTTTGCATATAGTTCTCTGGTTGTTTGGTCAGCTAGTCCTTCTGTTTTTATTTTGTGCGCTCTTCGCATGTTTTTGCTTGTTTCTTTTGGAGGGATATTAGTCTCAGCTTCCCAATCACGAGGGCATGATCGCTTCCTATGTCTGCCGAGGTTAAGCTTCTTACAACTAATATGCTGGTTGGTGGAATTACTCGGTTTGTCACAATGAAGTCGATTGTTGATGTGTGTCCCCTTGAGTTACAATACGTGTGTTTGTGTTGTTGTTTGTGTTCGTAATATGTGTTATTTATTCGTAGTTCGTTGATTGTGCATAGGTTAGTCATCAGCGTTCCATTTTCGTTTTCTGTTTCCTCGTTGAATCTCTGCTTAACTCCGGGTATGATTCTGTTGCCAATCCTTGAGTTAAAGTCTCCTAGGATGATAGTCGCTTCGTTCTTATGGCTGTCTAAAACATGTTGCAGTGAGTTAAAGAATTCTTCTCTTACGTCTTGGGGTCTGCAGTTTTCTGGAGCGTAAATACTTATAATGTTGGTGCGTTTCCTGTCTAGCAGCAGTTTTGCGTGTATTATTCTGGCTGAAACGTACGTGATGTCTATAATGTGATCTACTAACTTTTGTGAAACATGATTGCGACTCCTTTTTTTGCTCGCTCGTTCCTCTCTACACCGCTGTATGCTAGTAGATAATCTCCAACTACTGCCTGACCTTTTCCCTTTTTCTTAGTTTCTTGAAGTGCGCAGATATCAATGTGGTGGTTTCTTAATTCTTGCTCCATTTCTTGGTCTCTTCTGTTGAGCGATTTTATGTTCCATGTGGCGATTTTAAGGTTATGTTTTTGTAGTCTTCTCTTTGTCCGTGTACTTTGCTTGGGTTGTCGTCGTTGATCTGTCCGTAACCGAGGCCCTTGTCTGGTTCTATGAGCACTGATGTTTTTTACGTAGGGTAGGTCGCTGGCCTCACCCTACAACCCTCCTTCTTTGTCCGGGCTTGGGACCGGCGTCGGTGTGTGATGCAGCGACGGCGAAGTTCATAAATATAATCAAATCAAACCCTGTCAAGTATATGTTGATTTTATTTTTTCACAAATCAACTTTATGCAAATAAATTTATAATGTATCAATCAATCAATCTCTACAAAGTTATTTTCGGAATGTTTTTTTTAGTTGCTTTTATCTAAACTTCAATTGTATTTATTTACATTATTTATTGTTTAAAAGTTTATATAATACTTGTGTCCTGTTCTATGTTCTACCACGCTCTGTGTGCGCGAGTGTGTGTTGGTGTAATTGCCGCTTAATGAGCATTCGAGGGCCACTTTTAACCATCATGTAATTCGCGGTGCTGACGATGACATCACGTTGCGTAACCGTTAATCATTAGTTTTGAGTGTTTTTTCTCTTCTCTTCGTGTGTGTTTTTTTTAATTCGACTCAAAACAACTAAACAGCAACAACAATCTTCGAGCATTTTAAAGACTCTAACCGCAGACATTGTTGTGTTAATGTGAGTTAGCGTAGCTTCTGACAACTGTATATAAATCTGTGTGTGAGTACAATCGTGATTTTATGACCAGGCGTAATTATGAACGCGAGTACAGTTTCGCATTGGTTTCGCTGGTTTAAAATAGAAATACGAGTTATGCGATAGTGGATGGGATCCGGTTTTCCATTTCGCACTTGTGCAATAATCGGTGAATAGACGATAGATGATTAACGCGGAATGTCAAGGTCTTTATTTTATGAGTATTTATGTCTGTATGTAAATTGAAAAGAGGCGCTTCTTCATTCTCGCCAATAAATATCATGTTTCTGCATTTTAAATATATTGCATGTAATTATTCTTGTATTGTTTAATTATTTAGTGATCGGAAGTTATAAATTATAGATTATATCGCCTTCTTTTTGATTGGCGGTTAATGACTAAATCAATACATACATACTCAAGTGGCCACGTATTTGTGAATGAAATGTACGCGACAATAAAATCCCAGCATGAAATTGTAAAAATTGTAGAATCATACTCGTGTTATGGCGTGTTATCATTCATACAGTATTATTTCACGTGCTAGTAAGCTGGCATTGATAATCATACAGGGTGATTACAAAATTTAGAAATATTGAAATATAAATTAAAATCTTGAACGTTTTTACTTTATGAATAATTAATTATTGTGTAAGATACATATATATTGAAACCCGTTTCGCGTTGTCAAGCCATCACATGAAAACGGCTAGACCGATTTGGCTGATTTTTTTGGCAGTTTTCTAATATTCTGTAGAAGGTTCTTACGGAAAAAATATAGATGACTCAGAAAGATTGAAAAAAATTTCCCGTTGTCACGCCATCAGAACGCATATACAAACTTCGCATGACTTATTTAGTAATCTGTGGTAATTTGTGACATACCCGCCGCGCCAACAATATGGACCGGTTGACGTTTTTGTTTGGAATGCTTAAATCATTGAAACTACGCAACGGATTTTGATATTTTTACTAAGCCGGGACGGGTCGTTAATGTGACTGGCAGAGAATGCCTTATGGCAGTCCGCCTTTTGTACAATATTATTTTTTATGTAATAAAGTTTTAATAAATAAGGCTTCGTTACGGTAGTGTTTAATAAAAATGTAATTCGCTTTACCATCTTGTTCTAGATATAGTATGTGTCAATTCTATCAAGAAGATTTGCTATTTTATTTTAACTAACTAACTAACTTTTATCCTATAGAAAAGGGCTGTCGTTTTCCCGGCAATAATTCGAATTTTTCTCGACCGAAAAACCGTCCTTGGAGTTTAACGAACATTTTACAAAAAGAATTGGCCAAATTGGTGTAGGCGTTGTTGAGTTATGCGCTTACCAACAGATTTTGCGATTCATTTTTATATAGTAGATTAATTAATGGTGTAAGACACAAATATATCAAAAAAATATGAGCATTAAATCAATTTTGGCATAAGATTTGAACAGAACTGTTTAATTTCTTATATTTTGTAGTAAAAACAGATTTAAATTTTATTTTCTAGTATATATTAAATTATACAAAAAATAATAAAATACCTTTTATTTTAATAAACATCTAAATATTAAATAAGAAATTAATACAAATAGTTGATGGGATCGAAAAAAAAAACTTGTAAATCGAGTATTTCATTAGAAAAATTCTAAAAATTTCATCATTTATTTATATCTGCTCTAATTAAATTCGATTAATTATAGAAATGTGTTCACTTATCCGAATCTATGAATCTACTTTATGAATCTAATCTACTTGTTGATGAACAGTGACTGATCGATAATGCTTTCCATTACGCTGCATTTAAAGTGACAACAGATAACACATGTGCGACTCAACACACTTGCTAATATTGATTACAATTAATTAAAATTATCAATGTTTTTGCATAACTCTAACCACGCGAGAATTACGAGTACATTTAAACTAACTGCTGAATCATACCACTACATATTCCACATATTTCAAAATATAAGAGCTTTGTTTAAACGTTTTTTCAATTGTGGATGCCTGTTATTACGAGAACTGTAGAGTTGAATTTTATAATAACGCACGTGGTGTGCACGTGACAAGAATGCCTGGAATTCAGTCACAAATGGCTGAACCCTTTATCACCGTCTATGTGAGGTGGCCTTCCACGAGTTGCAATGTATGCGTAATTATTGTGCAACAATTATTCACATTTTGTGTTTTCCGCTTTCGGCTATAAATAAATTTTAACCTCGATATATCAAATCATGTTACATAGGAAATTATTTGATGTGATGTGATTTGAGTGCATAGTTATTGATTTGTTTGGAATAATTTAGTTAGAAACACGTTTTACTGTACATTAAGTGCAAATAAGAGATTAAACATGATTAAATATTCAGTACATATACTTTTTATCGTTATATTATATAGTTATATATTGATCACCATGCATTATAGACAGATGTACGAGTTCTACATTAGAATAATTCGTATGTAATGCGCTATTGGTGTTTTTATTTGACCTACTTTACCGCACATGTTCGTTTTTTACTTTGTCAATCACGTTAAAAAGATAAAAATTCACGCACATAATCGATGACATTCGATAACATTCATTCATGATAGTTTTCTATTTATTATTAGATAAATATTCAACTTACAATACACGCTGTTGTTGTTGTGGTTTGTGATCTACTATATAAAAATAGTTATTATTATAAGAACCAAAAGTTAGCATCAATCACTTCACTAGTACTTTATTTACCAGCAGTCTGCACTTTTTGATCACACATTCAAACTGATGATTTATTTAAATACCACTACAATAACTTGATTGTAAAAATCGCTTCCCACTTGCGATTGTGTTGTTGACAACGCGTATCTGTCCGCCAGTCAATGCGCTCACCAAAGTACCGTTCTTATTTGTTTGTTTGCTATTTATTTATTTTTTACCTCACAATAACAAAATTTGTCACTCGCTGTGCAATTTCAAACGCGTGAATCACTGTTTTTGCTGAAGTTATTAACGAATTAATGAACACATTGGAGTAAATTGAAGAATTAATCGTTGTAAATCAGACGATGATGATTTATTCATTGAAATTTGTTTTTTAATTGCGGAGCAATGCACGATTGCATGCGATCGCCGACGACACTCGCGTACGACTGACGAAATGTCGAAATTCACGAAAACGCGGCGCTCGCGTAGCCCGCTGTTGTAAACAAGAAACAAAAAAGAGCGTAATGCGAATGTAAGACTATCAAGGGTACTACAAGTACACACACTATCTGATTTACTATACATTACCGCAAGATAACGGTAAAAGTTGAAAGCACTTGTAGTGGAATTCTCTAGAGTGTGATTTAGCAATTTACAATGCGCGATATTTGTGTATTACTTGCAATTGCAAATCATTTTGTTTATGGATAACGCCGATTATATGATTTAAACTTGTTTAAAAGCATTTATTTTTGAATTTTTATAATTTTTACACTAAAAACAAATAGGGGAAAGGGGGGCAAAGTGGGCCCCAAAAGCGAAAAAAAGGGAATTTGTTTACCTTTTTTCACTCGTTACACTATTTTTTACATCCTAGTTCAGTATTTAATATTAATAAGCCGTGTCTATCAAAATAAAAAAAAATTCAGAATATGGGGCAAAGTGGACCCCCACCCATAAAAATTTTGCTATTACCTTTGTATCAATTTTTTGCCTATATTATTTTCTTTTTTCATATCTTCCTTCGAATTTGTTGTGTATAAGTTGTTCTTGCAACTTCATCTTATTTATCCAAAATTTTAGGGGGCCCTCTTTGCCCCTCAATTTTTTAAGCCTCCTGAATTTCAGGGAGCCCACTTTGCCCCCAGGGGCCCACTTTGCCCCCCCTTCCCCTATTTGTGATGTAAAAACAATTAAATAATCATTTTTGGGTCATGGGACGAGTTCATGCTTAGTGTCAAAGGAAGCGATCGTTTGGCATCGTTGAATTTGTTAATAACAACATTTTTCTGATCATAATCTTTACACGCTGCGAATTTGCATCGTTGGTGTCGTTTGCAATGCGACAAAACACAAGTAAAATTTATTTTATGTATTTTTCAATTTGATTTACGATATTTTCTTTGTTGTAACATAAAAATATTTAAAATTATTTAAATTATTTATTGTCTGGCCGATAATCCTCCAATACAATATTTGCGAAATGTAATATCGCATTTTTATCGCATTATCAGTTTTTATTATTATCTTTTTAATGTTGTAGATATTTTTGTCACGTTTTTATTGATATCGCTGTGAAATTAAGTGTACATCATGGTCAATTAATATTTCACTCTTAACTAGTTTGTGTCTAATTGCACAATGAACCAGCTGGAACTGGTTTCTCAAAGTTAGGACTTTAATTGACATTGTGACATTGCTCGCCACAACTCTTTCAACTTTCGGAGCATTATCTCGAAGCATGTTGCATTTTAGTTCAGCACCACTGACCAGCTGATTGTAATTGATTGATTAATCTTCAATCTAATGCAGTTTAATAACAAATACATGAGGTTTGGCACGTACTCGATCTAGATTATGTTCACATGTTGTACAAAACTAATGGATGAAGACATAAAGACAAATAAAATGTGTTTTTATTTTTATTTTTCTATAATAATCAATATTTTTATCGAAAATCGCAAATTAATGTTGAATGTAATCGTAATAATCACGTTTTATCATGTTTGTACTATGATAAGATATTTTTAGCACGTGATGCTATTGTTTATAAAAAGCTAGGAAAACTGCTACATCATATTGCATAATATTGAATTGATTATTAGATATTAACTATTCCCGGCCAACAATTTCGGATGTTGCCTGACGTTTATAGATAATTTAACTGCTTGAAAATGTTTTGAACATAAGTTGTTTGCACTGTGATTAATTGTCAAGGCGATTCGGTTTCGCATGCAGCGGCGCTAAGTCGTTTTTAATCGTTTTTAATGCACACCGCGTTTACTTAACACAATTAACTGCGTTCAAATAAATCATAATGTGCAGTGTTATGTAATAACCGTGACACAACTATAAAACACAATGATAATGATACAATTGTAACATTGTTTTCTGTTATTTTTAGGTTTTTGCGTGAAATCACACGAGAAAAATGGCAAGAAAGTCTTTATCAACTTTTGTCAGACAGATAAAATTCCAGCGCCGAAAGATATCACCGAATCTGAATTAGTGGAGTTGCTAGACACTGATGAAATATGTGATTTTCGCGTTCCCATGAGTATTGGTGCTGTACGCGTTGAGGAGAATAAAGATCAAGATGTGAATGTCTGTGACATTGCAGTGAATAGTGAATTCATGAAAAAGTGCAATGAAATTCAATCGTTTAAAGAATTTCTCATTGCTGTTGCGTTTGAAGGATATCAATCGAAGTTTGATGTTGATTTACAAAGTGATCGGATTGTTTTGAAGAATAAGAAAGTTATGGGGACGCTGCAGGTGCATCATATTCAACAGCGTGATGTGGATCAGAAGATGAATGCTGGTAAATTACCGAAATTAGATGAAATTGGTCCGGATAGTGGTGCGCGTATACCTGATAATGAGAAGGATTCAAAGATGAAGATTCAAGTTATTGAGGAAACTACAACTACTGAACCTAAACATAGATTTTTCAAGAAGAAGAATGTTAAAGGGATTCTTTTTGGCGAGTTTTATATGCCGTATGTTACTTCTGCAAAAGATATTAAACTTGATATTGGTGAAGATCGATTGATTGTGGAGGCTACAAATGGAAAGTACTTTTTGGATACGTTTCATGAATATAAAGTTAACCGGGAAGGCGCAACGAGTGATTATAATCTAGCAACAAAGGTATAACTTGGGAATATTTGGTTATTTTAGTTCTAATAAAGTTTTTGTTTCAGTTTTTAACAATTTCAATGCCTATTATAGCTTGAAGAGCAAAAACATCTGAATTTTTACTTTTATAAACGATATTTGGGTTGAAATATAAGTTTTGGTATGTTATTTGCTTTTAAAACTCACCATATTTTGATAAATATCGTTCTTGGGTCGGTTTTGTTGCACTACGTTTAAATATAAAACAAAAATGGCGTGGCCGCACCGGGCACAAGTAGTAGTGTATAACAAGTTGCCTATAGTTTTAATTTTTAATATACACCGAGTAAGGCAAATATGTTTTCTTGTAAAATCAAAAAATAAATAGTTATTTTTAATAAAACTATAGTACTTGATAAGTTTTAAAGTAAAATCAATAATAATTGAGTTATGTTTACCATTTGCAGTGAATTCTCATATAAATTTTGTTATTTTTCTAAAGAAGTAAATATGATTTCACCTAAACTTTTTGAAACACCTGGTTTAGTATCCTGAGGTTAGTTCCCAAAATATCCGCTAAATCATTAGAAAAGAATGCGTATAAAATATTTACAGTTGGTTTACCTACCAATAACAATAAATTAGTAATTTTAACTTATTTTTAGAACTAAATAACACATTTTTAAATAAATTATACCCTAGCACTGCTAGTTATATTTTTTAATTTACGCGTTTATTTTGTTTTTCTGCGACGTTTATTAGTTCCACGCTCGAAATAAACGAGTAGATGGCACTGTAAATTATAAGTGCGACATCGCATCGCGCTGCACTAACCTAATTCAACGCGGATTTGACGTCTTGTCGGGAAAAACGCAAGCGAACTCCGCCACACGCACGTCCCGATTTCATTCGCCCCACACGGCCCCACGTCCAGCCGCCCCTTTTCAATATGCGCATTACGCGCATACCAGTATGAGTTGTGCGGCGTCCAGGTGTCGAAATAAACATTGAATCGATGGACGAGTGCGACGCTTCAATTCAGTCGCAAGAGCGCGTCTGAAGACCCCAGGAAGACCTAGGATGGCTTTCGCGCCGTGGCTCACGGGGCCGCGCAGCGCGCGCTCACGTCGCTACGATCGCAGTAAGTGCTCAAAAATCCAACTTTTCCATTTCAACAACATACAGCAGGAGTCCTGCAAGATGCGCAACAAGTATCGTGTTTACGTCGTACGCCCCGGCGTGTTTGCATTCCAATCGCACATATCAATTACCAACAAAATATTTATTCCAAACAAGAATAGAATATGACTAATATGTTTGTTGTTTGTAGGTAAATCAGAAGATGTGGTGAAATTAGATCTAACTGAAGGTATTTTCAGTCATCAATGCATGCAGCCATAAATTAATTTTGAATTTTAATGTTGTAGATCCTAGTGATATTGCTAAAGAGATTTTTACTGCATTGAGTGCAAATGATTTACATGAGGGCAAGACGTTGGCATATCTCAACAATTTTGTCAAACTCATCTTGCATATATCCAGTGATATTTCTTTATTAGGGTATGCAATTGAAGAAATTTTATATTGGTAAGATAATTTCAATTCATTTTAAGTGAAACTATATTTATCATGTTTTTTATTTATAGTTTAAGATATTGCGTGACGCATGAATCGTCTGTGGTACGCGCTGGTGCGTTCCGTGCAATGCGTCATGTAATCGCCAATGAAGAAGACATCGCACGTCTTAATGAATTGCACATCCCTTATTTAATCGTGCGCGCGCTCGATCTGGAGTATAAAAACGATGCAGTACGTGTGGAAGCGGTGAAATTGACGCGTAAAGCGATGCTCATTGCGCCCGCACGCTTCCATATTGCTCTTGCGCGTTATTTGGTTGCTCTCGCCAACGGTATCGAAGAAAAAGACCGGATGCTACGAGTGTATCTTGCCGTTTTATGCGAATTAGGCACATTAAATCCTGATTCGTTTATAAGCACTGGCGGGGTGGCGGCCATTACGCGTAATTTACTCGAATGCCAAACGCCAAAGATATCTGAATCGCTTTGCGGTGTTTTATTGCTGTTGTTAGACAGACCGATCACCAGGAATCACGCTGGTGTTGATCTGCATTGTGTAGCTGCGCCATATTGCGATTTTCACTACCGCCATGGTTGGATGGACAAAAACAGGTTAATATAACCTATAAATTTGACTATAAATTATAATTCTAACCTGTTTTTTATTGATGTATTTATAGGGATGAACGTGAATTAAAGTTCAATTGCAGTCGATTGGCTTTGCTTACGATTCTGCGCAGCTGGCCGGGTATTTTGCACTTCTGCAGCCCCAACGACGTCTCAGGTTTCAAAGCTATTGTTGATGTTTTGTATTTGAATCAATTAGAAGTTAGGGTGAGTCAAGTGGATATTGTAATTTAGTGTGCTGTAATTTGTGGTTATGTTGTATATTTGCAGAAAGCCGTATTAGATTTGCTCTATGAGCTGCTAAACTTGCCGCAACCCGAGTGGACGGATGAGTTATCAGTGGCGCTCTCCGCCGTTGACCCCGCCGAGCCGCAGGCGTCTTGGCGTCTCGGCGAAGGCTTCGTCGCCGCTGAAGGCCGCTCAATTCTGCCGCATCTCGCGCGCACCACGCCGAGTATCAGTGACATGCATTTGTCGTTGCTGCTTTATTGCTTCCTCGAAACGGGCCTGCTCGGTGCGCTCAGCGAAGTCATCGCCACTAGTGATACGTTTATAAGTGTTCGCGCAACTGTTTTACTTGGTAAGTCGTCAAAAAATGAATTATTAAGAACTAGCTTTTGCCCTCGACTTCATCTCGGTTGTGTTGAATAAAAATGTAATTTGTTTTTACTATCTTGTTCTAGACATAGTATGTGTCAATTCTATCAATAAGATTCGCCATTTTATTTTAAAGAAATTAATTATATAAATAATTGCAAATAATGCACTTCATCGTGCTATCTCGGATTTAACTATTTAACAATAACTATGTTTGAATCACAATGCCAACTTTTATTCTATTGAAAAGGGCTGTCTTTAGGGTTTTCCCGGCAGTTATTCAAATTTTTCTCGCCGTAAAAACAATCCTTGGACTTTAACGAACATTTATAAAAAAGAATTGGCCAAATTATTGTAAGCGTTGTTAAGTTATGCGCTTACCAACAGATTTTACGATTCATTTTTATATTATAGAAGCTAATATGTTAAATATTTTGTTTTGCAGGTGAACTTTTGCGATTAATTCAAGTGCTACTGCCACCGGAATGTTGTAATATTACGCCGGCTCTACCGAACCTCATAGAATACGCGACGACTAACCCACAGGCGTTGCGAGCGATTACAGCGTTGCAACAATTGCATAAGTTACTAAAACGTCGCCCAGCATCGCAGAGTCTTTATTTGGATTATATCCTGCGTTCTGGTTCCTCGGTAAAGACTTCACTACGCGCTGAGAAACTCAAAAGACATAAAGCTTCAACCGCGCGTATTCGTTTAACTCAACTGGTCACAAAGGACGCTGATGATGCTGTTAAGGACACCGGTGTACTTGCCAACAAGGATGCCTTCACTTGGAACTGGAACGTCATCCAAATTATTCTTAGGGTACAATATTCGCTCTAAATTTTTATAATCAAAAATAATTTATTATTGGTTGTTTAGAGAGAATCAGACTTTATATTAGACCTCACCGATCAGAACCACAGGGCGTTCCTGAAACGCCTTGTTGAGTACTTTCTGCCGTCGAGTAATCGTTACTCACATATGGATTTATCCTCGCCAAAGAATCCGCAGGGATATACAACGGCTGGGATTGAACTCATTGACTGTTTAGCGCACATGCGCGATCCGCTCGCCGGGCGTTTCCTCGGCGATCTTGTGCGCGACATTTGCCAGCAGATAGAGAAGATAACACAGGGCAAATCTGCGCATGACTGCCTTTTTAGTCCGCAGCACATGGGTAACACGCAGTGCCAAACTTATTTTCTCTTTATTGGACGCTTGGCGGCCTCGCATCAAGGCGCTGAAGTTCTTGAAAGCTTTGATATGTTCAATAAGTAAGTGTAAAACAAAAAATTTAATTTAATGTGATTTTATTTATGTTTTTCCGTTAATATTTAGATTGAAAAATTTGGCGACAACAACAAAACATGACTGCTATGTGAAATTGATTATTTCTTCGCTGGATTATTGTGAGAACGCCAAATCGCACGAGATACTCTCGGCTGTACTGAAATGTGCCAACGAATCATCGCGTTTATACGCGACACAGTTCCTCTTGGTGCTGCTGCGTGCAGGCTTGCCTAACTTTGACACTTGGGGAATAAAACTACTCGCTGAACAACTCTCAGACCGCTCGCGCACTGTTTACCTCTCGGCGTTGTCCACATTACATGAAGCGTGTGAAGTATCTAAGTATCTCGAGCAGCTTATTCAAATTAACCCTAAATTACTCCACTTGGAAGAGAAGGGTGCATTGCTCTTAATTCGTTACCTCAGCGTGCCGAGCGGTTTCAGTTTTTTGAATCGTAAAAACTTCGTTATTAACGAATTACGTCGCTGGGACGAATATTTTAATTACCGGTTAGTGTAAATTATAAAATAACATAAACAAATTATGTAATTATTAATAAATTGTTTAGATATGTGTTCATAATCGAGGGTGAAACAGCCGATGCCTTGACACAACACCAAAAAGGTGAAGATGGCCGCTATGACAAGCGAACGACATCATCGAGGTCCGGAACAAGGGCGGATGTTTTCCTACCGCCGCATTTGTACGGTCAACTGACTAAACACGCGGAGGGATTGAAGATTCTTGACGAACATGGCAGTATACCTAGTTTTATACAGGTTAGTTAACTTAACATCAAGTAAAATAGTAAAAGAGACTTAATAATGATATAATTTATTGTTAGACAATTGAAAACGCTTTGGGCCTGTGTGAAACTGAAGAAGAAATATTAAAAATCAAAGCAGCGCTGTGGGCGCTCGGCCATTTATGCAACTCTGTCGCTGGTCTAGAGTTCATTGTGAATAAAAATGTTCTTCTCTACATCGTCCATCTTGCCGAAGGTTGTGTCGTTTGGTCTATTAAAGCGACTGCTTTCTACGTATTAGGTCTTATTGCAACTACCGACTTTGGAGCGGATTGTTTATTTAAATTAGGTACGCAATTGTTTCATGTGTTTTTCTGAAGACTAATCATGTAACTTAATACAATGATTTCTTATAGGTTGGGTTAGTACAAGACACGACCGACATGATCGATGGCCTGTGATACAAGAGGAACACTGGCACTTGAATCAGGAACTGGCGATGGAAATGTCCGAACAAGATCAATTATTCGACTATTCAATATATGTGCCTGCTGATGCAGATAGTTCCACCATCGAGGATGATATGATCTACATGTCGGGTGAATCAACGTCCAATCGTAAATCGTCTACTTTACCACCGCATTCAAATTATCATAGCGGGCAACACACACGGTCTCTATCCGAGTCGAAAACTTTTGATTATTTACGTGTGCGTAGAGATACAGGTTCACATCGATATCGGGATAATTCTATCACTGAAAGCACCACTTCTGGTGTTAGTAGTTGTGAGTCTGCCATTGGAAAAAGTGTTTTGAAGTAAGCGAAATGAATTAAATGTATTTTTATAGTTGTAATTAATGTAATTTTTAATTTTCAAGTGAGGTGAGTTCAACTTTAACACCAATTCCGAGCATCTCCAGTTTGCTGACGATCAAAACTGGTGGAAAATTACGCCGACATTCGGAATCGTCACGAACGCGTATAAATTCTGACAGGTCGACTGTATCACCGGCTGGAAGCACCAGTGGAAAGCTTAGTTTTCAGGATCATATGGGTTATAAAATAATAAGGCATATAAAGATGCAGGCGAAGGATTCGGATGATGAGATGGATTCTTTACCGCCTGCACTTGCAAGAGTACATAGTTTAGATCGCTCTAGATATCCAAGGTATGTAATAAAATAAAAAATAAAACAACACAATTATATTAAAAGTAATTTATTATAATGTTTAGCACTTCTGATGGGCGAAGTTCATCCCTAATGAACTTTATCAAAGATGGCCTGAGTTTAGCATCGTTAGCAAGCGTAAATAAGTTCAGTATCAAAGAAGAAACTGTACGCAAAAAGAAAGGACAACTTTATATGGGTATTGCACTACCGTTGGTCTTGGTGAATTTGTTTCCTGAGTATCAGGTTGCAGCCAGGAGGTTATCATACACTGCGGATAGAACTTTATTTGGTACGTCCATCAAACATAACCTCTTATTATAATTCTAACCATTGTTTTATTCTATTTAGGCTCTGATACAAGTACGGACAGTGAAATCAGTGCGGGCACTCAATCGTCCACTAAAAAATCGCGATTCATTCACCGAGCAAAAGGCTGCATGGTTTGTGGTTACTCAAGACAAAAAGAAAAGCGATTGAAATTCGTAACGTCCACTAGCACGCCAAATACGAGTATTTCTGAGAAATCATCGCCGCCCGCCAGCCATTCAGCCCAGGATGATGAAATAACAAGTTTAAAAATCAGTATTTTGAATCAAATCGAAATGCTGAGCAACCCACTGGTCCAGAAGCACTTTCGGCATAATCTTCTCAATTTAAAACAAAAACACCCCGAAGTATTTCAAGATCCGTGTCTTTACTCCGACGTCTGCAAGATGCTGTCGGACAATTCATACCGTCTCATGACTAGGAGATTCATACAGGATATATTTTTCGACTCTAACTTAGAGCCTTTGTCGCGAGAGTTAAAAGTGATGTTTTCTGCGGAGAGAGAACGCGTTGTCACCTGTGCAACTACTCCGGGTGCATCGCGAAAATTAAAAACGTTCTCGGCGAATACTTCTTTAGAGGAACCAAAGACTTATCAACAGACAGCTACTGAAGAGCGCAAAGCAGAGTTGGCGCCCTCTAGCGACGGACTGAAAAAGAAGAGGAAAGAGGTGTTGTCCGTAACCGTAGGCTTCACCATCGAGCAAATACAGGCGGCAATCGAAGATAATGATATGATTTCACCGACTAGGTATCAGGCAAGCTCACCGCCGCCATTGACAAGCGTAAAGAAGAAAACATGGCGTCGAGTAGTGAGAATATGCTAGAATTTGGCGTGCATAATGCTGAGGTACAAGTGCATGCGCATGCGCATTCACAGGATGGTAATGATATTGTCGCTAACGCAATGCGACCCAACTCGATTTCCTTACCGGTTGATAAACCTACGCCGAATACGTGGCGTTCGGTTGAGCAAAGGAATAGCACGAGTTTGGTTAGTCCGTCAAGTTCGGTGACCAGTCCGACCAGTCCAATGAATCATACAATTAAAACCTTAGAAGAATTGAAGCTCACGTACAAGGAAAATAAGTTTCCTATCAAGCGCGATGATAAGACAGTTAAGTGAGGTTGGGTTATAAATACCTTGAATCCTTGCCAGGTGCACACCTGCAAATCAAAAATGGCAGACTGATCTCTCTATTTCATTCATTTTCACACATTTTACACCAAACAAACTAACAACATGCTGATGTTTGAGGTTACTTTTGAGATACTCCCACACGAATTTATTACAAATGTCATATTACTATGTAAGTAAGCGGAATAGGTTCCTATTTATTTGAAGCGCAAGCAGATTTTCGTTCAGATTTTCGCTTTGCCCTAGCGAATTTATTAATTCTAGATTTGAATTCTTGATATAATGGATATGATTTATTTAATCGGTGCGCATGCAAGCACATGTGTTGAGTGCAACCTGATGTTTTTTTTTGTTGCTACTAGGTTTGCCGAGATTGTTCGTTTCGATTTGTTTTCGGCCGCCATCTTGAAATTAAAACATTGTGCTGACACGACGGCGACGAGTGCGAGATTCATTCGAAATGGACTGAGTAAATATATATTATGTAATTAGTTAGATAATTATCGAGGTTAAATTAAGTGCCGCGCTCGCGAGTGCGAGAGTTTTATATTCATTATTCCTTGTAACGTGTAAAAATGGCGAAATACCGAGAAACCGGTTAATTTATTACTGCTGTTTTTTAAGTTATTTATTGACGTTTTTGTATTTATTTCTTAAATAATTAATATAAACAATGTTTCTATTGTTAGCGAATGGTTTCAGAATGATACAACCTTCAGTATATTGTTTTCGGCAACATCCTGAGTTGTCAAATTAGTTATGCACATGCGCGCATCGTACAACTGTCATACTCACTCAATGTAAGGTTAAGATTGATTTGTGCCCTGGTTCTTAACACAAATTAGTAAATAATTCGCGTTTAAAATGGGCAACGCAATGGGAAATATGCCGAATAACGGCATCAACCTTTATTTCCACCCCGATGTGACGCCCGACCCGCTGAAACCACCAAAGAATGATCCACTGGATGGCTTTCCCAACGGACGCAAACTGAGAAGTAAATCGCGAAAAATGTTTATGTAACATCTGACGATTTGTTTATATACGAATTATTGATTCATTTTAGCGGTGAAAACGACGGAACAGGAAATGTACTCGGCAAAGATTCCCTTAAACGATCGCGATTACTGCATTGATCAATTGATGGTATTCCGGGCATGCCGGAAAGACAACTGGCCTTTTGCTGTTAACTGCGAGCATGAAAAACATGTATATTTAAACTGCCAATATGATGAGTAAGTAACAAAATAATAATAAATGATAATAGAGTTTTAGGAGAGGCTGCTATGTTGCTACCAAATAATTTGCTTAAAATCAAGATATTAATTTTTAAATGCTTATTTCCACTTTTCTTATAGTTATGTGAACAGAATGAAGGAATATGAACGCGAGAGGCGTCTGATGGTACGCGCGAAGAAGTTAGGAGTCGAAATGGTCGCGTGAGCGCTGTTATTACACCACTTACAATGTAGCAAATCTTATTATGTAAATATACAATAATCAACAAAATGTGTACAAGATCAGTACCAAACATTGACAACCACAGGATGTTATATAAAAAGCGCAGATTGTAAAAAAATTACCCAGATATTAATTGTTGAAGTTGTTGAGCACACGCCATTCGTTTCTTTTCCAGATCATTGTTGCTCTCGCGAGTAAACGCGTCGACTCTTGCGCGAAATGTTGAATTAAGCACGAGTTTTGCTTTGACTTCATTGACAAACGCCGCGTTGTTTGAGGTTAGAAGGTTACCAAGTGCGACTAGGCCGCGGAAATGCGCCTCGGGGTCTTTGCAGTTACTCAGGGCGTCTGGAAGAATGGTACCCAATAAAATAATACCCATTTCATCATTCTTTTTGAGACACAAAATGGAAAGATTCAATAGGAACGTCATCATACTGATCTGAAATGGTTGAAAACAAAATGGCGGATGGTATTAAGTTATTAGAGTAACCTCAATAAATATCTACTCACTTCGATATTTTTGTTCGTGGCGGAAAGTGACGAGACATTTTCCAGCAAATCGATCTGATTGGCAAATATCAACTCACTTCCGAATGAGTGGCTGAACAAGTTGCATAACGTTCTGAATGCAAGCAATGTATTGTTCGGGACGGTGGTTTGGCTGAGGCACGTTTTAAACAAATCGATCAGCTTCTTACCGTCGTGCAGAACAATTGCATTACAATTGTTTTCATGACGCACAGCGAGTCGTAACACGTCAATAACAGGAAACAATATTTCTGTACACAGAAAAACATAAAACTCGATATGAAACAAGATATAACAAGATGGCGGACTTACCTTGTGGCCATTCAAGTAATCTAAACAATCCTTCGACGTCTGGTAAGTCACAGGGTTCGTTACACAACTGAATCAAACTATTCAAACGTGCTTCTTCTACTTTGTGACTACCATCACCAATTTTTTCATTAAACTCCATTAATTTACCCAAAATTACCTTCGCATCACCAGACTCAAACTTCAAATACTTATGATGTGGAAAATAACCACCAGATGACACTGTAGAAGTACTAGTTGGGTTACGAGCAGGAGTAGAACCACCACTAGTTGTATAACTGCTACCACCAGTGAATGGATCGTAATTCATGCCAACTGCAGCGCCTGTATTTGAACTAGTTGATGCTGGTTGGTAACGAGATCCGCCAGTGAAAGGATCAACGTAATCATTGTTAGGCATAGGATCAGCTTGACTGTTCGTCCGGATAAACTCGACAACTTGATCTAAATACACCGCGGGTAGAAAGTTCTTAGTGATGAACTTGTTAGCAGCATCGTAGACATCCTCGCCGTTATTATAAGGCAGTTTTAGTGGCGGTTTACCATCCTCAACGTCCACAGAAAAGACAAAATCGTAGTAAACACCTTCATGCAGTGTTTTTCCTTCTTTTGCCTTTTCATTAGCGCCCATAACTTCGCCCACTTTCTCCCAATGACTTTTATCTCCATCATCCACCCAGGAGTAAGCCATCACGCCGCCATTTTCTCGCACCATTTTGATTTGGCCAGGTTCTTTGCCTGGATCATACAGAGCTTCACGTCCGGGTAAACTTTAATTTAAAAGATGTTAAATCAATCAATGAAATCAAATAAAAATGAAGAACATACTCAGACACTTTATATCCACCAATTTCCTGTGTGGATTGTTTCAAAATGGCGTTCACTTCCTCTTCGAATTGCTTCAAAGCTTCTGCACCAGCGACTCTTCCCTCATCCTGTGTGAAAATCCGAATCATACCGTCACTCGATCCACTTACAATGTCTCCGTTTGATAAACAAGTCACAGTCCACACACTCTGTGCGGGTAAACGAATCGTATCTGTATTAATCCCATCTTTCCAGCATTTAATCGAGTAACTCTCATCGCCGGTGACAAAACTATTCATCCCCAATGCACGATTCGCACTAATGCAATAGATATAATTATTGTGACCATGTAGTGTTTCTACATTTTCGCCTGCATAGTCCCATACTTTGACTAGAGCATCATTAGCGACTGAAACAAAACGTTCCATTTCTGGAAAGTCACAAACAGCACGCACGCAGTCGGTGTGACCTTTTAACGACCCGATTTGTGTACCATCGGGCGTCCACAGCCCTATTGTTTTATCAGCACAAGCTGTTACTATGTTACCGTTGGAGATTTGTATAACCGACCAAAGGGCGGCAATGTGACCGGTGAAGGTAGTGACTGGAGATGATAAACACGCGGAGAAATCCCATAGTTTTGCGGTTTTATCCCATGAACCACTTAGGAATTGTGTTTTGTCTATTGCTTTAGACAAACAGCAAACTAAAAGAATATAAATGTATAGAAACAGTTCAATTTAATGAATCAACTTTTTACATACCAACATCTGTGTGATCAGTGATAGTAAAAGTAGCCATAGGTTCATTCAGTTTGTAAATCAATATCTTATTATCATTTCCGCCGGTAACAATCAACCCATCTGGGTATTCCAGTGTTGGTTCAAGGTATAAAACAGCAGCCACAAAGTTTTTCTGATCACGATAGGTCATTGACTCAACATAACCAGTGTTAAATCTATGAAAAACAACAAAAATTACCACAAATTCTTTGATATCGTATTATTTTTAGTGGTAAAGCAAGAATTGTTATAGTTTTAAAATAGATTAGGTGCAATTTATAAAGATATTGATGTGTTTTTCAATAAAATAACCTTTAAATGAGATACATACTCATTCCGCCGCCAATATTTTGCGGTTTTATCCCTGGAACCGCTGACGATGGAATCGTCAGGAGTTGCAACAACTGATCGTACATCCAGGGAATGCCCGTAGAGAACGGCGCTCAATTGGTACGGCTTGGACATCGTAAATATTCAAAGAGATCACTGGAAGTCAAACGTCTGGATGACATGCACAACTCAAGCTTTGGCAGGTGTAAACCCCAGCTGAGACTGAGTGAAAAACAGTAGACAATTTTCCGGTTAAAAAAGAAAATGGCTATATGATCTTAAAAGAATAACAATTATGTATAATCCTGCAATTGTTGCATAATTCATCAGGTTTTAAAAAGGGTATTCCCAGAATAATGTCGGTTTCATTATGGTAAAGTTTTTGTTTGGTGTATGACTGGTTGCCATCACTAACATTTCTTGATTTGTGGATCAGATCAGATCAGATCAAATAAATTCTCCGGTAAATAAAAAAAAAACATACTTTTCATAGGACCTGACGATTCAAATCCAACAAAAGAGAAGAAAAAGAATCCTAGATACCTGCAACTGGATTTTTAGGCGATCGTAGTAGGGCTTAGCGCCGTTTTATACCTGCATATAACCCGCAAAAAGTAGTGGGGGTTAAATCGATTGAAGTGACGTTTGCATGGTTGCACACATGCTTTCCTTATACAAGCCAAACAACAACAAACAACTTACCATCCCTTTTCTTTAATTAACATGCATTTAAATTTTGTTTTCAACTAATTTAATTCCTTAAAACAATGCAATTTACACGTGTCTATCAATTACTAATTAATTAATTACAAATAAAACAACAAAATATTCACTTCAAGCCATAAATAATAATCAAAATTGTTTGAAAACGCATGCTTTTCTTTGTCAACATATTTGCGCTTTGTTTCTTTGTCTAATATTAATTCATATTAATTGCAATTCACGCATAATTAGTACCGCCATTACATGAAATTCAAAGGTACTTCAATCTACATTGTTATTAAAACGACGATCAACGAACAATTATTTTATGCGTGTCCTTTGAAAGACCGTTTATTAACGAATTAATGTTTACTTTCGGAAGTTACTATAAGTTTTCCAGCACATCGGGCGTGCGGAATATTCTCTGCTTAACTCTTAAAGAAACAACATATTATTCATTACATATAAACATGGCAGCTAATAACATATTGTTTGCTGTTTCATTATTGTTATTATTAACATTAAATCTTGTAGAATGTAATGTAAGTAATACATTTAAATAGGAAAGAATACATTTTAATTTATTTGGATTTATATTTGATAGATAACTGAGAAGCAAATGAAAGCCGCAGGAAAATTGATTAAAAATAATTGTCAGCCGAAGAGCAAAGCTACTGAGGGTTTGTATTTTATTAATATTAATTTAATTTATAGTTTAGAGCCTAAAATATTTATGAAAGAATAATTTTTGATTTGTTTTAAGCATTTTTCCACTAAATTTTATTTATTGTCAGCACATTATTACAAAAAGTAATTTTTAATTGTATATATTTTTATTATTACTTTAGAGGAAATTACCAATATGCAAAAAGGCATTTTCAGTGACAGTAAAAGTACCAAAGTGAGTAAATTAAAATTATGTTCAATGAATATAAAATTACAAACATTCAAATTTATATTCACATAAAATAATATTTTTCAGTGTTATGTTCTATGTACGTTGACGAACATGAGAGTTGTAAGTATTTAATCATCAAAAACACATCTTAAACAATATTTTCTTCCATAATTCACAAAAATCAATCAAAATAAAAAATTACAATAGATTCAAAATCATTTTTTCTAGGTGAAAAAAACTGGTGAAGCAGATTGGGAATCGGCATATAGTCAAGCGATGACGCTGCCTGATTCTCGTGTTACACCAACTATTAAATCACTGGATAATTGCAAAGCAAAACGTAAAATATTGCTTTTTATTACTTTTCTTTTTTTCTTTTTTACTAAATTATTTATTAAACTCCTATTTTTAGTTGAATTCAACGATGACAAATGTGACAATGCATGGCGTTTGGGAAAATGTATCTACGAAGATAATCCAGGGGTAATTAAAATTAAAATTTATTTCTTTAGAATATTATTAACAAAAATTAATTTTTTAGAATTATTTCTTGCCTTAAAATTAAAATACTAATGCGGTCTATTTCTGGGAAATACGCAAAATGGCAATAAACAACAACAATGATAATTTTATCTTATTATTGATTATAATATTGTTAATAAAATTAATTATAAATCTTCAATTCTTCAAAACTGTTAAGAAATAAACTTTTAACACTTAAATATGCTTCTATTTGAATTCTGACAAATTATTTCTTTAAAATCCTTCGTTTTTTTTTTATTTATTTTTCTGATTTTTTATTATTTCAAACAATATGGGCAGGTTTTTACATAAATGAAACAAGTCATACTCATTTCCACCATTCTCTTTTTATATTCCACGAGTTTTCACTTGTTTTCGATTTTTATTCATTTCCCTGTAATTAACCGCCGTTGATGACTATGAATTAATTGCATGACATAATATTGTATTACAAGTGCACGTCTTACGACTCCGGCAGGCTGCAATTGCCACACACGCACGCATAAATTGGTGTTCCACTTAATTTTCGAGCATCGTCGGCACACAATTAACGTTGCATGATTAATTACCGTGCGCGGCCCACAAACCTATTTGAATCAATGCGAAACTCAAAATATTACGCCGAATATATTATAATTCACGGCTATGACTATGAGTGATTTGTTATTACGTAAAACAAAAGAACAAGAGTATTAGATGTTAAGTATTTGATGTTAAGTATTGTGGTTGATGAAATAGTTGAATACAAAATGGCACCCAATATTTTTGTCCTCTAACTGTCTTTCTTGATCAATTTTTAATGATATACTGTGAATCATTCATTAATTAGTACCTAATAATGCACAGCGAATCACAAATGTCAATGTAATCCTAATTTAATTACAAGTTCACTATACTTAAGATGCAAGCACAGTGAACAATTGTGTTATTAATTTGTAATTTTCAGAAGAATTAACGATAATTGCTACTTGTATTGATTAAGTTCCGAATCAAAAATTATATAAAGCACGATTCCTCACTGAAGTAATCATTTTTTGCTTGTTTCCTTGAATTTGGTAGTTTGCATTTGATATATGCTAAAGTTAGGCAACTTTTTAGGCATTATCAACCAAAAATTGAAACATTTAGCTGAAAAATCAACAAAATGCGTGTGGTTTTTGTTGTATTTATTATTATAAGTGCTTTTAATGTTGTTTTTGTATCATGCGCTGTAAGTATTATCAAATTTGATTTATTTTAGAGTAATTAAATACTAAAACATTAATTTTTAGGTTACTGAAGCACAATTAAAATCAGGTGGGAAGTTATTACGTAAAAATTGTCAACCAAAGACGAAAACTTCAGATGAATCTATTGAAAATATGCATAAAGGTATTTGGGATGATGAGCCAACAACAAAGGTATTAATATTATAGTTTTTTGTTTGTTTCAAATGTTTTAAGTAAGGTTATGATGTTCCTTTTAGTGTTACACGTTTTGCTTAATGTCATTCTATAAATTAGTGAATAAAAAAGGACTTTTTGAAGAGGAATATGCGTTATCACAGTTGGAAATGTTGCCACAACCAAGACAACAACCTACGTGGGCATCAGCACAAAAATGCAAAGGTAAATCTTCTATAATATAAAAATGAATCGCAAAATCTGTTGGTATGCGCATAACTCAACAACGCCAAGACCAATTTGGCCAATTCTTTTTTTTAATTAAAGTTAAAGTCCAAGAATGGTTTTTACTGCGAGACAAAATTGAATATTTGTCGGGAAAACCCTAAAGACAGCACTTTTCTATAAGATAAAAGTTGGCATTGAGATTCAATCATAGTATTAGTTAAATAGTTGAATCCGAGATGGCGCGCTGAAGTGCATTATTAGCAATTCTTTATATAATTAATTTCTTTAAAATAAAATTGCGAAAATTATTGATAGAATTGACACATAGGGGAGAGTAGGGTAATGGGAGTCAGCGGGTAATGGGAGTCACCCACATAACCACGAAACAATAGTTGCGAGTAACGCGTAAACGGCGTCCCTACCTCCGTTCTAGCCCCCCAGGGCTACCCCCGACAAATCATGCCAATTGGCGTGTGTATCATTGAGATAATGCATTGTTTTATTTTTGAGCTCCGCTGATCTAACTTTACGGCAACGCAAATTAGAAGATAAGTGGCGAATATTTTGCAATATTCGAATGAAACTTTTATATAGTCTTAGTTAAATATTCAAAATCGTGATGTGCAGTTCAGATGTTTTGAAGAAATATATTTTTTTTGTTCTTTTTCACAATAGTGTAATTGTGGGCAATGGGAGTCATGCGACTCCCAAAGGACGTTTCTGTCTTTAGCCCGCTCTAAATGGCCTACAAAAAACAATGTGACTTATTTTTCAATAGCCATCTTGCAGAAAAGTTATTGCCGGAAAGTAACAAAACTTATGATTCCAATATTGGCACTGATGACTTATGCCAGGGCAATGAGGATGAAATTTTGGAAAAGAGATGTCTAATGTGCAACGATTTAAAAAAAAACAATGAAATGTGGTTCAGATGCACCTCATGTGGGCTATGGGCTCATGTGGAATGCACTGGGTGGGTCTTAGCGGAATATTATGTCTGCGATATCTGCTAGATTTCGTTTGATTCCGATTGTCCCCAGGGTGACCACCATTACCCGCATGTCGGTGTAATGGAAGTCAAATCTGTTTTTTTTTTAAACTTTAATAATATCCAAAATTGATTGTTAAAGTGGCTGAAAATTATATCAAATAATAGTTTTTTAAGTAAACAATGCTTATAGGCGGTTGCAATAAGTATTTTGTTTATAATTGAAATTATATTTGAGTTTTTCCTTAAGTGACCCCCATTGACACATACTATATCTAAAACAAGAGAGTAAAAACGAATTACATTTTTATTAAATACAGTTAACAATATATACCAAAACAGGTAAAAATTTCTTAAAATTTATATTTTATTTTGTAGATAAATCTGATTGTTGTACGGATAAGTGTGAAAGAGCATACGCCATGATGAAATGTGTATATTTCGATAATCCAGAGGTAACAATCTTAATATTAATAACAAATATCAATATTTACACGCTTAAAATAGTCTTTATTTGCATTTCATTACAAATTACAATCAATTCAACAACATTATGCATTAACAATCGATTAAAATGTTTGTTTTCAGAACTATTTTGCTCCCTAAATCTACCAAAAAAGTCGGCAACCAAATATACACCAAACCAACAAACGCATTCTTTCAAATGACATTTGGGGGACACATCAGAGAGTCTTTTTCATCATCTATCAATATAATTACTCCCACTCCTATTAATTTGATTAATTCATTACGATTACTGCTCCTAAATAGTCCACAGCCACAAATATAAAGAGAAAACAATACATTCGAATAAAAACGTACAAAAAACGACATCAATAACACTGATAAGACTAACAAGACTATTTAGAAAGGGAAAATACACTAATAACACTAATAGTAACAAACATAACTAGAAAGTACTAAAAGCAATTCCAAAATATAAACAATTTCAACCACACACACAATTTTTAACACATTATGTACATCAATATAAAATAATTAAATTTTATAACAATATCGACAGAGATAAAATTATTATTGTTTGAATTCGAGAATAAAGGTTTGTTTGTGGATCAATCTTTGGCAAACATGTGCATAAATGTATGGCAACTAAATTTTTATAGTTAATATTGTTTTCAGATTATGTACGGTAATTTTCTTGGTGCTTATCATAGGATAAAATAAAATAAATAATTCCGCGCATAAATTCACACCGAATTCGATGCAAACCAACAAATTGAGCAAAATTTTTATAGGTTAAACTAAAGTTTGAACGCTGTCCACCATTTTGTTTATGAAAAAATTTAACCTTTCTTAAATTTAAGTACCAAAACACTCATTGTCAAAAAGATTGAAATCCAAATACACATGCTCACATAACCTAAATATACATCCGGGTTATCTAAAGTCCATCCTTTAGACATGACATAACGAAGACTTTCTGTGCTCTTCGTCAAAGGTAACACATAAGAAATAAGCTGTAATGTGTAATGCATACCTTGAATCGGCCAGATGATACCACACAACATTACAATGGGTAGAAAACTACCCAAAGCTAAATAAGTAGCTGTGCGTTCATTATCACACAAGCAAGAAACAACAAAACCAAAACACATACCGCAGAGACCAGTTAAAATCGTAAGTAAAGCCGTTAATGCAATCGGACCTTTGTTGGTTATGTCAAACACAGCGAATGTAATAACCAGAACCATTACAGTTTGCATTAACATAACCGTGAATTGAGTTATTACATGCGCGAAAAGACATTCAATCGGAGTGATACCATTGACCAATGAACGTTCGAGGATTCCTTCGTTGCGTTCGAGTAACATGGCACCCGATGTCAGCGCCACCGCTAAGAAAAAGATGATTGTCAGGATTACACCAGGCGCAGCAAAGTCAGTGAAGTTAGGATCACGATAACCATAAATCGGGTCATTGAATCTTATTGGAATAGTGCCGATCTTGATGTCGATTTCACACGAAGCCAGGTAATCTTGGAAAAACGATTCAAAACTGAAGTACAAGTCACGTTTCAAGAATGAACCGATGTTTTCATCTAAAAAAGTATAAATTATTCATATATCTTTATAATTAGGCTATTTTGTGGATAATACTTACTTGAAATATCTTGATACACAGCAACTTCAGAGTTTTCAACGTCGATATCAGTCACAGACCGTCCATCATTCAATCGAGCACGTAAAGCGTCAGAGAAGTTTGATTTGAATACAAGTGCTGCCCAAGCAGTTCCAGCGACGACCTCGCCTTTCGCACCGTCTTCGTCGTCGTGATAGTGCTGCAACCAACATTACACGTGTGTAAATGTATAGTAATTTACATATGAATAACCTCTTACCAGTTGTAGTGTTCTTCGTTTTAAAAAGTCTAAATAATTGCAGCTTAGTCGTGAACTATTGCATCCTGGTTTAAATTCGCAAGCTTCGCCTTGGTTTAGTTCATAATTCACCACTGATACCGGTAAGTTATAAGGATCGTGACCGATTGACATACAGAACAACACAGCTTGGATAACAGGTAATCCAATGATGAATAACATCACGCCGTAGTTACGTATCATCCATAAGAAATTTTTCCAAACTAGAGTTTTCATATGGTGTTTCTTGAGGAAAAACACTTTATCTCGCCAGGTTGATTTTACTTCTTCAGGTGGAGGCATTTCGGGTTGCGCTAAGTCAGGATCATCTGGTGTGATGGAAACACGACCCCCACGACTTCCCATGGAGATGTTATCGCCGAATTCGCCGGAGATTTCGTGGTCTTCATCGACGATGATTGCTTCGTTGATAGCGCCACGTGGGACGGTAATGGCGGTCGCTACTTCGGTGGCAATGGAGCTGCGGCGTCGTTTGCCCATGTTTTGGATGACGGAGAGTTTTAGAAAGACGTCTTCCAGAGATTCGGCATGGTATTGGGCTACCAGACGGTCAGGGGACTCTTCAGCGAGCAGGTAACCACCACGCATTAGACCAATCTTTAAATAATAGAAGAAAAATTGGGTTATTGTTTTCGTAAGGTAAGAAAAAAAATGATTTTTTGGTTGTAATCAATGTAACTTTGTGGTTTTTACTTTGTTTACATCCAAATTTTGGATATTTACTAAAAGAGAGCTACACTATAATTCAGCGCTTAAAAACTTTAAGTAGGTAACCTCAAAATCAAAATATTTGAGGTTAAAGTTGTGTCAACGTAATATAAATAGGAAATGTGTTTCTAAGCCTTCAATTGCCAGTAACTCAGTAAATTTCGGTCGGATTACTTCAAGATTTTGTTTATAGATAAAGAGAACTCCATGTATGATAATACTTTTTGAATTTTTCAAATATTTCATCTACAACCAAAGTTATTTAAGTTTTAAGTTGTTTATAACGCAATACATACAAAACTTGACCAAATATAGGCAACACACAAATCAAATGTTGTTTATTTTACTTTAGCGTCTACTTTTTTCTTTGTTCTTTTCAAGAACACATTATTTTACTAAATTTTAGCACTTCTCGTCCTATAAATAAACATTAAACACTTATAAATTGCAAATTACCCGCATATACCTTTAAACTTCTGGTTGTTTCCCACAAATGTAATTATAATGCTTTATACCTATTTACTTCCATTAATTTAATTAATGTATATCAAAGTTTAAATGCGTGTTTTGCGAGCGGCATTGAATTCACATGCGGTCTACAAACAAAAAATTAATTACATTCAGACGTCTGCCGTGTGATGACGCCATTACGTTTTTCACAATGGCGGACATTTCGCGTGCGATCACTACCGTTCGCCGTAATTGCTTGCCATTGCGGGCCGGTGCTAAGGCAATATAATTAGACGTGAACTTTTGAGTCCAATGTCTCGCGGACGTCGAGCCAAAGACGAGCATCGAACCACGTCGAACAACGTCATAAACGTGTAATAATATAGGAAATCATTTACGACTTCAAATGGTATAACTGTCCAAACATTCTAAAAGTAATCACGATTTGGTGGTCAATTTTAGAACTTGTTATTGTACCATTAGAATTAGTGTGAGTGGTTTTTTTTTAAATATTTTTTGTAGTTAGCACCTTTTTTCTTGGAGTCATGAATCATATTTTAGGAAAATATTAGGTATTTGTAGTTTAGAAGGGGGTCTTAGTGACTAACTGCGTTTAGAATATACCCACAAGTGTGACTCATCCTCGCACCCTTGTGTGCCGCTACTACGTAACTCCGACCTGTGTTCCCCCACTACTATTTGCGGGTAGCCCGTAAATAAAAAGGGGAGCGCGTTGTGCTTCTCATTCACTCTCGTCCCCCTCTTATTCTGTTTTATATTTATATCTCCCCTTGAGTTCTAGGCATTTTTAGCAAAAATATTTGTGGTAAATTCCTTCCTTTTTATTATTTTCAAAACTTTAGCCAAACAAATAACATTTGCGAATGATGCACCGTCATAATTTTATTTATTTACTTCATGGTACAGTTTATCCACGACATATGAGTTTCTCCGACGCGCTCGCCTTGGTCTCGTTTAAGCTTCGAGTTTGACTTGACAGATATTTCAACTCAAGTTGATCTACGACCGTCGCCGTTGACGTCGCGTCTTTTGCGACGCCATTGAAATATCCTCGTTAATATAAGTAATAAGTATTCTTTTAAGTGATTACTCATAATCTACACTTGCAATATTGGAATTGTTCACACATTTTTTTTGTGTAAAGTGTTGCATAACTTCTGATTCACAAGAGGTAATAAAATAATAATAACTCTAATAAAATCATGTATTACACATGCGTAAAGTGTTTGCAAGATTTTGAATGAGAAAATTAAAAGAGAAAGAGTAATTTACGCCTTAGGCAACATGGCGGAATGTGCTAACATGTTTCAAAGATAAACTAATAATAACCTAGTGCGTGACATTGATCTCGACACCCAAAAAACACTTTCATTGACAATTTAATAAAGTTTTGATTAAAAATCATTAAAGGTTGGTAAAAGTTAGTAATTTACGCAAAGAAAATGGGCGTATTTTTAATATAACCTCAAAATTTCTAAAACTCTTAAAATCAGAGTGAAATTAAGTTAAAATTAAATTTTGCGTGTATTTGCAATATGAATGTATAGATGTAATAATCGAAAATTTTGATTAAATTCTTACGTCTAGACACTCTAGACAGGATTTCAACACGCTCCCAACACTTGTGCAACACACATGCAGAAATACCATACATTTTACACTTGCGAGTATAACCACACCGAAAGAAATGTTCCCAAAAAAATTAATTATGCTAACGTCAGTTGTAAGTAGTATTAAGTTTAAGGTCGTCGCGAGTAAATAAAAATCACGACTTGCAGACGCGATTCAACTTGACACTGTAACAATTTTCAACAACATTTCAACATGTGTGCATTTCGAGACTCTAGCAGAGACATCTAATTGATTTCAACATGGCTGCCACTCAATGTCAACACTACGATTCAAAATTAGGAGAGTTATAAGTGATATTATTAATAATATGAAAGTATGAATCAATTTTAATTTTAATTTTAATTTGAATTTGCATAGTGACTTAAGATGGTTTAAAGTATGCTTAAGAAATTTTGTGTTGTTAACCTTGATATTTGATTCAATGTTATTGATTTATTTCGGAATATTTGAATGAACACAAATGATGAAAAGAAAAAATTAATGTGGTTGATAATTCAATGTTAAAACAAGGTTAATTAATTAATAATGGCCTAAACTTAACCTTAAAGTGTTTAAACTAATTTTAATTACATTAATTTGATTGATTATATAATTTTAAAATATTTTTTGTATAAATTTTGAAGAATTTTTATGAATTTTAACTTTAAACGCCTCCAATTTATCTAAAACCCCACAAAACTAATATTTTTAATCACTAAACTAAAAGTTTAGCTCTGTATCTATATAATACAATTTATTTCATTCAATTATCTCTATTAGTTTACTCAATATAACAAAAACAAGAAAAAATTTTTTTTAATAACTTACAATGCTTGCTTGACGCGTCTCATCAATATAATGCGTAGTGATAATAACAGTCGTCTGTCCATTCTTAGTAATATGCTGCAAATGATCCCAAATATTCTTCCGTAACATCGGATCAACTCCAACAGTCGGTTCGTCCAAAATCAACAACTCAGGTTGATGCAACAATGCTGCTGCCAATGATACTCTCCTCTGTTGTCCACCAGATAGCGTTTTCACTTGTCTATCCGGTCCTGGCAGCATCAAAAACTGCAGTAGAAACGACAATCTGTCATCTACTTCATCAGTAGACATTCCACTAATCCATCCAAAGTATAACATTGTTTCCCTGATGGTAAATTCACCATAGAGAGCAATTTCCTGCGGCATGTATCCTATTCTAGGACCTGGCACACCTGATCCTTTAGAACCAGGTGTTCCTCCAAGAACCCAAATCTCTCCGGAATTGAGACGTTTACGGCCGACTATACATGAGAGTAGAGTAGTTTTACCGCAACCAGACGCGCCTAGTAAACCATAGATGGCGCCTTTAGGTACAGTCATGTTTAGTCCATCGAGGATAACAAAAGGGTTCTTTTTGGTGCCGTAGTGTTTGTGTGCGCGACGCACGCACACGGCGTGTTGCCTGCGTGAGGCAACAGTTGACATTTGACGGTTCGCCATTGCCTTCCGTCGCATTTCCAGCTCATTAGAGGGTTCCGTCATCTGAAACATTTAAATTTAAGGTTAGATTTGTATTTAAGTTTGATATTTCACCACCAGGTGGGAAAATTAAAAAAATATTGTTTTTTAATGTTTTTTATTAGTAAAATCTGAATATAATATTATCAATCATCGCTTTAGCGCGCACACACGCGTTTTAATTGCGTCGGCAGCAATTATTTCCCAAGACGGCAAATTGCTAATTGTAATTGTAATTGTAATTAACGCTATTGCTCGTTTTTTCTCTGCGTTGCACTCAGGTCATATAAAAAAATGGGGCAAAAACTTGTGCAAACGCTGCAAAACAACTCCAAGTGGACATTGAACATTTGAACACTATTTAATTGCTAATATATTGATAAATATTAATTTATTATTTAAAGTGACTCTAAATATAAACTATATCTTATTTTATATGTGGATAAAAATAAGTTGTATAGTTGGTTGCGTCATCTGTATCATAACTCAATCTTTGACTATGTCTACTATTTATTAATTTTTGTTGGAATAAAATAAAATATAATTTAATTAAATTGTTTTGTTCAGGTTATGATTGCTTAAGCACAAATAGCACACAATTTATTTGTTTTGTCATAAACTTTGCTTAGTATTGCATGCGTTGTGCGTTTTCCGTGATTTACGAACATTGTTTGCACAAATGACAATTTTCCGCAATTGTATGCGCTGTGGTTTGCATTATTCATATTTTATTCAATATTTATTCTGCTCTGACACAAATATTAAACTTAAAACTGGAAAAACATCATTTTTACTTTATAAATTAATAAAAACTATAAAATAGACTAATAATAAGGTTATGTTGGTGCAATTTACGTTAGGCAACCAAATGATCATATAATATGCTCGAAATAATCGAATAATTTGCTGATTCATGCGCAGCAAGTCATAAAAATAAAACCTTGGCGTTGTATTTAGTCTGTGGAGTTTTTCGTTTAGTTCAAATAGATTTCTCAGTAAATAATTTATATGTTGTTCGACGCATTCTGCGTTTGCAATTCGTCATTGTCGCACGAGCGCGACGCGTATTTGTCGTCAGGTTTTTTTATTAGCTGGAAAACTGGAATGATGACAATTGCAAACTAACGAGCTAACGAGGCAAGAAATATATTCATATGCACAGAAAATCAAATAAATGATGGACAAATAGCGGTGAATTCAATGGGTAATAATCATTTTTGTGGTGATAACTTGAAATGTGAGTAATGGCCAATCTTTTTAGTTATATGCTAATTATTAATTTATTACGTAGTTGATATTTTATATTTTAATATAGTGGATACAATTAAAAATTATGTTTAGTAGTCTCAAGAACAAATATTTCTTTATTTGTGTTTACAAAAGTATGAAAAACGCTAATTTTACAGCTATAGAGTGGAAAAATATTTTAAATTTTACTCCTAGATGACGTTGACAACTATTTTATATGATAGTGTTTAATAAAAATGTAATTTGTTTTTACTCTGTTGTTCCAGACGTAGTATGTGTCAATTCTATCAATAAGATTCGTAATTTTATTTTAAAGAAATTAATTATATGAAGAATTGCTAATAATGCACTTTAGCGCGCTATCTCAGATTCAACTATTTAACTATAACCATGATTGAATCTCAATGTCAACTTTTATCCTATAGAAAGTGGCTGTCTTTAGGATTTCTCGGCAATTATTCAAATTTTTCATCGCCGTAAAACCCATCCTTGGACTTAAACGAACATTTTAAAAAAAGAATTGGCCAAATTGGTTTAGGCGTTGTTGAGTTATGCGCTTACCAACAGATTTTGCGATTCATTTTTGTATTATAAATGGAAGCAAAAATTTTAATTTTCTCAAAAATTTGATTAAAAATTCTAACTTTTGCGGTTTTCCCTCGAAAAATTATTAGAATAATAAAACGTGCAAGTGACGATGTAATGCCAGCAATGCACCGCTGCCGGTGTAAATTTTATTACGGCAATTTGTACAATCGTGTAAATTCCAAAGCTCGCTGCTTCATAATGAGCTTCATTCACACCTGAGCGCGTATGCTATAGTTACAATAGTTGTTTAGTTTTTATCCATTTACTTTAATTATTTTATTGCCTGCGGTTGCATGCGACTGAATGTTATACTATTATTGTTACCTACTCGTATACTGAGTCAGTCAGTAAGTCAGTCGGTCACTCTCCAAGAATGCCGAAAGTGTAAGCAAGTATAAACAAGTAAAACCAAGCATTTCGGCATTTCACTTTCATTCAATCGGCCTGAATCTTACACGCGTGCTATTTTCACTCTCGGCCCACTCAACACTTGACTCAAATTGATGTAATCTTCTGGTATTACCTGAATTTCTTGGATGCGTAATCGAAATAAATCGTAGGAAGTAGGCAAGTTGATAATAAATAATTATGGTTGTTATAACTACATTATTATGTCTTCAAAAAAGGAAAATGTCATAAAGTGTTGTAAAAATATTGAGTTTTATAATAATAATTGTATTTTACGTCAGTTTTGGACCAAGAAACGTCTGATGTATTTGACGCGTCTAATAATAATAGAGATAATTTATTTGGTCGTGTAATGAAAAAATTTCCAATTAACACATTAATATAATTGATATTCATATTAATTAAGTTATCTTCTTAATGTTAATTTTATCTCATGAAATTATAATTAATCTTTTATTTGAGTATATTCATGTTTAAATGTAAATGCAATTAATTAAAATGCAATGAATCTTGATTATTTCTGCTTTTTATCAACAATTATGTTCGTATTAATGTTTGCATAGTTATTACTTTCTGCTATGCCAGTTGTAGACACGTAGTAGAAACAGATTAGTATCTTAGTTACTCTGTACATGAGTGAGCATTCATTGCACATTTAGTGCTATTACAATAATTGAATTACCTTCGAATGTTTAATGTTTAACTGCAGCTATAATCAACTCAAAACTCTAGTTAAGTTAACTCATCACTCGTTATCGCTACAATATATCGCAACATGCAATCGGAAAATAGTTAATAATTTAAGTAAAATTATTGTTAATTTGTGCTTTATATTAAATTCATTAAATTTGCAAATTTCGTATTGTGTTTTAATTAATTTTTTAATTAAAAATTTGAGAATTTTATAAAAATAAGACTTTGATGTGTTTTTTTAAATTAATTTAATTTTAAAAATAAATAAAAATGAAAATTTACATGAAAAGAAGCTTTTTTGCAGTGTAATTGGCATTTAAACATAAAAACACCAAAAAGTAACATTATTCTATACTATAAAAGTAAATCGCAAAGTCTGTTGGTAAACGCATAACTCAACAACGCCTAAACCAATTTGGCCAATTCTTTTTTTAAATGTTCGTTGAACGCCAAGGATGGTTTTTATGGCGAGAAAAATTCGAATAATTGCCGGGAAAACATTAAAGACAGCTCTTTTCTATAGGATAAAAGTTGTCATTGAGATTCAATCATGGTTATAGTTAAATAGTTGAATCTGAGATGGCGCGCAAAGGGCATTATTAGCAATTCTTTATATAATTCATTTCTTTAAAATAAAATTACGAATCTTATTGATAGAATTGACACATACTATGTCTAGAACAAGAGAGTAAAAACGAATTATATTTTTATTAAACATTATCGGGACGAAATCACGGGTAAAAGCTAGTTTAATATAAATATCAAGAAAATAAAGCAAAAAACAAATATTTTACATTTTAAGTTTAATAAAAGTGAAAACAATGATTTCCTAATGAAAAGAAAATCTATTAATCTATTAATCTATATCTTTGATGAAATAGTACTACTCGTATGCACGCAGTGAAGATTTTTGCAACTGATTATTTAATTAATTTCGCTTTGATTCTAATAGTGTTACGAGTGCTACAATATTATAAACATATAAAACATGCGTATGTAGGTGAAGCGCACAAAACGCTAGAAACACAGAATCGTGTAACAATCGCTGCAATAAACAATTCGCCGTGTCAATGAATTTAATTAGCTGCGGAGCGCGCCGACGCAGAAAGAAACTGACGTGTAATTTGTTGCGCCATAAATCAGCTTGCAAAATTTTTAGCCAGCAAAGAACTCACAAGTTACAACTCCCAACAAATCAGCGGCATAAGAAGTAAAACAAAAGAAAAGCAATAAAACCAGCTATGTACATAAATAAATTGCGTTGACACTAATATACTAGTACACTAATATAAGTATTATTTCAATATGGCGGGCGGAAATTTTGGAATTTGGTATTGCGTCATACATTCGGTAATTATGTTGTTTTAGTGCATTTGTAAAGTGTGTTGAGTGCATTTTAAGGAATTGACACCTTCTTGTGACATTGTGACAATATTTAAGCATACTTTTGAAGTTTTAACACGTTTTATGTTGATATTTATTGAGTCATAGCTGTTTTAACATTATTGAACAAAGATTACAAATGATTTATTCGTTAATCACTAATTGCTCACTTTAATTGATGGTTAATTAACTTAAACTTTCCATTTGATATAAAAAATTAATTATGCATGTGTAATACTGAATTTTATACACGATAATCTATAATATAAAAATGGATCGCAAAATTTGTTGGTAAGCGCATAACACAACAGCGCCTAAACCAATTTGGCCAATTCTTTTTTTAAATGTTCGTTAAAGTCCAAGGATGGTTTTTACCGCGAGAAAAATTCGAATAATTGCCGGGAAAACCCTAAAGACAGCTCTTTTCTATAGGATAAAAGTTGGTATTGATTCAATCATAGTTATAGTTAAATAGTTGAATCCGAGATGGCGCGCTAACGTGCATTATGAGCTATTCTTTATATAATTAATTTCTTTAAAATAAAATTGCGAATCTTATTGATAGAATTGACACATACTATGTCTAGAACAAGAGAGTAAAAACGAATTACATTTTTATTAAACACTATTGGGACAAAGTCGCGGGCAAAAGCTAGTATGATATAAAAAAATTAATTATTCATGTGTAACACTGTATTTTATACACGATAATGGATAATATCATCAATATTTTAGTTTTTATATTTTCTTATAAATTTTAAATTACATAATTTTGTAATAATATATAATGCAATTTGTATTGTTGGCTGCTAATGGTTTTTCAATTACCAACGCTTGCGTTTCAGGTCAAACATTAATCAAGTTTGTAATTACCTTTTGTTATTAAACCCACTTGTGCATTCTCTATAAGAATAGAAAAAGGAAAATTTGTGAAAATGCACACGCATTAAATTAATGCTAATGGCAAATTATTACAAACGGCAATAAATTGCCTATGATAATAATGCTAATTAGAGTAGATGACGATTATCGCTGTAATTTTCATTTAACTGAACAAGTTTTGCATTAAAGTGGACACTAAACTCTTCAATGTTGACATTTATTGTCCTTCAAAAAGGAAAAATTATTGTTTGAGGTTATAACTTGACAGGTTTTGTCACTTTAAAAGTATGCAACTAAATATACACTGCTTATAGTATAGCAAAAACGCTGGAAACTACTTTTCTCATCACACAGTAATTTAAATAAATTTAAAATAACTTGAGAAGTCGACTTTGAACTTACAGCAAGGTGTAAATCATTAATGTTGTTAGTTGTTCAGCTTGAACATTCAAGGTGCACTCGTTTTTAGACTCTCTGGACGATTTCAACATGTCAACCAATTTTTTTTGGTATTATTACTTGCAACATTTTATAAACCAGTATGAAGCAACAAATATTTGCATTGGTACAATCGATAATAAGTTAATAACTTTTATAATAATCTAATATAAAAATGAATCGCAAAATCTGTTGGTAAGCGCATAACTTAACAACGCCTAAACCAATTTGGCCAATTCTATTTTTAAAATGTTCGTTAAGTCCAAGGATGGTTTCTACGGCGAGAAAAATTAAGAATAATTGCGGGAAAACCCTAAATACATCCCTTTTCTATAGGATAAAAGTTGGCATTGAGATTCAAAGATGGCGCGCTGTAGTGCATTATTAGCTATTCTTCATATAATTAATTTCTTTAAAATAAAATTGCGAATCATATTGATAGAATTGACACATAGTATGTCTAGAACAAGAGAGTAAAAACGAATTACATTTTTATTAAACACTACTTAGGCAAAAGCTAGTAGTTAATAACTTTTAAAATAATAAGTACAAAAATTGTTTGATGTGCGTGCAGACGTCAACCACACACTTCAACCAGTTGCATATCTTTATCGTATCTTGCTTGCCGTTTGCAACTTGTGCATACTGTAATTATGTATTTGAGAAATGCATAATTACAATTAGTAATAATTATAACTGTGTAGTGTGGTAAGTACATTATGTACCTGTACCACTATTATTTACGATTGTGCGTAAACAGCAAGTTTTTGCCATGTCATTTGTCAGTCGATATGAAACTAACCTCAAAATTCACTTAAAATGTGCATTTTTTAGCATTATTTATGAGATATGACGTCGGTTCATGATATAAGTGCCCGGGTACTATCTCGAACTAGTGCATAAGTAATATTTTATGTTTTTATTAATGTTTTAATCAAAAATAAATCTAATTTTAATTATTAACCTTACTTAAGTTATGGTGTTCTTGAAATTTAAACATGATGTTGATTAATTGTTATAAAAAAAAAACTAAAAAATGCATTTTTTATATGAATTTGTTGTTAGAATAAATCTAAATCAGAAATTTGTAATAAAAATAATTAGAGTACAGTAAAATACTTAGAGTAATTATTATTATTATGTCTTAAGTTTAATATTAGTTTAGTTCAACGTAGAATTAACTTAAGTTTTGGTAGTTGTTAGAATTTACAATGTTTGTTACAACTTATTTTCGTGACCTTGTCTTTTTTTTTGTTTTGTTTAGTGCAAATGTTACTCAACTAACAAAAAATGCGAACCAAAAAGGAAGTAGGCACGAAATACAAAATGTCTTCGTTTCAATCTTTTTTTAATTCTTAATTTATTAATCTCCGTCATCCAAAACTTGTTACAATTTGCGTCAATCGATTAAATTACTTTTTTTGCTTGCGGTTTTTTTTTTCGGAACAAAATTTTAAATGGTAATTTAAACTTCAAGTTAAAAATATAAACTAAAAGGTTTTTTAATTATTTTCGAAACAATTTCAACAGTTTAAGATGTGTAAATCTTTTGTTGTTAAATATTTGTTAATTTTAATGATTATTCAACGTTGCATTCTTCATTTGTTGTGATTTTAAGCTAAACTGTTATATTTTTCATTATTTTTAAGATGAAAACGCACAAAATAGTATTAGACAACAACTCAAACAAAAGAATAATTTATAAGTAGTTTATAAACTTATTCAAGAAGTTTCCAAGCCATATTCATTCAAATTTGTTGTCTGTTGTGAATTACAAAATGTTAGAATTGACTAATCTTAAGTCAAGTGGAAGTGAAGCGGGAGACGCAGTGACTAAACACTATTGCAGCATATTTGGGAACAACAACAACCAAATTGTTATTAGTTAATAATAGTTTTTGACTGTTTTTGGATGCTTTGAAGTTGCAGTGTTAACTGTTTGTCAGTCAGAGTTTTTTTCGTCTTGAAATTACACCCACAATGCTAGATACAATCGAAAAATGAATAGTTAACCTAAATTACTGGTAATGTAGACTAACTTCAAAGTTTATCAAAGGTAATTATATGTACATATACAGGAAATTACTGTTTTTTATAATAAACTAGCTTTTGCCCGCGACTTCGTCCCGGTAGTGTTTAATAAAAATGTAATTCGTTTTTACTCTCTTGTTCCAGACATAATATGTGTCAATTCTATCAATAAGATAAGCAATTTTATTTTAAAGAAATTTATTTTTATAAAGAATTGCTAATAATTCACTTCAGTATAATTCACTATAACTATGATTGAATCTCAATGACAACTTTTATCCTATAGAAAAGGGCTGTCTTTAGGGTTTTCCCGGCAATTATTCGTATTTTTCTCGCCGTAAAAAAACATCATTGGACTTTAACGAACATTTAGAAAAAAGAATTGGCTAAATTAGTCTAGGCGTTGTTGAGTTATGCGCTTACTAACAGATTTTGCGATTCATTTTTATATTATAGATATTAAAATTATTAAAAATTGATATATTTGACATTTTGACAGTGTTATAACCAATTTTTTGTCTTCAAGACATGTTTTTAGTGAAAATTAGTAAATAGATAACACAATGATCAAGTTATTGTAGATATAAAATGTTTAATGTGCTTTTCAATTTAATTTTACAAAAAAAAACTTCTTTTTAAACTCATATTAAACAATATAAACAAAAATGGGTGTAAAATGTCATATTGCCAAATTTATCTGTACAAATTTATATGGCAACACCGCACTTCTTACAAATTCTTTGAAAATAGGTTATGATGAATACCGGAACTTATTCGGCAATAAAAATGCAGAAATATTACAACACCATCCAATCACTCATACAACAATCGATATTATTGAAAGCAACACTTTTATTTATAACATTCCTTTGTATTCATATTTTAAAAGTCATAAACTATTGTAATATTATGCTTTCCAACTACCTGGAAAAACCTGAACGCACCGCATCTATAAATACCTTCCCAAAAGGACAAAACTCAACAAAACTCTGTTGTTGCACGTTGTGGCAAAAGTTTCCGAAGAAGTTCAAACCAGTTGCCTTAACAAGTTTTCATATTACTTATATTCGTAATTTTTGGTGTGACCTTACCTTCCATTTTGCTTATATTTAAATAATTTCAATAAAATTTTGCTTACGACTTTAAAATTATGATGACACTTGTTAATAATTCAACAAATTGTTGCTTATTCTGTGTTTATCAGAACATTTCCCATCATGAATAATTTTTAATCGATTATTAGTCAGATATGTCATTTTCTAGATAATCTACACACATTCTCTTCTTTATCACGTTCTAATCTACTAAGTTATTAATCTGAATAATAAGGAATGCAAAGCTCACCTTGATGATTCCACCAAATCGATATCGACCCAATAAATCACACTTTTTCTAAACTTTCCACAGAACTTTAAAGTTTTTATGATTATTAATAACTTTTATCGTTATACAAACACTTTTTTAGTATTTGATGAGAATATTTTATGTTTAAAACTTTTGTGGCAGTTGTAAGATGTTTTTGTGAATTTAAGAGAAGAAAAAACTTGCCAAAAAACACGATTAACTGCGCGGCTACCTGCGCGTTGATCTGCGACTACCTGCGACTACCTGCGACCGCGGTCTGCGCACTTTTGTCTGCTTGTGGAGTCGTCCTGCTGCGTCCACTAGTTGCGATCGGTGCGGTTCACCTCGGCCTCCCGCTTCATTACTTCACCTGACTATAGTTTACCTTCTTGCGTACGCACACATTCACGTAACACACTCACTTGGAAATAAATTAACAAATAATTGAATAACCGCCGAATAAATGCTGCGAATTGCATTTAACATATGCAACTTTATATACACATATTTTCTTTGCAAAACGCATTAAACGCATAAATTTGATTAGTTATAGAATTGAAACAGAATTTCTATGTTTACAAAGTTAATACCTCTTTGTTATAAAAATATTAGACTTTTTTTTAAATATTACATAAAATTTTGGGTAATTATCGTAAGTAACAATAGTTTTTTTTAAGTTTATTATGCATTTTTGATAATAATTTTGAAAATTTTAAGTGATATTAGCTGAATGCGTCACTTATTAAATAAGATGCTAATTATATTACTTTAAACAAGTTCAATAAACTTCAATAACCAATTGAAAATTATTTATAACTGAAAAATGTATTAATAAATTTTGCAAATGTATTTTACAATAATTTTACGTTTTCTTAGATTAGTTTAACATTCTTAACAGGATCTACGTAGGAAAATAACTTAACAATAATTTATCTTTAACTTATTATATTCATTTTTGTTCGCAACTAACAGTTATGTCTAGACAACTTCCAGAAAATAGGAAATTTCCACGCATAAACAAAATTTAACTACAACTTACCTAAGTTTATCTCTCTGATATCTTTTCAACCAACAACTGCCACTACTTCTGTTAACTGTCAATATAAAGAACATTTTTGTTCTTTTTATAACTGTTTGCTAATATTTCAAATAATATTTTATTAATCCTACAAATGATTAAAAACCTCCTGAAAATCATCGAAAATTCTATCGTTGGAATATGGCGCTCGTGCATTTACCCAATCACGCGTCCTCTACCGCTGCGCATGCGTCCCGCGCGCACTTCAGTCGACTGCGTGCGAGCTGCGTGCTGGCTGCTCACATGTTTAACTCGCTCGAGAAATTCGTGAATATTTGTGAAAATACACAAGTGCAACAACCGATTTCTTGTGCAGTGTAACAACCAACATCGTTTTCATCGATACCATCATCAATCCACCTTTGGCGCGGTGAAAATCGTGAGTATTTCATTGAAATATGCGACACGCTGCCTGTAGTTAACCTAAATCTCCGACCACGTTGATGCAGTACTGCCACATTTCACACCTCGACAAACAATCTCGGCGCGTAAACAGAACTGCATTCACATGAAAATGCTTCTAAATTAGTTAGTTTCAGTCATAGCAATAACCAACAACGTGTAGTCGTGTTATTTTCATTAGAAAAACGCGAAAAAGCATCCCGCATGGTGTTGGCGCGGTGCGCGCCGCATGTTGCGTGGAATTGCCTTGAGGCGCGCGGTGGGCGGAAGCTAGACACATAAACCTTGGCGATATTCATAGAGGACCTTATGTCCTACGAGTTCAATAGCATTCGACGTCTTCACGATTGCATACATGTTTGTTATGAAGGTTTTTAGCGTGATTTTATGATAATGTTCTCGCATGGCATGCTGGCGAATGCGGCGCGTGAATGCAGCGCGCGCAGTTATCTCTGTTTGGTTTGCAACTCGGCTACGTTCACTACCTGATGTGTTGTATAGTGCGAAAGTTCGCCAAATCGGTCAATCGACGTGGAACGTGGAGCTTTCGCAATGTTTTTATGCCGCGCATGTAGATGTGGCTGTCTCAGCGGTAATATTGCACATTTAAACACTTGAGATCATTGTTTGATTTGATTTTAAGCTGTTTGGAGTGTGCAAACTGTGATAAAATTATGGCGGCCAAAGAATAACAACTTTTGTTTTTTTGAATTCTAAAGCATGTTTCACCCAACCAACTAATAAAAATTGAAAATTTATTTTTAAAAATATTAAATTTCAATAAATATTGCCATTTTTCTTATTATTTTAATGTAATTTATATTATTACTTGAAATTATAATGATTTTTTTTGCTAGCTTAAAAAAAACACCGAAAAGAACAAAGTTTTGTTTAAAATCATAGCAAAAGTTGATTTAAAACATTGTTTTTCCTTGTTTTTATCAATATTTTGTCATTGCTTACCTATTTGCTCCCTATTTGTTTTGGCTAAAATATCAAGTGGCTTAGTCGCACTATCACGTGTTGATTGTTTATAATCGTTTCGCATTTGTTTGTTTGAAACAGAAGAACGATTGGAAACTTACTAACTTTTTGTTTTGTCAGTGCAGATTTATTCGATATTCTAAGTCATAAAAACGAGAAGGGTGAGGATTAGTCGTTTGGAGATCATCTTCAGGCGCAGTCGCTCACAGTGTTCTGCGAAACACTTTGATTCGTGTCCTTGGACATCCGAAACGCAACGCTTTAGCAGGCGCCGCGCAGAAGACGAGTGATGGATGCGGTCTTCTTCAATTTCCATAAGGAAGAAGATTTCTCATCGTATTTCTCGGTATGTTGATTAATATTGCCTAAAATGTGAATTAATTTATTTGTTTGGTTGATAGTCTTATGAAGAAGATTCCCAAAGCTACGATGGCTTACAAAACGGAGCACAGAACTCCGACTATCACTGGTTGGACTACGAGCGAGAGTAAGTTTTATTAAAATGTTTTGTTTGTTTGTTTTAAACTGATTTGTTTGTTGTTTGTTTTTTTAACCAGGCTCAATGGCGATATGGGACTTATTCCCATACCGAGCGAAACCAACTTTGCGCTGTCCACATCGCCGCCAGTCAAAGAAGACTTTAATAAGATAATGAGCGAATGGAATCACTTAGTTAGTTTAGAAGTGAGTACAATTGCGTTTTAGGATGCTAACCTAATACCTGCGCACACCGATTGTAATACTGGTTGCGTACGTATTGCAATGCCGGGTGCGCGCGGTTGCATATCTTATCCAGTCATGCGTTGCGGTTTGCGGAGTGCACGTCACTAAACGATCATATATAACATTTAAGGTCGGTGATGACTTGGTCGATGACTTGGAGAGCGCGTCGGCGGTGTCACTGCAGATGGCTGACGACGCCGGCGCCATTGCGCTGCCGTCACCCCACGAGGAGGACATGCTCGACATCAAGGCGGAGGACTTCGACATCACGAAGTACGTTGTCGGCAGCGAGCCGGACGTCCCCGATGTTATGTCCGCTTGCGGTTTTGAGGAGCATAGTAGTAGTATAAGTAGTCCTAAACAAATTGAAAATGTAAACGTTAAGCATGAACGTGATGTAACAAATGTAGCGCCGAAGGTTAAGGTAGAAGAAGAAGAAGAAGAAGATGCGATGGAATTGGAGGATGTTAATGTTGGTAAAATTGAGACGAATGCGCATGCGCCAGATAAGGTAATCAAGATGGAAAAATCGCCGATGAAAAAAGCCAAACAATGTGTTATGCCGCCGCCGAAATTTGGTGGTAAACGGATTGACATGGCTAGGGGTAGATATATGGTTGATGAGGAAGATTCATCCAGCGATGATGAAGATATTGCTATTGATGTGGAAACAGTTGATGGCGAAGAAGAAATTAGTCATCCAGTACTGCAAGCTGGTGATCTCAATAGTTTGCTGGAACAGTTTGAGGCTACTGAGACTACCAACATGGAATTGCACCAACAGATGCCATGCACACCAGAAAGAGGTTTGTACTTTACGCATTTCAAGTTACCAGAAAAACAAAAGTAAAATATTAATAATTATCTTATATTTAGATGCTCAAAATTCTGTTCGTATGGACGACATCTCCCTGGATATCATGATTGAACAAGTAAAACTTATTTCGCCGATAAAGTCACCAATGGTGATTAGAAAAGGGCCAACGAAAAGCAATAGACAATTACTGGATTTCCGGGAAGCCAAACCCGAAGGTGTCACCGCGATAACCAAGGTAAAGTCAGAAAAAGTTGAAATCAAAACAGAAAATGTTTCAACAAATGAGCTGAAAGCCGCGAAAGAAATTAAACTGGATCAGTCTCCAGTGAAAGACCAGCGTAAAAATAAACAGATCCTGGACGCATTGCCAACTGAGTTAATTGACAGGATACGCGCATCTAGTAAACGCAAGCCAGTACAATTGATTGAGCCAATCGCACCAACCAAACGCCGAATGATGAACAACAATACCCATTCACAATCTCCAGCGCATATTAAAGACCCCATTGCTAATTCTCCACTAGCAAATCGCATTATTAACAGTAACATTAACAACAACCATGGTATTCAAACAACTACGACGAATGGCAACAAATTTATGAATACTGTTTTCAAAATGACGCAGAATGTTATGTTGGATCATGATTATTGTACCTATGCTCTACCAACGCATGGTGTAGTAAAAGACGGACCGAATTCAGCGAAAGACTCGGGATTTTCAAGTGCTGAGGAAGATGAGAAAATCATCCGAACACAACCGACGATTAAAAGCTCCAACGGTAAACTGATGGTGTCTCTATTAAAAACAAACACGATTAAGAAAAAGTTAAATCTGGAAGAGTATAAGAAACGCCTGCAAACTAGACCAAACACAAAATCGTGTGGTACTTCACCGCGGGCTAGCGAAGATGACGAAAATACGCGCAGATTAAAACATACGGAGATGTTGATGAAAATCGCACAGGACAATTTAAAACTAGGCAATAAAAGTCCACAAGATGGCGGCGGTGAATCCGTATCACTACCGCCGATAGAAATACCTCAGATTGGTGCTAAATCAACAAATGCCACTACATCAACTAAAGTGAAAGATGTAACTAGTTGTGATACAGTTAAAATTAAGCAGGAACCACCAGACGATGTGCAAATCATTGAGGTGAAACGACCGCCGAAGAATATCGTCATGAAAACGTTGGTAAGCATCGGGACTAACACTGAAGAGTCGTGGGGGCATTTAGAACAGATTCTACAGAATACACACATAAAAATCAGTCCCAATTCGTTGATAAGTTCGATAGTGGAGCAACTACCAAAACCCAAACAGGTACTACCAACGAAACAAGTTGAACACGGTGAAGACAAGACAATAGTCTTCATTGACACAACACGCCCGAAGAAGAACACTCGCGCAGTGCATGTGCAGACATTGCACTCGAGTAGTCATCTGTTGAGGCAGCGGCGCAGGCGCTCTTCCTCTTCGTGCTCGTCATCCAGCAGTTCTTCGTCGTCTTCGTCATATTCGTCGGATGATTCGGCCAGGGGCAGTCGCAGTAGTAGATCTCGTTCACGCACAAGCCACAGCGATAGGTCGCAATCGCGCAGTCGCAGTAGAAGTAGGAGTAATAGCAGGACGCCGTCTCCTGTGCGACGAAAAATGCAAGAGATGAAAGAAGTTGAAGAGCGTAGGGTTGTGTATGTCGGTAAGATAGCTGATGATATGACCAAGGAAGACTTGCGCAGACGGTTTGCGCGTTTTGGTCACATCACTAACCTCAGCGTACATTTCCGTCGTCATGGCGTAAACTACGGTTTTGTGACTTTTTCACACAAACAGGACGCGTACGACGCTGTTGCAAGGGGTAATGACAACAAGGATGAGCCACAGTATGATTTGAGTTTCGGAGGGAGGAGATTGTTTTGTCAGACGACGTATGCCGACTTAGATAATATGCACGATGATGTGCTGTATGACGAGTTCGGGGCGTGGCCGGCGGATAATTTGTGTGCAGGTGGCGCTGATGCGCCAGCCAAGGACGATAACTCGTTTGATAATTTGCTACGTAAGGCGCAGGCCAAACTCAGGAATCGTAAGCTTTGACCATTGGTGTTTGAGCTGGAGTTGTTCGGATGCATTTTGAATGAAACATAGCCACACTTTTTATAATCAAAAAACATCACGTTGCTAATATGAGTTGGAGATTATGTGAAATGTATCTTGTTGCATTCTGCGAAAAACGCCATATGTGATCACTTACTCTGTAAATAGCTAATTACTTTCATGACACACACACACATACGTTTTCATTGATATCATTTCAGTCGCAATTGAATTCAACATATTGTACACACGCGTTATGGATTTGATTGGATGTAATCGCAGCCGGTTTCATTGCATTTTTGTGCAGCACAACTTGAATGTGATGAAACGATTGCGAATAGCATGTGAATAAGCGCCGCCCACTTTCAACATGGCCGACTGTGTAGGTTATGTTGCATGTGATTTCTACCGCGTCTTACACGGGGCATCAAACAAAACTCTTTATCAATAAACTTGTGACATTTAAATAGTTGGTATAAACTACTATGCGCGACCACAAACTCTATTAACGCTTAGACATTTTCTTTTGTTTCACTTGTTTCAAAAACTTGGCTGGTTGGTTATTTTTCTAGTTGTTATTGCGTATTTTATTTTCGTTATTCTACTTCCCTTTATTAACTGACTGGCTGTGTTGAATCGCTGATTTCTCTCTTTCTTGAGATATAATGTGGCGCACTTTTATTATAAGTCATTACACGAAACTGAAATCAAAATAAAGTATACTAAAAGACGGAAAATGAAGACAAAAATTGAAAAAGAATTTAAAAGAGCAAAAAAAAAAGATGAAATATGGAAGAATTGTAAAAGAATTTGCAACTTTTGTACATAATATAATTAAGATTGTTACGATGGGAACTTCACAAAGTTCAAAAGTAACAAATACTGCAAATCAATCTGCAGCATACAGAAATACCTCTCTTATCGGCTTAGTAATTTATTATCATTGCCAAATCTTTTATTATATTCATAGTAATATGGTATTATAAATTATTACTTGTTTACATTTACTGCTAATGTCGATTAAGAAACATTTGTAAGGAATTTCAATCGTGGTACTAGCAGTCTGGGTCGTTGATGCTGTAGTTTCTTGTTTTCTCAATGAAAACAAAACGAAAATTGGGTTGTGTTGCAGAATGTTGCGCAATTTTTATAATGCCATTTTCAATACGATTAAATAAATACTTAAAATTAAATACCATCCGCAAACATTCATTGCAATCAATAAATTTCATGAAATATTCAGTAAATTCAAAATGGTGCCATCGTAATTTAGGCAACCAAGTATACAGCACTAAACAAGTGAAGCAAAAAAGAAATTTTACTTTCACTATACTAAAAAATCACAAAATATCTCGATATATTTCACTATTTTATTTAAATTACAAATTGTTAATGATTATTTCGATAATTCTTAGAACCTATGAGGTCTAATGGGTCGCTCTGGATCAAATAATTCCGGATCACGCAAAAAGTGTGGATCCTTGTAATAATAACCCATAAGTCCTGCACTTTGAGCCTTAACAATCTCTTTTTCAACTCTTTCTTGTTGTGCTTTACACAAGCCTGTTATATGTCTGCCATATATTCTTCCTGTGTAAGATGATTGAAACTGTGAAAGAAGTTTCACATTCTTGTAGTTTACTTCTACTCCCTGCTCACATAGAATACACTTCTGTACTTCTTTTGTGAAAGGATTTGGCATGTTGAAAATTGGTGCATCTGGATCTGGTTGGGCATTATCTCCATTTGATGGTGCTGATGAATTTGTTCTAAGTTGATTTGCAGATAGTCTTAGGGTTATTGCAGCTAAATAAAATGATTTATAAGTAATTATTTATTCAGATTGTATAATCACTTACGTTTTAATTGTTTGGTGAGAAATTGTCGCAATAATAATGCCATTTTATTTATTTTTATTGACAAAATGTGGTACCTAATTATTTGGGGTTATAACATAGGCATGTAGGCGGTGTGAAGCTGTTAGATGTGTTGCCTATCTACAATAATTCGTTGCAGAACAAGTGAACACAAAATGGGAAAATTCAGTAAAAAAAGCAATTGAAACGAAAATAAGTCTAAATATGCGCATTTATTTATATTAATCTCGTAATATACAAAATAGATGTAAGTGCGTTTAGTTTTCACATGTACGCCTGCTAAAATTAACAAAAACAAAGAAGTTTGGCAAAGTTTCATTAATGCACTATTTTGTATGCTTTGTAGAATAATTCAGTTTCGATCATAACAAATTGTGATGAAAATGGCAGCGTACACGAAGTTGGTCGAAGGTGATGGGAGGATGAACGATGCTTAACGAAGGTGCACCTTAAGCCCACCTGCAAAACAAACACTTACTACTTGCTAACTTGCGATCGACACGGCCTGGTAAGTAGTATAACCTAATTCTACAGCTAACATTAATACTGGTAAAGATACCAACTAATCAGTGTTAAATATTTTTTTATTGTTGTCTCTGTGGGCAAAGACAATCAAAAACAAAAATCAAATCAACTCAAAGAGCAAAAGTTAAACAATTGTTAGTGGTAGTAGGTACTACAGTCATTTTGACAGACCATTTGACATACTATTATGACATCTAGTTTCACACACAAATTTTGACGCCATCTTGATTAGTGGTTTGTTTCAACAGAGAAAACTACAGTCACCATTATCGCAATCTGCCGTTATAAAGTAAGATTAGTTATTAATTTAATATTATTCATTACGCAGTTATGCATTCGCAATTCGCTAGATGCAGGTGTTTAGGATTTGAGCCAAAACTTGCTACTCGAGCGTATACCTTTGCCTTTGTACGACTTTTTGCCCTTCTCGCCACTGGCGGTCGCTTCACGGCTATCCGTCGCCATAACCTCGTCGTTCACTTCGTTCCTCTCCTGTAGCTGCGTCTTAAGTGTCTTTTTTATGTTCACAATCTGTTCAAACATTCAAACAACAAGTTACAAATTAATAATCGATAAGTATCGTCGATAGTTTTGAAATTAAAATGCAACTTACCTCTTGTTCAATATCAGTTTTTCTTTGGACATTTTTGTTCTTTTCATTGTTAGCGCGATGAATTTGTGTCTCTACACAGCTCAAAACTCCATCACAAGCAGATGACCATTCTTGTAGACAGTTGACGATAATGTTTACATCTTCAGGGCGAATGTCTCGACCTATAGCACAGTCAATTTCTAAGTTGCTGTTTTTCTGATCTAGTTTTCCTTGGATAATGTCTAGAAGGAACAAATCAATTTATTTTTCTAACTAAAATCATCACAAGTTCCACAGTCAACCATCTGTAACATACCTGCATACACAGCTTCAATTATTAGATCTTCCAGGTCTCTGACATTCTTGATATCCAGTTCTTTTTGTAACTCTGAGTATGATAAACACTAAAATACAAGTAATTTTATAGAAATTAGTGATAATTACAAAAATTGCTTCTGAAGCTTACTTTTGACTGTGTGGCAAGTGTGACAATAGTCAAATGCTGCAACTTCTTCTTCTGTGCAGGAGTTAGTTCCAAATAGTCACTAGGCTTTGAAGTGTAGTCTTTATATGTGCCATATGCAAACAAATTCAATGTTTTGAGAGCTTTACTATCAGGGCCAACACCCAGCTAAGACACATAAAGCATTAAAAATATGGGGATATATTAAATGCACTTTAGTTAAAAAACAATCCACTTGAACAGCCGCACTTAAGTTTTCATACTTTGCACTAAGAAATTCATAGTATGCACTATAGATTGTATAACTTATATTTTAATACAATGCACTTATATATTCAGGTTTAAGCTTAAATTTGCTTTGAATCAACTTTTTAAATTGAAACTTTATAATTTGTGGTGGTTAGGTAGGGTACCTTGTTTGGTATGGCATGTAATTAAACAAACTTTATTTTTTCGATTTTTAACTTGTCAATTCATGAAATGCACTTATAATTAATGTTTGCACTTAAAAATACAGAACTGAACTTAAAAATAAATATTTGCACTTTGAAAAATGAATTCCACTTGAATAAAATGCTTTGCACTATGAAATTAATACTTTGCACTTATAAAACTTGCAGTATTAAGTACGTGCCGTACTCTTAGCCGGCCCCTTCTATCAACCGCCCCTCAAATAATACCAAACAAGGTAGCCTACCTAACCACCACCCCAACCCCCAACCACCCCCTCCCCCCAACCCCCAACCACCCCACAAATAATACCAAACAAGGTAGCCTACCTAACCACCACCCCCCAACCCCCACAAATAATACCAAACAAGGTAGCCTACCCCAACACCCCAACCCCCGACCGCACAAATAATACCAAACAAGGTAGCCTACCTAACCACCACCCCCGACCACCCCCTCACCATTACCCCCGACCGCCCCACAAATAATACCAAACAAGGTAGCCTACCTTACCACCTAACCACCACCCCAACCCCCGACCACCCCTACCCCCCGACCGCCCCGCAAATAATACCAAACAAGATACCCTACCTAACCACCACAAATTATAAAGTTTCAATTTAAAAAGTTGATTCAAAGCAAATTTAAGCTTAAACCTGAATATATAAGTGCATTGTATTAAAATATAAGTTATACAATCTATAGTGCATAATATGAATTTCTTAGTGCAAAGTATGAAAACTTAAGTGCGGCTGTTCAAGTGGATTGTATTTTAACTAAAGTGCATTTAATATATCCCCGTTTGGTATTATTTGTGGGGCGGTTGGGGTGGTCGGGGGTGGTGGTTAGGTAGGCTCCCTTGTTTGGTATTATTTGTGGGGAGGTTGGGGGTTGGGGGTGGTGGTTAGGTAGGCTCCTTGTTTGGTATTATTTGTGGGGAGGTTGGGGGTTGGGGTGGTGGTTAGGTAGGCTACCTTGTTTGGTATTATTTGAGGGGCGGTGGGGGGGTGATAGAAGGGGCCGGCTAAGAGTACGGCACGTACTTAATACTGCAAGTTTTATAAGTGCAATGTATTAATTTCATAGTGCAAAGCATTTTATTCAAGTGGAATTCATTTTTCAAAGTACAAATATTTATTTTTAAGTTCAGTTCTGTATTTTTAAGTGCAAACATTAATTATAAGTGCATTTCATGAATTGACAAGTTAAAAATCGAAAAAATAAAGTTTGTTTAATTACATGCCTAAAAATATTTTATTTTAGTTATTCATTTGAACAAAAACAATTCTTCTATGCGTACTTCTCGAAATCGCGTAGACACGTGCTTCTTATCTTTTACTTCTCCTATCACATCCAGTTTTTTCTTGCATTCCCAAACCGTTGAAACATTCGACCAAAACACAAATAACTAACATTGCGACTTTGCAGAAACCAGTCTCCGTGCAGCCGTCGCCAGTGATAGTGTTCGCCCGCAAAGACAATCCAGCACAATAACACACCAGCTAAATAAATAAGGTAAGCTGCATAAGTATCCATCATGCTTACGCTCGCGAAAATTACTGCAGATCCGGTGCATTTCGGTTTCGGAACATAAACTCTTCGAAATTCACGATTACCAATCCCAAACTCATCAAATTTCCGATAACTAAATAAAACAAACAATACAAATTAGTTAATACTAAAACCATTGTAAAATTTAATTATGTAAGCAGACCCATTCGCAAAAATCTCTTTGTACGGTGAAGTTTTCCTACAAGTTGTACATGGCGCTACTTTAAAATACTCAATTTCGCTAAGCCCACACTTTTCGGACTCAAGAAACTCTTGCTCGATGAATTTGTATATCACTGTAGTCTCGGCATGAAACGCATAGAATTCACTACGTATGCGTCGCACACCTTCCAGGGGGTTTATATAAGACGATGGTTTACCAGGAGGTGCGATTCTCTCTTGATAGATTTTCTGCATTATTGGTTCATCAGCTGCCTAAACATAAACATAATGTATATGTAGTTAAACATCACATAACCACAATTTGAAGCTTCTTATCATAAAATTTATACCAACCCGTAATAAAAACCTGGAATACGGCACATCTTCAACCCCTATCTTTATTTTCGAATTATACAACGCCTCCATGTTGTTTATATTATCACTCGTCGATTGCATCAATGTTAAAATATTCGCTGAATAAGCGATGAATAAAAATAACGTGGATAACAACATTATATAAGTGGCGATACGACCACCCAGACTACTCGGTTCGGCTTCCATCCCTTGCTGACACATTACACTGATATCCATGTGTACTAAATCAGCAAGTCTATTGTCCAAATCGGTCATACTCGTATTACTTTTTTGTTTTATTTCTGGCATACGTTTCTCCATATAAGTAATTATATAAAATGTGACAAAAAAGATAACCAAAATGGCGGCGCATGCCATCCATACATCCGGATTATACGGAAGCAGATAAATATTTTTAACACTAGATAAAGGAGGTGGTCGAAAGGTAAATGCCGCAGCAGTTGGTAATTTTTGATAAAAATTAACATAAGGTATGCGGTTTCTCAAAATAAAAATAGCAGAGGCTAAAAATTAATATTTTAAGGTTTTTTTTTAATTACCGCCAATTTTAATGTTAATATTTACCTGCAATATCAATAATCTCATCCTGATAGTCTTTCATCATACTCTTTTCAAAAGTACCATCCGGCCGCCCATAGCCCCACGTGTTGCTGTGGAACATATTCGGCGTGGCATTCACAAAATCAAACATGTGCATAGTTTGCGGGTAAGCAAACTTAAACACCGGATCGATGTGTTTCTCGCGCCCATCTAGTTGGTGATTAATAGTGGTAGGAAACGTCATCACCGCCGTACAATTCATCACCACCTTGCGCAAGTCTCTTCGGTGTCTTGCGTCAGACAAATGTGTAAAATTCAGAAACTGCTTATACTGGTTAACGTAAGCCACTAAGTTTACTATATAACCAATATGGGGTAATTTATAAACAGAAGTTATGTTATATCCTGTTAGTTGCGAGTAAATGTTGGGTATTTTAGTTTTTTCAATGATATAAACTCGAGATGATACTGGTAGAAATAAATTTAAGTCTTTTAGTAATGAAAATGGCGGTAATGTTTGGTTATGTTCTAGTTTTGACGTTTTGAAAAGAATCCATGTTAATGGTGCTAAGTAAGCTCCTGTATTGTTCGCCTAAATTATAAAAAAAAGTTTCAAACACTCATTAGTAATAATTTAATACTCTTACGATAGTTAATATTCTCTTTGCTTCAATTTCACAAGATAAATCCACAAAAAACGCAACATCTTCCTTTATCTTTAAAGTTTTCTTCCACTCGTATAATTCTCTATCTGTAAAACTTCGCGTAGCAATATTTCCTTTATGCAAAGATCTCGACAACTCGGCAAGTTGCTCTAAAACACGAGATTTACAAGAAAATCTTATACATATTTTTGTGTAGTGTTATTATAAAGTTTTAATGTACTTTTCGTCCAGCAGGTGTCGGTGATGTGCAACGTGAGAGGTTTCCGTAGTTTCGCGAGCAATCCGACGAGAATTTTCGCGTCTTCCGCGTGGAAATTTACTATTTTCGCATTGTCAACCGCGTTATCTGCTGCAACTTTTCCCGCGACAAGAATAAGCAGGTAAGTCGATAACAAATGTTTTAATTTTATCTGTGGGATTTGCATCGACATTTTGTTTTGCAATAACTTCAGCTTTCAATAGTGGAGTAATAGAAAATGTTGGAGAATATATACTGGTATAAAACAGTAGTAATTTAAGAAATAAGGGTAAAATCATAGGTTAGATAATTGTAAAATTACAAAAGTACAAAATTATATACTAACAAGTCAATATTTTTTAAATTAACGTGCAAAATCACGTTTTTCTTATATTTCATTTTCAAAATTTAATATTACACTAATATTAGAAACAATACAAAAAGTGTTTAGGTACTTATCAGCTATATAATATCAAAAAACTAAAAATAAGCATTACTTCAAAAGGTAAAAGTAAAAACAAAATATTAATCAGTAATTCATAATTAAACCTGAGCGTATACATTGTTTCATTGTCATTATTTTAATGATTCGCAAGCGTTTGTTAATTTTTATTTTATCGTAAATATTAACATGAAATGGTATTCAACGGATCTGTAAACTGATGGTCGTTGAGCAAATATTTTAGGTCATTAGAAATACCGTCCATAACTTCATCCAATGCAGGATTACTTTCCGATTTTATTTCGGCACTCGGACGCGTATCACACTCACACGTATTCAATTGATTCGGTAACGCACGCGCGCTGGAACACTCTTGATTACTCGCGCACTCAGTCACTGGTGGTGGAGAAATCGAAGTGTTGTACTGCACTTGATCGCAAAACTTAACACACTTATCACGTTTGACAACACTGCTAACACCCGAAGTGTCATTGAGTGTCAATTGTTTAGTCTTCATCGGTTTATCGATCAACTTGTCGATGTTTTCGTCAATATGCGCGATGTTATTAAGATTTCTTAATTGTTTATCGGAACTATTGTAGTAGTGTTGTGGTGAAGTATTTTCCATCGCGCTGCTGCTCTGTAAAGATGATGCGACGAGATCTAACTCGGCGAATACTTTGGTGCCCAAAATATCGGGTGAGTTCAGAGAATTTGAGTTGACTACAGCTGATGATGCAGAAATGGCGTTGTATTGGGTTGGGGAAGCGTTGTATTCTTCGATTTCCGGTGATTGTTGTGACGATTCAAGTGTAAAGTCAATATTATCACCTGAGAAATTTTTAATAATTTTTTTAAAATATTTTATACACGTGTAAAAAATGGCGGTGGTACCAAAACAAAATAAACTACTACTCACTGGGTAAACAAAGACAACACTCCTACAAGTTTGTATGATGGCGCGTGATGTGCACATTCGGACACAGGATAAACTGATCTATAACACATGCAACTAACATTACACAATTCTACTTAATCTACAAACAAAACAAACGTTTTTAATAGTTATCAAATACCAGAATTGGAAAAATCATGCGCATTCCATTATCTCCAAAAGAATTTCCCCTAACTTACATTTATTATGTGATATATGATGCCCCTTGCCATCTTTACTACCTTTATTGGTAGGGTCCTTTTCTCTCGCATTGGTACCGCTGCTCCCACGACGGTTAAGCCTGTCCCAGAAATATTTTCTGCTCATGGCGCGCACTTTAAACACGAGGCACAGCATAATAATCACGCCCTGCATCGATGATGATAGAAAACAGCCGGAACAGAGAGAAAATAACGCTTGTTAGACATTTTTTTTCAGTGAGGCCGCTCGTAAATTACGGGTTATTACCATAAATATCGACGTAGCGGCGAACGCGTACTGCCAGATGATTTCCTCCGGGTGGTTCACGCACGCCACCGATGATCCTGCTGAAATTGTGACGATCGTGAAGATTAGCGTTGATTTTGTCATCATTGTCGAGCTGAAATTTATACAATTTAATATTAGTTATTACAAAGAAAGAATACTAAAATTTATATTCTTACCGATTGCTTAGTATCTTGTCACTTTTAGTTTTGTCAGTTTTTAATAATTTCGAGACCAAACAGCAGAGAATAACGTAAAGTATAAAAACAATCGCGATACACACGATAAACATGTAGAATGAAAGCGTATCGCGTACAATCCACCAATGCACTAACGAAATATCTTTGATATTATGTGTGAGATGATTGGCAAAGACTGCAATCACTGGTGCACCGGTAATGATGCCCACTACTGTGGGTTTGATACTGGTGATCTGCTGCATCTCGATGAGATCGGTGTAAATGATCAAAAGTGTACTCAGTTGCGACGACAGCGCCATCAAGTAGAAGATCAGCAAACATGATAGCACGTTCAAATAGAAACGCTGTCAAAAACATAACCAAGTTTGTAGTATAAAATATTTACGTTAAAATTAAGTTTACCTTAGAAATACTGTCGGAGAATCCAAAAATAAAACATAACATACACGCGGCCAGTGATAAAGCACATTGTGCTTTGAGAAAAGTCATTGTAGATTTATGACGGATCCAACTTAGTACAAGTAGTATTCCTGAAATGGCACATGCGACTGCGCAAACAGCACATCCTACTAAAACAATGTCATCACAGGCTGTTAGATGTAACTCGGCTCGCTCACTTTGCACATCATCCACGAGTAGAATAGTCATAGTACCCTCCTCGTCGCATTCACAGCGTACGCTTGAAGTATTTTCACTGAGAATACGACATTTGTATGCATTCCACACATAATCAGAGGCTGCGTACTCTGCTAGTACACATTTAACCACTCCTACAGTCGGTCTAGTATTGCTATTTATTGGTAAATCTTCTGAGTTTGTTTTTTGGGTACCCGAAGTTGAACTTTCGCTTAAAGACAGCGATAAAGTCAATGCATCAAGTGTATTGTCACTTAATCGGGTGTGTTGATGACGAAAAACGGTAGATATACGCTTGTCGGTTTTTAATGATGGTTTATGGATGTGTGTTGATCCGGCAGATGGCGTTGATGTTAGGGGCGTGTTCAGGCGCCATATTGATGTCACTCCAGCGAATAATTCATATTTCATTTCACGATCATCGCTGTAACTATAATACACATTCAAGAAAAAAAATCAAAATAGCCGTTTGTGAATCTTCATAACTTACTTTAAACGTATCACTGATTTTTTAGTTAGGAATTCATATAAATTTCGATAGTCGACCGAAATTACTCGTGTGGAACTAAGTCGATTACTGCAAATGTTTAAAGTTTAAAGTACAGTTTTTAAAACTTTTAAAAAGATTATCTCTAGTGACTTACGAGTCGATTTCAATAGTAGCCTGCAGATTGTGCAAAGATTTCCGATAGGCGTGTCTTATATGTGGTGCAAGAACCATTAATTGATTGCGTACCAACTGCTGTAGAGTTACTACTTGCTAATAATAAAAATATATTGAGTTTGTGTTTAAAATAAGGTTATGTAACTTAAAAGTTACCTGTTCCTTGTTGAGAGATACATTTTGTGCCAAAATGGCGTCGACGATGTCAAGCACAACGTCAGTGATGGCTTCGTGATCAGAGTAGCCAAACGATGCGTTGTTGAAACTCACCACGCGTTCGACATGCTGCAATATCACTCGCCCTTCGCCCCTTAAGAGCTTTTCGGCGACGACGTACCGTTTGATGTTTATCAATGTCTGCAGCGGCGTGGTGGTCGCATATCCTTCCACGAGATAGCGAAACTGAAATTGCAAAATCACGAAAACGGAAATGACGTCAAGGCATACGTCATCTTGCACTTGATGAGATGTGATTGGATAGTAAGAAACTCTTTGTACATAATAAGAGTTTGAAAAAAAACGCAAAGTTCTGCGGTAGACAAGTTTTCAAATCTAGAGAATGTTCTAGTCGCAGTCGATACTGGAATGTTTGAGTACGTAACCTCAAAGTGAAAATTAAGGTGTTTGCAGGCGTGGTTTACTGACAGTTTAAGTTAGTTTCGGATAGTTTCCGATTACTTACGTCGCGTAAATGTTGTATCAGTTGATGGCGGGTGCAGTTCGAGTAGTCTGGCGGCAACCAACGCGGTGCGCCGTTCTCCAACATGATACAAGCACGCGTCGCCGCTCCATAATATCCGTCCGGACACTCCAGCCGGCAATCTCCTCCGGTCGCCGTCTCCGGCCAGTCGTACTCATCTAATCGCTCAGTCGGGCACGGATGCGCCACGCGTTTATCGACTACGTGCACCAAAATCTTCGATTCACTCGAAAGCTTATCCAGATGCGCCAGGCATGAGTACCACGTTGATTTCTAGCACACATCATAATAAATCCAGAATGCAACCAACCACAAATCAAAAATGAAGCACTCACATTTAATCCGGCGACTTGCAGTATACTACCGCCCGGATATAAAATCTCATAGTGTTCTGTCTCCGTTTTGATCGGTAGCAGGCTCTTGTCTTTCGTCCAGGAAAATTTATATTTCTCGCCGAATGTGGCAAGACTGATGCATGTGATCGTAAACGGTTGACCCTGCCAAATGCGTTTCAATAATTCAAGCATCAAAAATATAAAAATAAATTTTTAGTTTTTTTTGGTTAGATTGTAACTTTAAGTGATTGTATGCGGTGACATACTTTATCGACGGTGAGACTCGCCGGTTCGAGTTTGATCTGGGGCTGATAGTTCATCTCAACCTGCAGTGAACGACACTGCTGCACGCCGTAGTCCTCCACGTGGCACGTAAACCGACCGCGGTCGAACCGCGTCGATTTTTGTACCACCAGCAGCGCGGTGTAATGGTCCGTGTTGCTGCGACCTTTCGATATGAGCTCTTCCCATTTATTTCTTGCAAAAATAGTCATAGTATAATAAAAAAAATGGCCGCCCAAGATAAAAACACTAAAATATTGGAGTGGTTCTAAACTGACGTCGTTATTCTAACCTCAATTGTGTGCTATTTTTAGAATAACTGATATAAAGTTATTTATTACTTACTTGTTGGCCCTGGTGAGATTAACTAAATATCCGTTCATAAACCAGCGGAATATCATGAAGCGTGAACCGCGTGCGGTGCAAGAAAGCACAAATTCGTCACCTTCGCTGATTACGCCATTTTTATCGATTGCTATGTTCTGAATATTTTTTATAGAAAATAATTAAATTGGAAATATTTTGTGGATATTTTGAGAATTTACCTCTAAATATAAATAGGGTTCAGTCTTGACAAGAATGTCCTTTTCGGTGAGGACATAATGCTTATCGTTGCGAGCGTATTGCGCTCGGCCCCATTTGCGTATCGTGCTGCGCACCAACTCGTCCTGATATTTCGACGCGTAGAAGCGTAAAGTCACGTCGGTTTCGTTATTTGCAGTTCTGAAACAAACAAAACCCAAATATTATCTTATTATCACCAAGGGAATAATATAAATTTATCAAAGTCAAAACTTTTAATATTTGCTTTATTGTCGTATTTTTTGAGTGAAAATTGTTTAATATTTTGGCTCCGGTAGATAATCTCGTGGATTATTGCGTGTAAGCGATGCCATTATTAAAAGTATAATTTGAATTTGGCATTTTCCGGTTTATGCGCGCTTGTCGTAGCTTTGAAGCCACTAAACAATTGAAACTTTTTTAATGTGGAATTCAAATTTTCAAATTTTAAGCCGCGCGCCCGAAATCCGGCAGCGCTCTTGGATTAATATGCCCGGAGAAAAATTATGCGGAATTAAAGCAACACCAAACAGAGCACAAAAAAGACAAATTACAAAAAGAGGAAATGAGGATAATAAGAAATGGAAGTTAGAGGTAGCATGAAACAGAAATAATGAAGGTAAAACGAAAAAAATAAAAATAAAAGAAAAGAAAATGAAATAATGATTTAAGTTTAAAGTTCAATGTTTTTTCTTCTTCAATTTTTCTTATTTATGATGCATGCATTTAAAGTAACAAATAAAATTCTTAAAGAATTTGTATTAAACTGATTAAAGAATGTAAATAGAAGAGGAGTTTTTTCTTTTCTTTTTTGTATTTTTTTCGATGACGTGTTGGCGGTTCTCACGTAATTTCACGATGCTAAAGGGTTATCGTTCAGCTGCCAGGCCACCATATTGCCTTGACGCCATTACACCTTTTTGGTTATATAATATCATAAGCACGTCTAGGGTTCAGCGTAAAGACAAGGAAAAAGCTATAGGATGTGGCGAGTGCGGCGTTTATAAAAAAGAGAGACGTTTATTTAACGTTTTAAAGGGATTTGCGTCACTTTGAGTTTGCCGGAGGAAAGGAAAGCGAGTTGGGATGAGGGTAATATCGGTGTAGGTCGGGTGGGAAAAACCGCGGATACTGTTACAACATTTTCAGCGTTTAAGCCAAAATGGAAAAGGTAAAAGTGTTGGAAATTTTGTTTTATTTCTCTCACCTTGTGTTTAAGATAATAGAAAATTGTTTTTGAAAAAGTTTTTTGCAATAAAATAAATTAATTTGAACACACGCACAACTAATGAACACAAAATACGATAAAAGATTATAAAAGATGTCGAACAGAATTCAATGGGGTTTCGCCTTCTAGGCTCAATGGAGACAGGAAGCTAATTTGTTTCCGAGACGTTCGGGCGTTTAATCAATGTGCAGTTTAAAGCATGGCCGCGATACCGTCACCACACCACACCGCCGGTCGCCCCGGAAGGCGGAAAAACAAAGAGAACGAAAAGGGACGTACGATATTCGGCGCTCTCGTAATGACGGAATAACGTAACGAAAACCTAGATTGTCCAGGGAATGTGGGACAAGGGTCTCGAGATGTAGAAGTAGAAGAGTTGGGGGGGCAACGATTAATTTATTTCAATCAATCGGCTAATTAAAAGTCTTTCGGTCGCCTTGCACGCCGGGAATTTTCTTATTCCGTATCTGAAGAAAGCTCAATAAATCTTCTATTTTTTCGAATTTAATTAAAAACATCGCGCTAAAAAATTACTTAGATGTTTAATTAATTAAATCAGAATAAAATCGATGCGCGTGAGAAAACTTGAAAAACTAATTGAACTTACGTGCTTGATATGATATTGACGTCGTCGATGTTACTGATGTTCACTTTCAGGGTATCCAGCATCTGAAAAGGGAATTATTTTTCAAATTACTAATTACACTTTATATTTAATTAATTTTTAATTAGCTAACAACTCATTTTATAGTTTCAGGTAGCTAATTTTTACTTAAAATTAAAATTAAAACGAAAAACGCTAATTAAAAATGATAAAAAATGTAAAATTAGGTAACTTTTCATTAAATTCATTAAATTTTCACACCCTTAGGAGTTTCCTTCATTTTTTTTTAAATATACAAGCACACGCGGGTTGTAATTCAATATTAATTGGTACTCTTGGGGTGCAATTTGTCGGTTGGGTTTCTTTTTCACTCCTTTCAGTTTAGCCACTTATGTTTTCTGAATAGAAACGTAGGCAACACTCTATACTTTCCATATTGTTAACACCTAACCTATTTTTAGAACTTTTTATGCGTGTAGAGATTTTTCTCGAAGGGCAAAGTCTAGACTTTAAAAATCACGCTATTTAATTTGAGTTTTTCTCGGGTTTTTTATAAGGGTAGAATGTAAATATGCGTAGGACACGTGGAGAAAATTCAAGCTTTATGCCGTCCTGTGCAAACAAGCAACCCATCATTATTCTCATTATAAGAAGCAAGAGGTACAAGCGGCAAAAAAACATTGTAAATAAGGTATGCAACCACACGAACGTTTCTAGTACTCTTTTAATAAATAAATGAAACCGGTGGAAATTGAATTAAACATAATTGTATAATAACGTAATTAAAATCTTCCACGATTTTGCGTCTCTTGTAAGTTGTAAGTTATATAACTAGGTTAAAATATAGGTTACGTTTTGGGAGTATTGTTGGTTGCATAACATAATTCAACCACTTGGTCTGTATTTGTGGTTCTGATTTTTATGAGAATAAGAATGAATGTTATTCAAAATTCAAGTGGAAAACTATATCACATAAATTTATTACGAATTTATTATTGTGCGGTGGCCACGAAATCGAAATACTCCTCAGGTTCTCGTACGGTTTTGAGAGGGGAAGAAAATCGTCGAGGAAATAATAAAAAAAGACGAAGTGGTCATAAAGTGCTCACCGGCGAATAAATCATGCGACATAACCTCGTTACATACTTTCCTATTTTTCTACGCTCAAAAATACATACAAGGTGTTGCAGAATGATGAAAATTTTAATAAAAACTCAATAATTTAAAAAAGTTCTTTGTTTAGCAAAGAAAAGAAGAAAATAATGGAGATTTGAAGAAAATATTTAATTTATGAAACAAAGATGCGAATGCAAAATAAAAGCAAAATGTGTTTTTAGCCGAAACGCGTTGAAACTTTCCGTGCAAATTTGAAAAGTTTGCGGATCTGCATCGCGACTGACAGCTCGAAAGTTTTTTATTATGCGAGGTCGCGACTTCAGTGACAAACAGACATCCTAAATCAATGCGCACCCTCCAAATTCTCGTTCGGTTTTTATTTTTAGACTATAGTCTTGACTTTCCACAAAAAAAACTTCGAATAAGTCGCAAATTTCGTCCATACTGTCAAATTAATCAATGATTGATCTATTTTTTACTTTAAAAAATCTAAAAATAGAATATTTTGCATATATACACAAAAAAATATATAAAATAAAAGACATTTGCTGAATAATGAAAATACAACACTCGTAAAACGCATAAAACACTAAAAGACAGCCCCGACCGAAAAAACCTCAAAAATAGGGGTAAAAAGAAAAGCACTCGCAGTGCTATATCGAGACATGTAAAGCTAATAACTCATCCACACGTGAGATATTTTTATAGATTCGCGCCAAAGATAATAATGAACTTCGGGTTGAAAAAAAAGGCCGGCCGACAAAAAATCAGCGCAATAATAAAATATACACGATATATAATGCGGATAGCACAATATGAAATGCGTGCGATGCATATAAAAAAATGAGTAATGTGGAGGTCGTGCGTGTGCAAAATAATTGCATACTAATCACAGAATAAAAATGCAAAGAGTATAAAATTTTTCTCTTTTTTATTTTTTATTTTTTTAAATTTACTTGGCACTTAAACCACAACTCAAAACTTTAACTTCACTACTGTTTTTAGTTTTAATATGATTTTCATACGATGTCATTCAGTAATAATTGCATTCCGAGATGTACAAATGAGTGTACAAATTAATGTCGGCAAACAAGAGCGCCCCAGCACTAGCACTCCACTCTCGAAACGTGTTTGTCGCTCGAAAACGATGCGCGGAACTACTGTGTAAATACGCCACGATAAACACACTCGTGCTGTTCGTTTTGCCCCTCTGTTTAGCACTCGAGTTGTGCAATTCCCTCGCGTTTCACAGGACGCGCACACAGGACCTTACAACTCTCCTCGGGCGTCCTTCGCCATCTTCACTGTTCGTTTTTTATTAGGTTAGGTCAGGTCTATACAGGTTATGTTGAAGTAGTATTTACTTACAAATAAAATAACAACATTTGTAATACACGTGCGTAGCGTGTGGATGAGATTGGAATGCGGGCGGAATTACGAAAAAGCTTCAAGTGGCTATAGACGAGGAATACTACTAGCGTTATTGGTTTATCTGGTTGCTTTTTCGCTCCCTGATCGTTCCTTGGGTAAATATTGCGCGAATAAAGTGCAAGAGTTACTACAAGAGTTGCCTACGTGAGTGCAATTGAGTAAACTGAAAATTGACGTTTCCAGAAGTAAAAAAAGTATTCACTCATAAGAGATACAGGGTGTATAGAAATACTTACATTGTGTTTTAATATTTCACGCAGTTCGATCTCGCTCAGTTTGCTCTGCACGAATATCCTGCTAGAATAACCAATGGATTCTGAAATTTAATTAAGCATTAATTATGTATTATTCCAGTAAAAATTAATTAGTGAATATAAATAATAAAGGGTCATAAATTGAGAAGTAATGCAATTAAAATTAAAACAATTAGTGGAAAATATTGTTAGTATCAATATTAATCTTCAATATGTGCAGCAATAAATTAATATTTATTTCCGAATATGAATTTTTGATTAAAAATATTTGTGGTGCGTTTCAAATAATTGAAATTAAAGCTTAAAAATTAATTACCATTAATAGCTTGGAGATTATTGCTCGACTTTCCGGTGCACTGACACACGTCCTCCATTGTGCCGTTGAACTTGCAGGAAATTAAACATTCTGGATCGCTCCCACAACCTGCAAAACAAAATATAAATATAAAAGGATCGAAGTTGAAGTAGACATTAAAATTGGTTATGTTCATAACACCCATTGTATTTTATTTCTGTTTTTGTGCACATATACTAAATTTAGATTTAAATATCCTGTTTGGCAGCGAGCACAAAACTTTCGAGGATTTTAATCGCTTTTATTTGTTTTTATTCCCTCCAAACACAAATTCAAAATAAAATGGAATAAAACAAATACAAACTACGATTGCAATCAATTAAAATGCAAATATACCTTAATTTATTATAATAAATTGCATTAAAAAATAATAAATTACAGAATTATGTGTAAAAACACTCGGTATAAATGATAAGTTTTAGAGTCAGTAGCTGCATCACCACAGAAAATGTATTATCGTGTAAATCTACCCGCATTTAACACTACGCAAACATCGCCAGCATGAAAACGCAACCATAACAACTGAAATTGTGGAACGCGGCGTGGAAAACCACAAAACGACTACATTTACAAATATGTACAAGTTGCACACGCGCACGCTATATATATTCATGCATGAATGTTTGCGTGTCTCGTGCAATGCTAGACGAAAACATGATGTTTATGTTTGTGTAATGTTGGTTGCCTATTTATATGTACATGATGTACTATCCAAAATAAACATTTAAATGTGACAGCATTGCTGTTGCAATGAATGAACAAGTGTGTACATAGCACACAAGTTGGATGGATGTAGCGTATGAATTCTATGAATGAAATTAACAAAACCATGTGGCAATTGTGCGCGTCTCGTGAAAATTAACAACATGTGGAAATGCGTAAATTACAAATTACTACCGGAAAAGGGAAAGTTCTAGTATTTATGATGGTAATCCCAACGCAAACTATAAAATCATATACAGGGTGTTTCAGGTTTTGTTTAATTGTAAAATTTAATAATAACACTTGGTATATTATTATTTTAATTGATAGGGAGATATTAATAGAACATAATTAATAATTGTCGGGATAGTTAGTGATGGTGTGGTGGTTAGTGGTCGGTGATAGTCACAAGCAACGCCAGCCGCAGGTCGATTAATCGACATTTGTCGAATGCCAATGGCGATGTGCGGGCGAGGGTGTTCCTAACCTGTCAGCCGAAATCTATGTAAATCGACGGCTCGGAAAGGTGACGTCGGTCTTAAACTCAAATCGCCTTATATTATTAACCTCTCAACCTTATGAGACTATTAGAAAACAATAATCTGCTTTAATTTAATGGAAATAACGCCATCTATACACGACAAGTTCAAATTTTAGATAATTTTGAGGTTAAATTAAAATTAAAATGTTTTTTGGGTCAATTTGATATATATGATCTATTTGGTTGAGTGTATCATGATTCCATAGCTGAATTATAGCTGAATTCGAGTAAATCACAGCAAATCAAGGGAATGAAGAGAATGAATAACTGGAAACCGTGCCATGCGTTCGGTAGTAATCGAAAATCGGAACACATGCCATGAATGACATCGGCATTCGAAATTCGGGTGCTGTAGTAGCGCGACCCTCACCATCTGTAAGCCCTATCACGATAATGCATTACTCAACTACAATATGTCGTTAGAATACATCGTTTATTATTATTACCTATATCATAACAGAAAACTATAAGAAAAACATTATTGATCAGTGTTTTCTTGAAATTTCAATATTTGGTTACTATAGACAACACTTTTTACATCAAAGCGTGATGGTTTTATTAATTTCTTCTTCAGACATTTTGTAGTTAAGTAAAATTAGTGTACATTAATAATAACTGTTCAATTTGTGCGAAATTCATTGTTTTCATGCAAATAGCTTATGACTTGAAAGCATTAAGTTTAAAACAACAACTTTTCAAGCAAGAAACTTTTAATAACTTTGATTTTAATTTGTCGTCATAATAAATTTCTGTTTTCTTAAAAATGTACAAAATTTTTAATACTTTCAAGAGACTTATCGACATATTGTAATAATGAAGATTTTGCCAACCCTGCGTGTTCAGTGTTCACGCTTTCAGTCCCATTTTAACTTTGCTCGAATCCATTGACGTCTGAGGGTCTCAACCGAATGTTGAACGCAGGGTGTGTTTGCTTAGTGACTGGCAATTAGCAAACTCGCGGAATTTCATTGCTGGCCCAGCAGCCGGAAAGAAAAGTTGGAAAATTTCCATCCGACCGCTCGCGAACTATCGTAATCTAATGAAATGTAATGACATTAATACTTCCGCACAATCCGGACTCAGCCAGACCCTCAAATAAATGAGGCTAATAAACTATCCATACAGAAAGGGCGTGGCAACTAGTCAACAACCAACATATTCAAATATTTAATTTTTCTTCGATGTGAAAAAGTTGAAAACTTTTGTAATAGAATTCTGACAGTGATGATTGATGCATCACTGGGAAATCCTCAATCGGAAATAGAGATTTATTACGACTTATCGATGTTGACAAATTGCAAAGCTACAATTTCCGAAATCTATTTTTAATTTCCATTTAAAATTAACTTGCAATTTAAATTTTTGATCTTTTTTAAGCTTTAATGTTCAATTTGGTGATTTCCCTTTTCAATTTTCAATTGTCGGTTTTCGACTGAAACGAGAATAAATCAATCCGCCGATCTGATGAATATCCTTGCGTCCGCAATCCTCATATTTCTATGAATATTTAAGTGATTATTCAATTATTCATCGCCCACGTTAAAACTCTTACAATCCATCCAAACCTTCATTTATTCTCTTTCATTCATACAAATCTAATTTTGATTTGAGCGTTTGATGTTTCAATTAAGATTTGCACGTTTTTAAAACGTATTTGTTTGCGTACAAACTCGTTTGCGTTCTGTACATAACCTAAGCAATGGTATTGCGCACGCATGAATAGGCAACCCATTAACGACCTCGCGCGTGTCGTTTGTTATTGTTTTGAGTAGCGCAGGGAGAAAAAACGCACACCAAACGGAAACCGAAAAAGAAACGCCTGAACTGGTTCTCGCATTGCTTGCCTGAGTGTGTGTGTGTGTGTATGAAACGTCGAAACGGATTTGCAAAAGCTGAAAAGCTAAAAGCACGCAGAAATAACGCTCAAATACATCGCCGAAGCGTTCGCTGAAAGCAATCCGTTTCGTTATTTATCCGCAGCGCGTCGCAATCGATGCGTTAAAAAAGAAATTGCAAAAAATGTCAATAATTAAATGAAAATATTGATTAAATTTGCTTACGGCACACAAACAATACAAGTTTTACGATTTTATGAGTGTACGATATAAATATGAAAGATTAAAAGCATGCAAGCACACAATACACAATGTTGCGCATTGTAACCAAACCCAGGATACATAAATAAATATTCTAGTATGCAAATAAACACAAAACACAATGAACAGCGAATTAAATCCGGTGTAAAACACTCCGAAGCTTAAAATATGCCGTTGCTGTGTTTTAAATGGCAGATGGGCGACACGGATAGCAGAAGGATGAGGGTAAAAGGTAAAATATGTAAATATGTATACATTACCGGTGGTTGGGGCGATGTCCTCGTCGCGTATTTCGCAAAAGGAGCCACGAAAACCAGGCGGGCAATCGCACACAAACGCTGTGTGTCCTGTATGTCTACAAATAATTTAAAAAATTAAATTTCAGTTAATATTTTATCATAAAAATAATTTTTTTTGTTTTAATCAATAATATTTCATCTTAAGGTAAAAGAATCGTTAGAAACTAAACTGTAGACGACAGCTTGTAATTAAAAACGATGTTTTCGGTTGTGAAAGCACAAAACATAATAATAGTGTTTACTCACAAGCATTCAGCGCCATTTTCACACGCTGGCTGACCATTCACAATGCACTTTGATTTCGGCCCTTCTGAACATCTCCTGCCCCAGAAACCCGGAAAGCAATCGCATTTGAAGTGCCTGAAACACAATAACCAGAGACAATCACTAAGAATTCACATACTATAATAATAGACAAACAAATAAAATATATTTAATGAATGTAAGGTTGCCTATATTAAATATAATTAGATTAAAGGTTAGTGACGCATAAAATTGTTGCATTCGCGCATGAAATTTAACGAATGAGGTAGTTTTGAAATTACGACCTCGACGCACTGAAGTGCAGTGCAGTAACAGATTTAATGTCGTTTGGGGATTGAAGACGCTGTCTAATGCGCTTAATTAATAATTAAAGATGCTTATCAAACGCCACGCAGCATGCGCTTGGAAACAAGCCGACGTCATCAAAACGAAATGTTTCATATGCAAGGTAGTAAAATGCGTTTTACGATCCGAAATTAAATTTCACTCCAAAGATTAAGATTATGATTAAGAGTTTGAGGTTAGGACTTGTATAATTTGACAGTATAGACAAAAATCCATCACTACGAAATTCTCACGAAACTCTTGACCATTCTTAACGAAATGAATAAACTTTTAACGCCGTATCCATTATCCTTTTAACCCGTACGCGTTAAAAGCATTCTTTCTATTTCGGGAGTAGGGCTAAAAGAGTAAAAGTAAAATTAAAGTTGAGGCTGAGCAAAGTAGCGTAAAAAAGGGTTTGTTTTGGTTTTCCGCGCGTATCCTTCCTTTCTTGACTCTGCAAAACACCCACCAACAACCACGTGATATAAAAAGAGTTTTACGAGTTTTTGCAAGTATTTAGAAAGTTTGTTAATCCGGGCAAACAACGCAAAAGTGAAGGCGTGGAAATAAAAATGTGAGTTAAAAGCGTAGACAAAACAGTAATAGTAAATTTACGTGTACTACCCGCGAAGCAAGTAAAAAGGATTGAGTTTAAAGTGGTCGTTGTGTTGTGGTTTTTAGTACTGCGGCAAACTTTCAGCGGAAATTGTTTTAAGTTTTAACAGTTTTAATTTTAAGTGTTTACACAAAACACGCTAAAAATTACTTACACAAAATCATCATAGCAATAACCAGTGAATCCACAAAGTTTCATCGAACATCGATTTCTTCTCTCCCTCTGCGTGGTAATCTCATAGGTAATATTAAACCCGTAGACATTGAGTAGGCCATCCAGGACTCGCAGATGCGTGCTCTCGGTTCGATCCAGTTGAAAGTCCACCACCACATATTCCTTTTCGATGAAAATGTACGTCTTGTTACTTGTAACTGCCTCCTCGTTCAGTGTAAACACACGTCTTCCTTCTAGACGATAGTCATACGCATCTTTGCTCTCATATTCCACGACTTTCAACCCCTCGTGGACGTACACCTGCGTGAGGTAGATCTTGATACTGAGGGACTCATTACGCATCATTGCATCGCCGTAGGTTTGCCGCACGTGTTGTGCATCAATATGCCATTGGCAGTGGATAGGCGTGTTGAAAACTTGTGGAAAGTTCGGTGTGGAAATTACACCGCGTTGGGCTGTGAGGGCGCCACCGCATACTGGTCGCCATTTTGGTGAGGAGATTACAACTGTAGGTAGTGGAAGAAACAGGAACAATACCAAAATGTGCAGCATTTTTGATGATATTAATCTGAAAATATAAAAAGGGTATAAAATTATAAAGTTTTATAGACGTCATGTTTGTTATTAGTTATAAACTAATGTGAAATGTTACACTTGTGGATTATCGCGTTGGTATGACCCAGGCAGGCGTCACGAGTGTAATCTATGAGTTTAATTATAAAGTTTTTTTAATGCGCGCGATTTTAGTGTCAAAAAGTTAATTAGCTTCCCCTTTTACATTGGGGCTTATTTTTCGTTTACTTTACGTTTCTACTAATATAGTCTATACAGAGTGTTTTAGACAAATATTTATTTTGTTATTTGTAGTGATGTTTAGTATTATGTACGGAATTAATACAGCATCCTACAGGAAATGAGGGATTTCGAAGATATCCTTTGAAGTTTAAACTTGAGGGGGTGTTTAACAGACTTTAGGCTTTTCGTTTGATGTCCGTCCAGTTTAACACTCCGAGAATGTGTTTGCGCACGTTCGCTACGTTTTGTTGAGAAGAAATGCAAAAAAACGGAGTGGAGTAAATCGAAAAAGAAAAATACAGACAAAAAACAGATGAAAAGGTGTGTTTGCATGTTTAATTTGCTTTGCAAGGACTACGCTTCTATTCGTTTGATCATGTGAGAGCAAACTAAATATTTATTACTTAAATAAATGTAAATATTCGTAAAGTTGTGTTATCAAAAGAGGAAAAATGCAAAAGTTGTAGTTATGCACTAATTACACGAAAACTAATTACACGTTAATTATAATTCTGTCACTACTGAATTCTCAGACATATTTTGCATTGAACCGAAAAAACTGTTTGTTATTCAGATAATTTTACGCCAAGTTATAAGCAATTAAAGTTTAATTTGAAAAATTTAATAATATTTTTACGAATTGCTCTGTAACAACTAATTAAAAACTGTTATCAATGAAATCCGTTTGTAAAATACTTTCCAATTTTATTCTGAATAATTTTCTGAAAAATTCATTAATTTAAGTTAATTACTTCGGGAGTAATTTATATTTAAGTCAACACAAGATAATTTTCTTAGTACCGCCATCTATAAGTAAATAAATATACTGAAACACAACATAAACTTGATTATAATTGCGCTTCTGCGAACTATAGTCGTAATCATCGTACAATTCATCAATCAGTCGTCTTCCGCACGCAATAACCCAGGACTAACGAAAGATACCACACGACAATTACTGCACAAATATTGACGATGACGCGACGTACTGCCGAACACGAAAACGAGATGTCAAACCGCACAACCAAAACGCAAACAATAATCACTCAGAAACACGACTTCGATATTCCCACAAATAGTATGAGCACACGGAACCTTCGTTGTCCTGCAAATATGCAATTTGCATGTCTATGCAACGCATTCGATTTACATAACCGCAATTACACTCAATTACCTTTATTAATTCTGTAGTAAATCTAAATCTTGGAAAGGATTCGTAGCGAATTGAATTACTTAACGAACTCAATTAATCACACACTTTCTAGTAAATGTAGAATTTAGAGTTGAGTTGAGTCGAGAGTTCACATTAATGTGTGTTGGAGTGTTTGCTGAGTTGGTTGCCTAGTGTTGAATGAAATCTTTGCGCCAATTGCCCTAGTCACCAGAGGCACTGGCATACTTCGACACCGAAAGTGTTCTAACTTTTCACTCCGTGCATCATCCGACGCGCGTCTTTAGTGTTTAGTGTTCTAGAAGTTTGATTCGTACTTGGTACTTTGCACTTTGATTCCCATCGTCACCAGGTATTTACATTTTGCTTGATTATAACTATCAGCGTGTAATTTGTAAACTCAACTTTCGTATTTGATTAGTGAACAAATTTGCAAATAAATTGAATTAATTTTAATAACTTTTAAAGAAATATTTATTCATAAATAATATTAGTAATAATAAACAATTTGAATATTATTTTGGAAATGAATATTGCCGTTTTCCAATTAATAATCCATTAATACGAATAGGAATACGAATGATTTGGTAGTAATTATATTTACATTCGAAATATTTCTGTTCAGGGTTGGTTTGTTTTGGAGTGCATTTAGTGCAGAGGACAACACTTTGTATAATCAATGTTTGGCGATAATAATTGCCCTGATGGAATATGCATGTCGACCGAAGGGCGTTTTCGGTGCGAGGTGGAGTTGTCCTCGGATGTGTCTCTCAATTACGAAACGAAATTAGCGGAATTTAAGCAGAGTTTAGCGGCATCCGCCGAGGCTTAGTGCAATTTTGCGCCTGCCGCCTCCTCGGGAGATAATTAGTGCAGCATGAAATATGTAAATGTGCGCGACGCGTTCGCCTTCGTCGCTTATTACATTTTACACTTGTATTGCGTCGAGAATCTACTCGTGGAAATCTTGAATATATTTTCTACAATAATATTACACTAGTACCAGAACAACTGAAATGTGAAAATGGGAAATCTTAACAAGAAAAGCGAGCATAAAAATTAAGTGCGTGGTAAATTTAAGGATTACTTCTAGGGTTTCAGAAGGAAAATACTTTAACGTTAAACTAGGAATATTTAATTTTTGGCGCCTCCACCATTTTTTCTTTTTAATTTTTTAGCAAAATATAAAAACTAAATGTTTTATTTTATTAAAAATCCAATATGAAAATGACTTGTGTCTTCTGAAACTCGTAAAAACTCAATACTTGTACTTTATATCCCTAAACAAAAGCAGAAATACTATGTCCGCATCACACCGTATCACAAGTTGCATATTTCAAGTCCCTAGTTGCAAGTCAATGACGTCGAATGGAAGTTTTTCAGTTTCCTTGTCTTCGCATGTCCTGAAACACTGGCTATTTCTCTTCACCCCGCCGATTCACTTTTCACTACTTCATCTTCACTCCCGCCGCCGCATCGCATTCCTCAAAGTGCATATTAAAGTATGTTGTATACGAATATTGACGAACGCCATTCGTCGATACAAATCCTTATTATACGTGTTTCTTGCGCCGAACCAACACACAAAAATCGCGTTCGTTTTGCTTCTCTTCCGGTGCACGTCGTATATTCTCATTTGTTACTACTTTCTTGCTAAGACTTTTGTTCTTGTTTGAAGCACAAGATACAAGAATGGCGCTTTATCTGCGTACTTTTTTCGTCTCTGCTAGTTTATTTATTTTATTTTTCTTATCTCTTTGATTCTGTTCTTATGCAAAGGAATGTAGTGGAGTGGGTGGCGGCTTCAGAAAAGTCGAGAAATTTGTGTTTATTCCGTTAGACTCTTCTCTTTTTGCTTTACTTTTTTCTGACTTTATTCTATTCAAACATTCAAAGCAGTACGAATCGTGTGCAATTTACGTGTTTAGGGAAGACATGAATATTTAATTTCGAGATTACTTACGTTACAAGACTCGCGGGTTAAAATAGATATTATACAAAGTGATACAAAAAATATTAACAAAAAAAGAAAACATCTGGTAATATTTGAACCTGTAAAATTTAAACACATTGTATAAAAACCTTATAACAATATGCGAATACTATCATAACTGTTTAACCTTCTTCAAGCTATCTTAACCTATCTTCTCTAGTCGTGAACACCTGCTACAAGCAATATTGCACTGACGCTAATGACCCACCGACCGTTTTCCACCTCTAAAACTCTTAAAATGCCAACAAAGCTTTTCTCATCTCGATGATCATATGAAAAACACATTACAACATTAACTAATAGTCTAATACTAAGTGTATCCGAAAATTTAAAAATATTCTTAAGTTACTAAGCGTAGTTAATAGCTATTAAAGTTAGTTGCAACAAGTTGGCGTTGTATTAATACTTTAAACACTTTTAATCGCTTCCCAAAGCTTGCGAGTACTGCGAAAAGTTTTTAGACAATGTTGCAATTATTGTTATCGAATCGTTCCGAGTTGAAAGTGCATATAAGTACGTGCTTCTTCTAGAAACGCGGTAGTTAGAAAAACAATTGACATACTAAACGGTAGTAAAGTTAAATTAAGAAAATGTCAGCTTATACAATGTACAAACATTATTTTCCCGTTACAGAATTCCACAAAAATAAAAATAAAATAAAATTTATAAAAAAATATATGAATTAAAAATGAAATTTGCCGTATTTAATTGTAAAATAAAATGTTTCGTTGGAAGCATGACATTTTAATCCAATTTGATGGAATTGGATTAAATTTTCTGTGCCAAAAATGTTGTTTGTCGGTTTGCATGCATTCAAATTAATTTAATACGTGAAAAAATAACAATATTTCACGATAATAACAAAATTAAACTTCATATACCTCCATCAATGTCAAAACTAGCACTTTAAGTGGATCGGAAAGCAAAGCTCACTTGTGTATGCCAAACAAGTCCCACACTCTCGAAGAGGAAAGTTCAAACAATCGTAAATAACCAAACACGGCCGCTAATAATTTAGTTGTTGAACACATTAGTACACAAGCATGGGGCGAGACTAAGTGAGGAATTGCGAGGGAATGAGTGTGCGTCCATCTTAAATACACAATGTTAACGTATTAGTTTATTAGCCTCTATTCTGCTGACCGTAAACAATTAGATTTGCGCGTACTGCAAGCATCGCATGTTTTGCCTCATTCCGACCGCATGCACAGGAAGTTGGGATTAGGCGGCGGATCAAACTAAACCGGATGTGGACCATGCGCCCCACCGGAACTTAAATCAGCGCTTAATATTTACATTTTACTATTGTGAAGGTATCTACACCCTTAGAGGGAATCAAAATAAATTTTTATATATTAATACTAGCTTTTGCCCGCGACTTCGTCCCGGTAGTGTTTAATAAAAATGTAATTCGTTTTTACTCCCTTGTTCTAGACATAGTATGTGTCAATTCAATCAATAAGATTCGCAATTTTAGTTTAAAGAAATTAATTATATAAAGAATTGCTAATAATGCACTTCAGCGCGCCATCTCAGATTCAACTATTTAACTATAACTATGATTGAATCTCAATGCCAACTTTTATTCTATAGAAAATGGCAGTCTTTA